TCATATTATAAAATTATATTTTATAAATAAATTATTTGCAAAAATCTTATTCCTGAAAAATATTCTCTCCAAATGGGATAGTGAAAAACTATGATAGATTCTTTGCTGTAACATATAGGGCTTTAAAAAGGACGCCAATCTGCGGGCACTACTTTTTCAGTAGTGAATATTGTATCCTAAATGAAATTTAGTTTCAATACACTGTCTCTGAAGTGACTAAGAGATTAGTTTTAACTATTTAAGAAACCAATTAAATTTTTTAATGAAATATATAGGGTAAATAATGAACAATTGGTTCTTGCCTGCTGGTGGTAGTCGTACAAGTGCGTTCCATGGGCTTCATGCAGTTGGCCACATGTCACGCACATCCCAGCGTCAAGACGCACCCGGGACAACGACATGGCCAGGCCTTGGTTCATCACAACACATGGACTGCTCCCTTGCTGTGTGTTGAGGCTGGAATGCTGTTAGCATACAGGATCAACGGTGCTGAGCACATACAGATCCTCACAAAAATAATAGGCGCTCCATACCTCACTGAGACATCATGTTGTAGAACGAATGGGATTTCCAAGGATATTCAATGTCAAAATTTAACGAAGTTATAAAAATTAATACACAACTAAATCAGCACAATCAGCTACTAAGAATCAACTACATTAACTGTTAGTCAAACATAAATAAAAAATATTTCACCAATGATGAGTGATTCACTGTCAACATTAATTTATAAAATAGTTATTGCAAAATCTTCTGTCACCGGAATGGAATGAGTAATGAGGTTCAGAAAAAAACATTATGCATAAAATGTTCTGGTTCTTGTTGAGTATTTTGAAATAAAATACATCAGATTCGTTTGCAGTAAAGCTTGTGTTTGAGTACGTTGGAAGAGCTTTGTTTTATTTTAAGTTAAGTTGCATACTATGATGTTGAATAAATTAAGAAGGCCTTTTTTAAAGAAGTTTCCCCTTGGCATATAAATATATTAATGAATCATAAATTATTTTGTCTTATGATACGATGAAAATATGATTTTCTGTAGTACATCTTACGCAGGCAAAGTAAAAAGGCACTAGTGGATTCAAAGTTTTCTTAAAAGAAAACCCTGGCTAATATTAGTGTATGAATTGAATTTAGGCCTCTGTGGAAAATCCTCTCTTCAGCACAAATTAAATCCTGAGAGGTCAAGGGTGAGAGTTATTTTAAGAATGAAAATGTTTATGTCTAGTCATTTTAAAATCCAAGAAGCAACAGAACACTATTATAAAAGTACATGGGGCACGCAGGCATTCACTGTTGGACACATCTGTATGTATAGGGTGTCATCACATCTTTGATTTCACCTGTGTTTTTCGATGTAGAGAAGAGCTGAGTGATGATGTGACTGAGAGGTCTTTCCCGAAAGGTGTGGCTTTTCCAATAATAAATTAAATGAGGTAGAAGTGGTATTGCCCAACTCTAGTTTCTGTTGGATATGAACCACAATTTGAGTTCAACCCATCCTACAAGGTGTAATTATCTGTGAAACAAACAAGGAAACATTATAAATATGTATGTAAAGATATAACATAAAAAGTTTATTTATTTTGATAGTACAAACATTATTATGGTCAATTAAGATAATTAAACATTAAGGAAATAAAACAAATAAATCAATACAATTTTATGAAATTACATAAATTCTCAGTTTTTGTCCACAACTATCAATATGAAATATGAGTGGATAACTTGTAAGATAAGCTTGATTAAATTATCACAAATGTACACTAACCATTTATTTTATCTAAAAAGGGCAAGGCCCAAGCATGGCATTAGGTAAAGATTCTTTCTTCAAATCAGGGAGAACTCAAAATAAATTCAATTATCCATGTTTAAAATGATCAAATGTATTTCTATTAATTTTTCACTCAGTTTTAAAAATAAGAATTACATACCGTGAAAAAATGTTAACAAGTGTGCAGTGCACATTACAAAAATATAATTAAAAAACAAATTGATTTGCTTTTTTATTTTTAAATTAAAACCTTAAGACAACATGAAAAAAGCAAACATTTTCTCAGTTTTAAAATATCTCCTTGCTGTTGCTCGATGAATTTTAGTTCACTTGGTGGAAGGACACATTGCAAGGCCAAGCATTGTGGAAGAAACTTTGCCTTAACAAAGTAAGAATATTATCTCCCTTGAATTATGTAAGGGCTATATTTAGTAACACACATGGTAAAATGTATAAACAATACATATATATAAATAACTAGGGGATTTCCAAGATGGGTCACATAGAGTGTGGAATTCCCATTACGTGCAAAGGACTTAACATCATAATTATAGTGAATAATTATTTTAAGCAAGCATTTTGATAATCCTTCTACATAATATCTGCATAACATAGCAATATTAGTATAATTAATTATAAAATGTAGTTGATACATAGCCTTAACCCTTTTTTTTCTTTAGCTATGTACATACAGTAAATGTTAAGTTATGGACTTAATTCTGTTTGCAAAAATCAATTTAAAATTGATTATTTTAATTTTAATCTGAAATAATTGGGGAAGAATCATATTCTCAAAATTGGGCTATCAAGCTCAACACTTGATGTATCTAATTTAAAATATCTATGGATACCCATGAATATGAGGAACAATTAGATTATTTTGTAAAATAAACCTACAACTTTTGATGCAGAGAAATAATTAATACCCTATTTCCTATAATAGTTTTAAAATAATTGCATCTCTAGCTAAATAGTTTTTTAAAATATTGAGATTAATTCAAATATTTCATTAACTTTAAATTAAAATGTGGCTAGCTAATTATGAAAAAAACAAACAACCTGAAACCTTTCGAACAGAGAAGAACCAATTATTTCTAGTGTAAAAAGTGACCGCATCAGCATGGAAAGAACAACAGTTTAACTAATTTTTCTTTGAAAAAAGACATGCAATAAACACTCTTGTCGCTGTTAAATATATGGAATCAAAATTTAAGGATCAACTATATAAGTAATGTTATTACAGCTTTTAGCTTCTGTCATTCCATTTTATCTCTATCCCATTAAAAAAAAGCAGCAGTAAAAACCATAATAAAAAATCATTGATATTTTATCATTAAATAATTATTTTTACTCTACAACAATTTAAAATCTTAATTTAATGCTAGGCCTAACCAATGTTCCCTTTAAGCTGCGCGGCCGTGCAGCTATCTCACAAATGCTGCGCAGCAGTTTTGAGTATCCGCGCAGCAAATTTCCATGTAAGTGTGTGTTTGTGGGCTGTAAAATTTTGCACACAAAAAAATTATTGCTGTAAAAATTTGCACACAACTGTATGATTTTGCATACGAACCAACAACCCTTAGAGGGAACATTGGGCCTAACTCAAATTTATAAACAGGGCCTGATTTTTACTAACCTAAGAAATTACTTTTTATTAAAACAAGTCCTCCCTTCAATCATATTTTATATAAAATGTATAATAACAATAATGATATTTTATCCACATTTGGCATAAAGCAGTGTTACCCAGCCCCCCTTGCTCAGAGTAGCTCAATAACTTTTATTTCACCTTATCCTGTCTAACATAGCCCTCCTTTTTGAAAAATTAAATACATTTCCAACAGAGACAAAATGCAAACCCCCCCCCCCCAACTGGGAATTTCTCCCCGTCTACACAATGGAAAACACTGGCTAAACATAGTAAACATTTATCTGAAATCACTACAAATTCAAATAAATTAAAATTAAATAGATACAGATGGTAAAACCTACAGCTTACTTATAAATAGGCCTAGTCCTAGGCTCAGTTGTCCACAACAATTAATGAATAATTGAATCAGCCCTACAACTATTCAATAAGAAAGTATTCTACAAATGTCACACCACTTGACTATTTGAATTTGAACAGTAACAGGCCTACTAACTCATTACTAACTAACTGACTACACATGAGGTCATAGTCATGAAATGTTATGATGAAATGGTTGTCTTGTGTAAGTGTAATACCAATAATGCAGGTTTATTCATATCATTCATTGAGTTTAGTCCAGTTGACATTAATCATTAAATTCATTCACCCACAACCATAATCCAATTAAATTTTAATTAGTCAGTCAATGATAATCTTAGTCTTAGTCCTTCCAGGTGGTGAGTCTTAGCCGTAGCCTTAGACCTATTTTTTTATTAGTTGCACAAGCGATTTAAATGTTAATGAAAGTTGTTTACTTTATTAGCACTTAAATAAGCAACATGCCCATTGAAAGCAAAACATATAAGCGTCCCTGCAAGCGATAATTACTCAAGCGAAGTTTGTTAATCATCCATTACAACCCAGACTCTAGTAATTAAGTCAAATTAAGTGGGATGGCCACAGTGCCCAGAGCCAGAATTTGAGCTGTACTGTTAAGTTTGAATGCATTTTGCTAACATTTAATTGTGAAATACGTAATTTAGTAACATCTCTTATGTAATTATGGTGCAGTAGCAGTTTTAATGTGCGTGCTTATTAATGTTACAAACAGTTAATTTAAATTTTGTACAATTTTCATACCCCACATTCGGAAGACCAACATCGTTAAGTTAAAGCCCAGCAATGGTACAAAAAGCATCCACAGACAACAAAAATCAATAACGGGAACTGATGTCATTTCCCTTGCACTTTTCGGGGCTCGTCAAGGGTGGAACAAAATTATAATATCTTTAAACTGAAAATATATCATTATAAATATGTTTTAGACCTTTACCTATTTAAAAAATCTTTATTGTATCTAAAACATCAATTATATATATTTTTTAAATTAAATTAGGGCAATTTGAATTAGCGGTTATTGTGTTTAAGGACCCCATTCAAAGCGATAGTTATCAAGAGTAGCTTTTTCTTGATCGCTTATAATTAATATAATTTTTAAACCACTACATGTTTAGCGTCCATAAAAGGCTGACTGTTATTATGTATATCGCATTAGTTTCTATACAATTATTAATTTCTTCGCGTTGCTTTATACATTGCTCGCATTCTCATCCACACCTTACAATAATTTATACCCATGTTGTAAGTGACTTATTGATTTCAAAATGGCGAGCTACCAACACCAAATAATAGGCTTGGTCCGATAGTGAGACCTAGCGACAGGAAATGAGAGCCCGGTTGTTCTTGGTGTTGGCCTAGACGCAAAGGGGCTCATAATAAATATGGCAGTTCTGTTAAAAAACCAGATATTAAAGCATCTTTCCAAGTAAGCGCACAATTGATTAGTTAATTTTATTATTTTAAATTAGGATCCAAGCTATCTTTAAAACTTTACTTTTACTTCTTATTATTAATGTTGAATAATTATGATTATCTATATTAATATTATTAATTATATATATATTTTTTTATTATAGTATATTAATATAAATATAATAAATAATATGTCTTCTTATTTTATAGCAGTGTATAAGTATTAGCACTTAATTAGGGCATTATTAATAAATTATATACTATTAATTATTAATTATATACCAATGCCAATATCTGAATATCTAAAACTAAAAAAAATTATCTATCGGTTGTACCAACTATTACTGCTATTAGTAGTATTATTTACAGTTACAGACAGGGCCTATGCTACTATGCTAAAAATAAAAAAAATAGTAATAATAATAATACTAATGCCATTTTACTATTTATAAAAGGCTCTACCTTGCATGACCTGTTAAAGGACTATTAACATATAGGCCTAATTTATAATGATATGAATATGAGTATGAGTAGAGTAGCAAATTATAGTATAGATAATAAAAGTTATAAGTCTACTACTATGACTAAGATCTATACAGTTGATAACAGTACTAAGACTTGCATCCTACTCAAATATGACAAATATCTACCACACTACTGAGAATAAGTAGTAGGCCTATAGTCTATAGGCCTACTACTATAGTTATAGTCTATAAAATTTCTTATAGTTACAGTGGAATAGTACACAGTAATTTTAAGCATTTATTTTAATAATTAATATTGTTATTGTGGAGAGAGGCCTACTACTATAGTTATAGCCTATAAAATTTCTTATAGTTACAGTGGAATAGTGCACAGTAATTTTAAGCATTTATTTTAATAATTAATATTGTTATTGTGGAGAGAAGGACTTAGGCTTAGGAAGTTAAAGTATTTTTGAGTCTGCTTTTTAAATTTGACATCCCAGTATGATATTTTAAAATTTAAAGTGACATTAACTTTAAAGGTCACTCAGAAGGGATGCAATTTAATTTGGAAAATTGCAATAACACAAATAAATATCTACTACTTACTTATGCCTTTTACCCCGCCTTGGGCATAGGCCGTCTACAAGAATTTTTCATTCATCTAGGTCCTGTGCTTTCCTTTCCAGGTGTATCCCATACTTTTCGCCTGTTACTAACTTGCATCTCCATGTATTCTTTGGCCTTCCTCTCTTCCTTTTTCCTTGTGGATTCCAAGTTAGGGATTATTTGGTGATGTTTTCTGGGGTTCACAAAGAGTGTGCCATATCTACCTCCATCTTTTCCTTATGATGTCTTCAGCAATAGGGTCTTTGTTACATGCTGTTATGGTTTCGAAAATTTAATCTAAGTTAAGATTTAGAAGAAACAATACGTAACAAGGACTTTAAAAAAGGTATGTAAAGAAAACGATACCGAAGCTATATTTTGGATATTTATGTTAATGGTGATGCCCAAGTATATGAAGGTCTCCACTTCTTCCAGTAATTCCTGCCAGAGAGATATGCTCTTGGTTGGCTTTATGATCATTGTTTTGCTACTTAGAGGCTACTATTTATATTGAGATCGAGCTATGCTGAAATGGTGAATATATTTTTTGTATTTTCTTGAATTTGTTGCTGGTTGTGGAACGGAATTGCAATATCATTAGCAAATTCTTGGTCATTTAGTTGTTCCCAGGATGCACACTATATCATGTTCCTCTATTTTTGTCTGTGGATTCTTTCATCCTCCAGTCAATGGCAAAAATGAATTGGAAGTGGGACAACAAGCATCCTTGTCTGACTCTTCAATGATGCGTTATGTTGAAATTTGATCTGTACTTAATCTGTTTTGGCAAAGGCCAGCCTGTAGATCTTGTAGCTGCATGTCAACCTGGTCCTTCAATTCATTCTATTCAGATTAGTTCCATTAAAGACCTTTCCTAGTACTGTGTAAATTCTTTTGTAGCTTGCACAGTTGATGAGATCCCCTTTCTTTGGTATCTTGATGAGGTGTCCTTATTTCCAATCTTTTGGAACTCTCTGTTCTTCCGATATCTTTTCAGAGGGTGTAGCATGTTGACTATTGTATCTGCTGTCATGTTCTCTGTTGTTATATTATCCGGTCTAGATGCTTTCCTAATTTTTTATATCCTTAGCTAGTTATTGCTTATTTTGGGCGCTGTCGTGTATTTGTAAATCTTCATTTCCTGGTTGTATATCTAGTGTCTCTGTGGATGAAGATCTGTTTGATAATTCCTCAAAGCATTTTACCCATCCTTTTTGCTGTTCTTTTTGTCATGTTATTGATCTACCTTTATTGTCTTTGGCTTCTTGTATCTTCCTGAGAGCTTTCTTGTTATATCATAGAGCTTTTTCATGTTTCCCTTTCTGGCTGCTGCTTCTGCTGTTGACGCTAGACCATCTGTGTGTGCTCTTTTATCCTTTTTTTTACTGTTTTTACCCTGCCATGACTTCTTTATAGTTCTGCTGTGCTTTGTTTTCTCTGCTCTAGTGTGGCTGTTGTTTATTGCAGACCTCATTTCTTTCGTCTCATTTATTTTTTGCAAGATCTTGAATGAGAGCCAAGGTTTGTGTTTGTGCATCATCCTTCTTAATACCTTGCTGTAATGGATTTGACAGACCTTTTTATGTTTTGCATTGAATTTCTATCTGGTCATCATCTGTTTGGTCTTGCAGTACCCAGGCCTTATTTCTCAATGTAACACTGAATTCCTGTTGTTTTGCTTGTTTGTCAGAAGAGCTATGTTGTATTTTAGTCATCTAGCAGCTTGCTCTTCCCAGTTTTTATTCAGTCTTAGTTTGAGTCTTGCCCTACATCCCATCCTATCAACGGCCCTTATGCCATTAGTGACTCCTTATGTGCATGGAGTATTTTCATCCTCGTGCCCTGAGTATAATATTAGTGTTTCTCCTGAGGTAAATTTTAACTGTCCAGCTTGTGTCCGTCTTGTTTCACAAAAGCAGTGTGAGCTTGTATGTTCTCATTTCTGACACCAATGGTGCTGATTTTCCTGTGTCATACATGGTTCTAACATTTTACAGGGCTATTGAAAGGAGATTCGTTGGTTTTGATGCTTCCAGTATAACCTAGCTTTGGCCGCAAGGCTTCATAACTCTTCTACGGGAAGAAGAGCCCTCTCTTATCAAGGCTGAAATGGTTTTTTTTCTTTCTTCTTGTTGTTGACGTTCCTGTAGCAATTTGTTTTTTTACAGGTTAGGTAGCTTGCCTCATGTCAATCCTCCTCCTTTTGTACCCGGGCTTGGGACTGGCCATGGTGAAGTTAATACATATATATTAAATATGCATTATTCTTATTATGGCTCAGAAAACGCTTTTGGATTATATAATTGGTTTTATGTTGGCCTGGCTTAAACGATTTGTTCTGTCCTATATAATTGATCTTTTCAGATTCACTAAGAATCTTTCAGGGGATAAGATCAATCTGAGCACACTGAAAGGTGAAGGGGAACTCTCTAACCTGGAACTCAATGAGGATATCTTGACTCAACTTTTAGAGCTGCCTACATGGCTCAGGATTACCAAAGCTGTCTGCAACCATGTACGTGTTAAGGTAAGAACAAAGCAATTACCCAAGTGTGCAGTTGAGTTGTGATAATACTGAGGGACCAATTGTAAGTATTTGGTTTTGGTCTTGGACAAATTGTAGTACCAAATCAGTTAGTGAACAGTTCAATTGGCCTGTTTAAATTTAATGAAAATGTTCTCCTTTGGTCTTCTTCTTTTATATATTAAAGGCCCACGATCAATTTATTGGCTCTTATGCATGAAGTGGGATTCACAACATTTCTGTGCCTGGTGTTGAAGAGGATATTTCACTGGTTGTATTTTAGTCTAACCAAACTCGCAGTGTGCTCTCTTTGCTTCTCTGATTGATATTTTTGGCTTAATATGTTTATTATTAAAAAAACAACAACTGGAAAATATGTAACCAAGCAAATCTCAAGGACAATCTCATAAGCTAGCAGAAGCATATGAACATCATATCAATTGATTAATGCACATTTGTGTCTGGTATTGTTAATGTGATCAAGTGAATGTTGCTGTGAATTCCTGTAATTGTTGAGGTTGTGATTGAAGTGGCTTTAACTGATGACCCAGCTGTTGAATTTATTGATTGAAATTCTAAACTGTCCTCTTATTTTTTTGGTAAACTACTTGCAGGGAATGTGGAGATAAGCTATCGACTTGTTTACCTTTTGAAATCCTGGTCTTAAACACCTATAGGTTTTCTATTTATAAGTTTGAATCTTTGCTTTGTCCAGCCATAAGTTGAACCTTTTTTTTTTCTAGCCATAAGTTTGAAACTGTTTATTAGTTTCGCCACGTTATAAAGTCCAATCCCAAGGCAAGGTTTTAACATTTCCGGTTTTTAAATATTTTTTATATAGATTAGTTAAAAGTACTGTGCCATTGAGTTTAATAATAAAATAAACTACAATCTTTCTTTGTTCTATTTTTGAATGAGTGTTCTACCCCCAACAGTCAGGTTGGCGCTATTAACACATTTGAGCAGCTTACATTTGAGTGTCATAAAACATCTTTGCAACTTGTGAGCAATACTACTTTCGTTGAATAGATTTGTTTGTGATCTTAAGGGATTCTAAAGCTCTGGGTTAATTTAACAAAAACAAAATGTGCACAATGTGTTAGGAGCCTCTGCCAGTATGAATATAGTTTATAGATTGATTAAGGTAATCAAAAGATAGTTGGGGTGTGGATTAGCACTTACCAATGTCTGCATTTCACATTTATATTAAGTATCTTTAAAGTAGACTAATGTACACTGTAAATCTCGTGGACACCCACATCTAATGCCAGGAAACTTATATATTGCTATTTTCCATAAAAAAAAAAAAATATTTTGGAAGGGGGGAGTCGTGAGGTTCAATAAGCATGGGACGAATATCGAGATTGTGATCTTTTGGGAATTTCTTGGTTATTGAAGAGCTCGTACGGGCATCAGTTCACATTCTTTGGCATTTCAGTATTTTGCGTGACTGCATTGGGAGGTGGAAGCTGGGGGGGGGGGGGGAAAAAAACGGGGCCGTCATTTAATCTTCAGACATTTTAACATACGACATTGGTCTAGTCTTGCGGGAGGGGGGGGGGCTGTGGACTGGGTGACCACAGTGTTGTCCAGTAGTAGCTCAGTGCTCTGCAACATTTTTTCACTCACGACACACCCAGGCCTGCCCCAGAATTTTGCTGCACACCGCACTTTAAGAAATAAACTAAATGAATACTTGGAACGTTTGAGCTTTGGCCGAATTCATAGCTCTGCAATAGTCGACTTCAAAGCCATTGTCTGTTCAGCTGGTGTTATGCTTTCTTTGTTGATACTTGTTTTGTGTTATCATCTAGTTCTCTTTGGGACATTTTTTCATAGAGAGGAAAACATGCAGACACGTTTTTAAAAATGTATTAGCGTTTTATTTGGCTCCTTACGAATGAGTTGGCCCAATGCCAACATGTCACGCCAAGTTGGCCAGTAGGTGAACTCGGTCCAATGCCAACATGTCACGCCAAGTTAGCCAGTATGTGAACTCGGTCCAATGCCAACATGTCACGCCTAGTTGACCAGTAGGTGAGCTCGGTCCAATGCCAACCTGTCACGCCAAGTTGGCCAGCAGGTGAACTCGGTCAATGTCAACATGTCACGTTAAGTTGGCCAGCAGGTGAACTCGGTCCAGTGCCAACCTGTCACGCCAAGCTGCCTGTCTTTGATTGGGCATCAGGTGTAATGGCTTCTCCTATACATTCATCACCACCCAACATTAATCATGGCCTCAAATTTATATAAATATTGGAATGTGCTTATCTTATATTACGTTTGCTTAAGTACCTACCTATGTTTAGGGAAATATCAACTTATTTTATTTTAGTAGTGCTATCTACTAACTAAAACCTTGTGCATTTCAAAACCAATCCCACTGCGATATTAAATTATATTAGCCACCATTATTAAATTATGGAAAAAATGTCATAGTGTATATAGGAAGAGTTGATTTTCAAAAGGCAGTATCCACCACTTTTGGAAAAGAACAACAACAAAAAAAACTTGACCTATGTGTAGAGCAAACCAGGTTCCTTTAGGACATGGTCAAGTTTATTTACAAAACATGTCATATTCCTATTTTATTCTTGTTTAAAAAATATTTCCTTCTCTAAAGACAATATGTAATGTTTTGTAAAAAGTTGAATAATCTCAAAACCCCAACAATGGATATGCAGCCTTTTGAAAATCAGCTCCTCTGTTATCAATTAATGTTGTAGGGAACGCCTGGTCTTTAATGTTGTAGGGAACGCCTGGTCTTTCCATCGCAATTTGTTGTTTATAGCTCACAAAATGACCGCATATAAAGACCACCGACTAGCCCCCTGGGTCACGTGTAAAGACCACCGACTAGCCCCCTGGGTCACGTGTAAAGACCACCGACTAGCCCCCTGGGTCACGTGTAAAGACCACCGACTAGCCCCCTGGGTCACGTAAAGACCACCGACTAGCCTTTGGGTCAGCATGAGATGAGTTCATCTCCGTCATTGTTGTTAGCTGTCGCCTTGATAAAGCCGTGTATCTTAACTTGTTTATTCACCGGCCTTTCCCGTCAGATCTCCAGACTGATTCAACGAGGTAAGCTCAGTCCTAATAATGCTGTTTATTACTTTTCTCAATGTGCAGTACGTACGCTCTGTTCCACCTCATTGCCTTGTACTACAGAAAAAAAGGTATCGCCTTCCAGTATTTAACCGTTAACCAACCCACACCCCCTTTCAGATGTATTTGTAGATCTAATTCTTAAAAGACCACTCACACCCCCTTTCAGATGTATTTGTAGATCTAATTCTTAAAAGACCATTCACACCCCCTTTCAGATGTATTTGTAGATCTTATCCTTAAAAGACCCTTCACACCCCCTTTCAGATGTATTTGTAGATCTAATTCTTAAAAGACCCTTCACACCCCCTTTCAGATGTATTTGTAGATCTTATCCTTAAAAGACCCTTCACACCCCCTTTCAGATGTATTTGTAGATCTAATTCTTAAAAGACCATTCACACCCCCTTTCAGATGTATTTGTAGATCTAATTCTTAAAAGACCCTCCACACCCCCTTTCAGATGTATTTGTAGATCTTATCCTTAAAAGACCCTTCACACCCCCTTTCAGATGTATTTGTAGATCTTATCCTTATAAGACCCTTCAAACCCCCTTCAGATGTATTTGTAGATCTCATCCTTAAAAACTTGGTATAATCCCACCCCTACCTCAATACGATAATGCTCCACAAAGTGGGCTCAGATTTCTTTTGGAGACCTAGGAGCAGTTAAACATTGTCTTAAGGTGTGGGCAATTGCTCTATTCATATACAGCTTTACAGCATGCCTTCATAGTACTATACCATTGTTCAAATGGACGTTAACGTTGGTTGTGACAATCTCACATGAAGTTTTCTGGCCTGGTTCTCCACAGATCTGGAAGTTAACACCACGTGACAGCAACACATATTATTGGGCATTCTTTGACCATTTGAAACTGCCTGAGATGAGGATGTCTTCCCTCATCAATCCTTGACATTAGTACGGCTGTGTTCTTGACATTAGTGCATGTATATCTGTCTCCTTGACATAAGCACGCCTTTGTCCTTGACATTAACTACGTCTGTGTCCTTGACATCCGCTCTAATTCTTTGAACTTTTTTATTTGGCTACATCCGATCTAGGTCAGTTTAAACCCTTTTATTTGACTACATCCGTTTTTTGGTCAGCTTAAACCTCTTTATTTGGCTACATCCGTTTGTTGGTCAGCTTAAACCTCTTTATTTGGCTACATCCGTTTGTTGGTCAGCTTAAACCTGTTTATTTGACTACATCCGTTTGTTGGTGAGTTTAAACCTCTTTATTTGACTACATCCGTTTGTTGGTCAGCTTAAACCTCTTTATTTGACTACATCCGTTTGTTGGTCAGTTTAAACCTCTTTATTTGACTACATCCGTTTGTTGGTCAATTTAAACCTCTTTATTTGGCTACATCCGTTTGTTGGTCAGCTTAAACCTCTTTATTTGGCTACATCCGTTTGTTGGTCAGCTTAAACCTCTTTATTTGGCTACATCCGTTTGTTGGTCAGTTTAAACCTCTTTATTTGGCTACATCCGTTTGTTGGTGAGTTTAAACCTCTTTATTTGAATACATCCGTTTGTTGGTCAGCTTAAACCTCTTTATTTGACTACATCCGTTTGTTGGTCAGTTTAAACCTCTTTATTTGGCTACATCCGTTGGTCGGTCAGCTTAAACCTCTTTATTTGACTACATCCGTTTGTTGGTAAGTTTAAACCTCTTTATTTGGCTACATCCGTTTTTTGGTCAGCTTAAACCTCTTTATTTGGCTACATCCGTTGGTCGGTCAGCTGAAACCTCTTTATTTGACTACATCCGTTTGTTAGTCACCTTAAACCTCTTTATTTGGCTACATCCGTTTGTTAGTCAGCTTAAACCTCTTTATTTGGCTACATCCGTTTGTTGGTGAGTTTAAACCTCTTTATTTGACTACATCCGTTTGTTGGTCAGCTTAAACCTCTTTATTTGACTACATCCGTTTGTTGGTCAGCTTAAACCTCTTTATTTGACTACATCCGTTTGTTGGTCAGTTTAAACCTCTTTATTTGGCTACATCCGTTGGTCGGTCAGCTTAAACCTCTTTATTTGACTACATCCGTTTGTTGGTCAGTTTAAACCTCTTTTTTTGGCTACATCCGTTTTTTGGTCAGCTTAAACCTCTTTATTTGGCTACATCCGTTTGTTGGTCAATTTAAACCTCTTTATTTGGCTACATCCGTTTGTTGGTCAATTTAAACCTCTTTATTTGGCTACATCCGTTTGTTGGTCAATTTAAACCTCTTTATTTGGCTACATCCGTTTGTTGGTCAATTTAAACCTCTTTATTTGGCTACATCCGTTTGTTGGTCAATTTAAACCTCTTTATTTGGCTACATCCGTTTTTTTTGTCAGTTTAAACCCTTTTATTTGACTACATCCGTTTGTTGGTCAGCTTAAACCTCTTTATTTGGCTACGTCCGATTGTTGATCAGTGGCTACACTCGTTTGTTGGTCAGCTAAAACCTCTTTATTTGACTACTTCTATTTGTTGGTCAGTTAAACCTCTTTATTTGATTACGCCCGTTTGTTGGCCAGTGGCTACATCCGTTTGTTGGTCAGTGGCTGCATCCGTTTGCTGATCATTGGCCTCATCCGTTTGTGGGTCAGTTTAAACCTCTTTGATTGTTCGGATACGTCCGTGTGTTGGTCAGTGGTGACCTTTCAGACTTACTCTTCATAATGCTTTGTCTGGACTAGACCCCATCTTTCCTTTCCTCCGTCTCACGGCCGTAATACTCAACACGCATACCGTCGAAGTCAGTAAGTCAAAGCGCAGACACTGTCGGGGGGGGTGATGCGGAGATGGGCGGTTGGGGTTTGCAGGGGGGGGGTAGACGTTTCAATTACTCAAGAGATTATCGTGATTTATTTGCACGAGACACGCCTTCTGTTACGAATGAGCCGTGCATGATGTAGCCAATATTGTGCCAGGATATATGGACTGGAGTAATGGTACATAAACTCAGAGTCCCTTCTGTTCAGTTAGTCTTTGGATGTAAACTTTGAGTGGGTGTTAGTCTGGTTTTCTGTATGTTTGAGTGTAAAATAAAAATGCAACATTGGACACCATTTTTTGTAGCGTGGAAATGGGATAATTCAACGTTTGTAATCGTGTCTTTTACTTTGCTTGAAAATTAGAGGACCATCATCAGGAGAGTTTAACACTGATCAGAATGCTGGGCCATAAAATAACGTTATAATACAGACTCTCAAGCGTGAGTCGTACAGACATAATCATAAAAACATAGTCATTCGGATACAGTAAAACCTCCGTTTTGCGACCCTCTCTTAAACGACTTCCTTCAACATACGACCTGGAAACAATTCACCGATGCTTGGTGCTATATAAACGACCTCTCTTAAACGACTCCTCTACAACGCGACTTGGAACCCTCAAATAGTTCAATTTTACGACCTAGCACCTGAAAAAGTCCGATTCCAAAGCAATGCTATATTTGTGCGCTTGAAGTAATCAGTTTCGTTGACAACTTCTAACCGCAGACGATGAACTAAAGCAGCTAGGAAGCAGTGAGGGTGAAAAAAACGCTTCCACCGTAAATTTCTCTTTTGCAATACTCCAAGGAGCTGACCAGATTCGCCGTGAGCGGTGAGCGGGGGGCCTTTCGGACCTTGCCCCCCCCCCCCCCCCCAAGACCATGCCCGGGGGGGGGGGGGCGCGCATACAAACAAAAAAAAAAAATTTTTTTTAAAAAAACCAGATTCGCCGTGAGCGGTGAGCGGGGGGCCTTTCGGACCTTGCCCCCCCCCCCCACCCAAGACCATGCACGGGTAGGGGGGGTCGTGCATACAAACATAAATAAAAAATTCTTTTTTAAAAAGGAACAACAGTTTTGAATGATTGAACAAAAGCAATTGCAACAGTATTAATTGTCTTATCTTGTACATAAACAGCTGTAACTCTAAACACACAATCTGCACTTACACACGCTTTTAAACAACTACCATACCAGCATTGATTTTTTTAATTAATGAGGAACAGGAAGATAGAGACTGTATTGGTTGTGCATTTAATCTATATTTCTTAACGAAAGATGGTAGATATGGCCTATACTTGCCTGTACGTGTACCTTTTTTTTTGGTATTTATTTTACATGTTTACTCCATTTTCTAAATGTCGTTTTTCGAAAATGTCCTACCTCTTTTTTTAAGACAGTTCCAATTTACGACCCCGTTTTAATGGCAATTTAAAGGTCGTAAAACGGAGGTTTTACTGTAGTTGCATTTTTGAAAGCTGCAGGAGTTGAATTGACATTTTGTCCGTAAACAATGTACAGATTTGGAATAGTTGTCCGTAAACAATGTACAGATTTGGAATAGTTGTCCGTAAACAATGTACAGATTTGGAATAGTTGTCCGTAAACAATGTACAGATTTGGAATAGTTGTCCGTAAACTATGTACAGATTTGGAATAGTTGCCCATAAACAATGTACAGATTTGGAATAGTTGTCCGTAAACAATGTACAGATTTGGAATAGTTGTCCGTAAACAATGTACATATTTGGAATAGTTGTCTGTAAACAATGTACAGATTTGGAATAGTTGTCCGTAAACAATGTACAGATTTGGAATAGTTGTCCGTAAACAATGTACAGATTTGGATTAGTTGTCCGTAAACAATGTACAGATTTGGATTAGTTGTCCGTAAACAATGTACAGATTTGGAATAGTTGTCCGTAAACAATGTACAGATTTGGAATAGTTGTCCATAAACAATGTACAGATTTGGAATAGTTGTCCGTAAACAATGTACAGATTTAGAATTGTTGTCCGTAAACAATGTACAGATTTGGAATAGTTGTCCGTAAATGTTTATGTTTTTGAGCCGGAAACCCTGGAAACAAATTATTTCGAATCATTGCGTGGTTTTCCTATTGACACACACACACACGAAGTTAAGAAAACTCCTCCATTTCATGACCGTGAGGCTAAACTATTTCAATTTGTAGTGTCAATGAAGGTAATGACATACAATCTATTGTAATGTATGTATCAATTATAGTCATTTATTGTGATGTGTGTCATATGTCCAACGCCAACACCATTACATAATGCATACAATCGTCCTTTCCTCGTCCCACCCCCTAGCATGCAAGACGATATTTATCACGTTACAGTCGCTGTTATTTCCATTTCTTTCTGCACCAAACCTTGAATAATGTCATACGCCATATTCCCGACTAAAGGAAAAGTTAAACGAGAAGCAGTCTTCTCTAACGAGAATTTTTCAACTTACAACTTCTTGTGGCTGGGAGAGTGGCCAGAAAATATCTTGTTAGTTTGACTTGACTTGTCTGGAATGTTGCCGGGGATGTTTGCCTGGACCGTAACTTGGGGGGGGGGGTGGACTTATCAAGAGAAATAGCAATGTTTGGACAACAATAAATTCTTGTTTGAGTTCGTGAGTTCTCATAGTTTGTCGTCGATTCTAGAAGAATGTTGAGTCGGAGACTCGAAGACCGATCGTATTTTTGGGTGCAGTGCTGGAATTTTTTGTGTCGATTAAACTTTAACCTCACGGTGTTTATATCTTCTTTTAAGGGATAAGTGCAACATAGCGTCATGGAGTCTCATTTATTTGGAGATTTTTACGTTGACTTTGGAGTTGTTTTCGGTGAAATTCGTAGGTGTCGTAGCCACAAGCACCCACTCCGCAACTGCCCGCGACTATACAAAACCATAATGAACTACTAATCTAATAAGATATCTTAAGAATAACAGCAAGCCATCGAGCCGAAGCTTATTTAAGCCATCCTCAGCGCAACCCCTTTTTCCCCCCAACCCGAAAATCCGACACTTCGGGCCACAAAGCGGCACGCCTGAAAGACTCCGCCACCGAGATAGCCCCACCCGCCGCCCACTCGATTGACCAAGAAAGTGGGACAAAACAACCAAGGAGCACATGAAAGCTACGGACCTGAAATACACCCCTTCCCAACCCGGGGTGGCCTCAGACGCCCTCTAACCGGGTTTCTGCAAATGATTTTCTCCCTCGTGAAATAAGTCACTAAGCAGCCGGGAAGAACGGTTGCCTACGAACCCTCAAAGGCTGTGCCTGTATGATAGAATCATCTGCATGAGTTGTCGCAACCCATGCCTCATGTTCACTAGCGACAACTTGTAATCATGATCCCGACCTGTTTCTGTCGTTATATTCAACTGTATTTAGTGTAATTGGGTAGGTACCATACAGCAGTGGTGTTGCTGACGCAGATATCATGCAAGACCCTTGTCTCCCTACGTAAATCACCTACATGGTGGTGCTGTGCCCCGGGTAACGCCAAGGGGTGGGTGAAAGCACCGTTTAATCTGCATGTCACGACAGACATATCGACTGGAGCCCCGGGGAACCACTCAAAGGTGTGAAAACAGCACTGTTAGAGATCAAAGAAATCCGACGTTCATCACACCAGAAACGCCTGCTTCATTGAGGTGACGCGAGCTTTGGATGCAGCTTCGTAGTATTGGGAACTTAAAAACAAGTTTGTGTCGGTAAAGATGATTTTAATTCTTCTCCGATTTTTCAAAGAGTTGGAGAAAACACATTCTTAGCTTGATACATCTCCGGAATGTTATGAAACTGTCCACAGCTGTATATTTATGCAACATCTGATTGACTCAAATTTCGGCTTAACCAACATTTCTGGGAACCTTGCAGCAGTGCTGTTTATACCAGGCATATTTCACGGATAGGTCTACTATTAATGGCATTTACATTCGCCAAATGACCAGAAAGATTGTTTAAAAAGTGAACTGGATGGCTCCATAGCTCAAACGACCATCTTAACCATCCTTGATAAGTCTTAAGCATCATTGCTTGATACCATCTTAACCATACTAGATACAATTTTAATCATCCTTGATACCATCGTTCCCATCATTGATACCGTCTTAACCATCCTTGGTACCATCTTAACCATCCTTGATACCATCTTAACCATACTCGGTACCATCTCGACCATCCTTAATACCGTCTTAACCATCCTTGGTACCATCTCGACCATCCTTAATACCGTCTTAACCATCCTTGGTACCATCTCGACCATCCTTAATACCGTCTTAACCATCCTTGGTACCATCTCGACCATCATTACTTACCGTCTTAACCATCCTTGGTACCATCTCGACCATCATTACTTACCGTCTTAACCATCCTTGGTACCATCTCGACCATCCTTAATACCGTCTTAACCATCCTTGGTACCATCTCGACCATCCTTAGTTTAATACATTAACTGGGCCGCGCCCCCTCCCCCCCTTTTTCTGCCTCGTTCGCTATTTGTGTAGTCTGACTAGGATCGATACCTTGTGTTTTGAGTACTTAGATTTACGCACTTCCTGTTGCATGTCTTCGGGCGACAACAGCTCCGTTCTTCTGTTCCTGTCATGCCATGTGCTATAAAGAATGGAGCTGGCCCTCGCCATAGAAGGCGTCTGATGGCTGTCGTAAAGGTTCCAGTTAAAGGTATGATGCGTCTGTGATGAGATGCGGGGCCTCGCACGTTCTGTGCTTCGTCTGCCACCAAGAGCTGTTTACTTGGCGTTAACAAGGGGAGGAGTCCTTCGTCTGCCACCAAGAGCTGTTTACTTGGTGTTAACATGTGGGAGGAGTCCTTCGTCTGCCACCAAGAGCTGTTTACTTGGCGTTAACAAGGGGAGGAGTCCTTCGTCTGCCACCAAGAGCTGTTTACTTGGTGTTAACATGTGGGAGGAGTTCTTCGTCTGCCACCAAGAGCTTTTTACTTGGCGTTAACAAGGGGAGGAGTCCTTCGTCTGCCACCAAGAGCTGTTTACTTGGTGTTAACAAGGGGAGGAGTCCTTCGTCTGCCACCAAGAGCTGTTTACTTGGCGTTAACAAGGGGAGGAGTCGGGGGGGGGGGAATAAAAACACCTCCTTAAAAGTGACAATAAGATCGATGTAATGGTTTCGATATGAAGGGAAATTAATGAACGTTTATTGATTGATCTAACACAGCGGCATGGCCGTGAATTAGCCCTTCACCGGACTCTCGTACCGCTCTCAACGCCCGACTGAGGTGGGAGGCCATTTCGAAGCTGACCATGGCCTGGTCGGGCCGGGGATTTATTCGGGCAGGCGAGGACAGGCGGGAAATGCGAGGGTGGGGGGGGTGAGGTAACAAAATGATTTCCCAGGTCCCTGTGAGTGAGTCAACTTGATTCTGTTGGCTGGACGTGTGGGAGTGGTGGAAACTGTCGTGCATACTACTCTTTTGCCTTGATGTAACATAAGTTAATTCTTTCTTAGATCTGTTGTTACGGTACTCTTTTGCCTTGATGTAACATAAGTTAATTCTTTCTTAGATCTGTTGTTACGGTACTCTTTTGCCTTGATGTAACATAAGATACTTCTTTCTTAGATCTGTTGTTACGGTACTCTTTTGCCTTGATGTAACATAAGATACTTCTTTCTTAGATCTGTTGTTACGGTACTCTTTTGCCTTGATGTAACATAAGATACTTCTTTCTTAGATCTGTTGTTACACTTTTGCCTTGATGAAACATAAGATACTTCTTTCTTAGATCTGTTGTTACACTTTTGCCTTGATGTAACTTTTATAAGTTACTTCCTTCTTAGATCTGTTGTTACACATTTGCCTTGATGTAACATAAGTTACTTCTTTCTTAGATCTGTTGTTACACTTTTGCCTTGATGTAACTTAATATAAGTTACTTCCTTCTTAGATCTGTTATTACACCTTTGCCTTGATGTAACATAAGTTACTTCTTACTTAGATCTGTTGTTACTCTTTTGCCTTGATGTGATAAGTTACTTCCTTCTTAGATCTGTTGTTACTCCTTTGCCTTGATGTAACATAAGTTACTCCCTTCTTAGATCTGTTGTTACACTATTGCCTTGATGAAATAGTAGATACTATTTTTCAGACCTGTTTTTACACCATTGCCTTGCTCTAACATACGACACTTCTTTCTCAGATCTGTTCTTACACTATTGCCTTCAGGTAACATACGATACTACTTTCTCAGATCTGTTCTTAAACTATTACTTTGAAAGCTTGTTCCAGTCCCTGATTGTCTTGAGCAGGAATGAGCAGTTCCTATACTGGCTTCTTGCTGGTATGAGCCTGAATTGCCTTTTATGGCCTCTTAGCTGTCTATATGGGAGAGGGACGAGTTTCTGTTTAATACTGGAACAGAGGACCAGCCCATTATTTATTGGATTGTCGTCGTCGTTTCTCCAATGGTGACCAGCCTAGTGTTTCCAGCATGCTGCCAACACTAGAGGTATTCCTGTAGCGGTTTAGGATAAAGCGTGCTGCCCGTCGCTGGACCGCCTCCAACCTGTCAATGCTGTTCTGGGTAAATGGGTCCCAGACTGAAGATGCCTAATCTAAAGCCGGACGGACAAATGCTTTATATGCTATTTCTTTTACAAAGAAGTTGCCAATCTTTAGATTACGCCTTAAGAACCCCAGGGTCTTGTTTGCTTGGTTACATACATTGTAAATATGCTGGTCCCAGCGGACCTCTCTTTGATTGGTAACACACAGGTACTTACACTATTGCTTGATGTAACATGATATACTAAGTTCTCAGATCTGTTCTTACACTATTGCCTTGATGTAACATAATATACTACTTTCTCAGATCTGTTCTTACACTGTGTCTTGATGTAACATAAGATACTACTTTCTCAGATCTGTTCTTACACTGTGCCTTGATGTAACATAAGATACTACTTTCTCAGATCTGTTCTTACTCTGTGCCTTGATGTAACATAAGATACTACTTTCTCAGATCTGTTCTTACACTGTGCCTTGATGTAACATAAGATACTACTTTCTCAGATCTGTTCTTACACTGTGCCTTGATGTAACATAAGATACTTCTTTCTCAGATCTGTTCTTACACTGTGCCGTGATGTAACATAAGTTGCTTCTTTGTAAGATCTGTTGGTATCATCTTTATTTAATTATAGCACGCAGAAGTCTACAGAACTCCGTGACTTCAGGAAAGTTGTTGTGAAGCGCCATATAGTAATTTATGAATGTCAATATTTAAAAAAAAAATTGTTCATGGGGATATTAATCGATGCATTTAGTTAGTCTTTTTAAATTTAAAATAAAAGAAAGAAATATAATCAACTCCCTGCTGGATGGTGTATTAAAGTGTAAAACTACGGGACTGGTTGTCGCAGACGCAAGCACAGTTACAGTTGTAAGATTTGTTATTAAATTTAGTTTAGAAATGCCAACTCTGAAGAATAGACGAACATATTTTTTCATGTCTATAGCATTCTTCCGATGAGAAATCATTAACTATTTGCCTCTCCGTACATTTCTTTCTGTTCTAGGGTACAGTACATTTCTTTCTGTTCTGGAGTTCTAGGATGCAGTACATTTCTTTCTTTTCTGCAGTACAGTACACTTCTTGCTGTTCTGGGGTACAGTACATTTATTTCTGTTGTAGCGTACAGTACATTTATTTCTTTTCTGGGGCACAGTACATTTCTTGCTTTTCGAGGGTACAGTATATTTCTTGCTGTTCCTGGTCGTGATATGGACCATCCTTTACATTCTATAGATAAATACTGTCCCTCAAGACACCACATATAAATACTGTCCCTCAAGACACCACAGATATGTCATTGTCACATTAAGACTCTTGGATCCCCTGGGTTACTCTGTATATATTCTGTTGGATTTGAGAGACCGTAGTCACACTCTTTAAGGTTACTATTGGCTTGTCGGGGATATGGTCCAGGTCTGTATAGTTTCTATTGGATTTGAGAGACCGCAGTCCCACTCTATGGTTACTATTGGCTTTTCGGGGATATGGTCCAGGTTGTTTAGTTTGCTTGATTTGAGAGACCGTAGTCCCACTCTATATGGTTACTATTGGCTTGTCGGGGATATGGTCCAGGTCTGTATAGTTTCTATTGGATTTGAGAGACTGTAGTCCCACTCTATGGTTGCTATTGGCTTGTCCGGAATATGGTCCAAGTCTATATAGCTTCTTTTGCCTTGTACAGTTTCTATTGGCCTTTGGGGATATTCTGACCTCCTATTTTTAAGTGAATTCTGTGAGATACATTTTTTTAAAGTGTTTAAAAGGTTTACATTTAGAACTTAATCTTGTCTTCACTCAAGATGGCACCGGGGTTTTCTTGGGCTGGGTTTCTTGTCTCATTAATGTCATCAGAAATTAGTTAACTTATAACGCTGTAAACTCCACCTGCCTTCATCCGAACTTATATACTAGCTTCCTTGATCCGAACTGATATACTGGCTTCCTTCATCAGAACTGATATACTGGCTTCCTTCATCCGAACTGATATACTAGCTTCCTTGATCCGAACTGAAATACTGGCTTCCTTCATCCGAACTGATATACTAGCTTCCTTGATCCGAACTGAAATACTGGCTTCCTTGATCCGAACTGAAATACTAGCTTCCTTGATCCGAACTGAAATACTAGCTTCCTTGATCCGAACTGAAATACTAGCTTCCTTGATCCGAACTGATATACTAGCTTCCTTGATCCGAACTGATATACTAGCTTCCTTGATCCGAACTGAAATACTAGCTTCCTTGATCCGAACTGATATACTGGCTTCCTTGATCCGAACTGAAATACTGGCTACAAGATAAAAAATGGGCTGGTCCACTGTTCCAGTATTAAACAGAAACTCGCCCCTCTCCCCCACAGACAGCGACGAGGCCATGACAGGCAATTCAGGCTCATACCAACAAGAAGCCAGTAATCAGAAGAAGTTATCAGACCAGCATTTTGACGCAGTTATCAGACCAGTATTTTGACAAGTTCATCAGACTAGCAGTGTGACAAAATTATCAGATCCGTGTTCAGCGTCATATAATACTTCACAATAGAATCACGTATGCCACTATAAAGCTTTAACATCACCGACTGTTGTCGTCGGGTGTTCCTCATATATATATATAGGCCGGTATCACACATGTATGTAGGCCGGTATTCCACATGTGTGTAGGCCGGTATTCCACATTATGTCTGCCGGTATTCCATATATATGTAGGCCGGTATTCCACATGTATGTAGACCGGTATTCCACCTATATGTAGGCCGGTATTCCACATGTATGTAGACCGGTATTCCACATGTACGTAGGCCGGTATTCCACATTATGTCTGCCGGTATTCCATATATATATGTAGGCCGGTATTCCACATGTATGTAGACCAGTATTCCACCTATATGTAGGCCGGTATTCCACATGTATGTAGACCGGTATTCCACATGTATGTAGGCCGGTATTCCACATTATGTCTGCCGGTATTCCATATATATGTAGGCCGGTATTCCACATGTATGTAGACCGGTATTCCACATGTATGTATGCCGGTATTCCACATGTATGTAGACCGGTATTCCACATGTATGTAGGCGATGTCAAGTGTTGCTTCCCTTAGTGGAAGTCAATGTTTCTAACACAATTCATACATTGTTTTCATTAGAAAATAGTTTAAAAAATTTCTCCGCATTCCCTTTTGTTTTCCCGACATAAATGGAACACGTAAATACTAGTTAAATTAACCAAATAATAACGAACATTTATCCATTATGAATGCATGTACCAAAGGTTTACACTCTTGCTTTCAAGTAGTTGACATAGATAACACTATACTATACATAAGTCTTCTCTCTTCATCAAATCTATTATTCCATAGATAACACTAGACTACTATGCATAAGTCTTCTCTCTCCAGCAACCTTATTATTCCAGTGCAACATCCCTGTTCCCATGGCAATCTAACCACCTCAGCTTTAACAGCGACCCCTCTTCTTCATAAAGTGAACACACTGTAAACGTTGTAGGCCTACACCTTCATGGACTCGATACGGGACTGGCTAATCCTTGATACACAAATTAAGTTCTTTTCTAGTGAATTACCTCTCAGCATTTCTGTTTGATGTCGGTAGACGGGACGTAACGCGTCAGCTGCCCAGTCCGTGGGAGGTGGGAGACAATGTCCACAGACCTTGACATTTAAGCGGAGGACCTGGGATCACATCTCGATACGAGATGGTCTGGGTGGGGGTATCGGATGGGGGTGACCAGTGTGTGGGTGTGAGATGACCAGTGTGTGGGTGCGAGATGACCAGGGTGTAGGTGTGAGAGGACTAGTGTGTGAGCGTGAGATGACCAGTGTGTGGGCGTGAGATAACCAAGGTGTTGGTCTGAGATGACCAAGGTGTTGGTGTGAGATGACCAAGGTGTGGGTTTGAGATGACCAAGGTGTGGGTGTGAGATGACCGAGGTGTCGGTGTTAGATGACAAAGGTGTGGGCGTGGGATGACCAGATATGGGTGTCAAATGACCAAGGTGTGGGTGTGAGATGACCAAGGTGTGGGTGTGAGATGACCAGGGTGTTGGTGTGAGATTACTAGTGCATGGGTGTGAGAGGACCAATGTGTTGGTGTGAGATGACCAGAGTGTGGGTATGAGATGACGCCGGTGTGGGTGTGAGATGACCAGTGTGTGGGTGTGAGATTACCATGGTGTGGATGTGAGATGACAAGGGTGTGGATGTGAGATAACCAAGGTGTGGATTTGAGATGACCAAGTAGTGGGCATGAGATGACCAAGGTGTTGGTGTGAGATGACCAAGGTGTAGGGAGTAAGATGACCAAGGTGTGGGAGTGAGATGCCCAAGGCGTGGGCGTGAGATGACCAAGGCGTGGGCGTGAGATGACCAGTGTTTGGGCGTGAGATGACCAGTTTGTGAACGTGAGATGACCAGTGTGTGGGTGTGAGATGACTAGTGTGTAAGCGTGAGATGACCAGTTTGTTGGCGTGAGATTACCAAGGTGCCGGTCTGAGAGGACCAAGGTGTGAATGTGAGATGACCAAGGTGTGGGTGTGAGATGACTAAGGTGTGGGCGTGAGATGGACAGTGTGTGGTTGTGAGATGATTAGTGTGTAAGCGTGAGATGACTAGTGTGTAAGCGTGAGATGACCTGTGTCTGGGCGTGAGGTAAACAAGGTGCTGGTCTGAGATGACCAAGGTGTGGGTGTGAGATGACCAAAGGTTGGGTGTGAGATGACCAGTGTGTGGGCGTGAGATGACCAGTGTGTGGGCGTGAGATGACCAGTGTGGGCGTGAGATGACCAACGTGTGGGCGTGAGATGACCTGTGTGTGGGCGTGAGATGGGCAGGGTGTGGGATGACTAGTGTTAAGCATGAGATGACCAGTGTGTGGGCGTGAGATGACGAAGGTGCTGGTCTGAGATGACCAGGTTTGGGTAAAAGATGACCAGGTGTGGGTAAAAGATGACCAAGGCTTGGTTGTGAGATAACCAGGGTGTGGGCATGAGATGACCAAGGTATGGGAGTGAGATGACCAACGGCTGGGCGTGAGATTACCAGTGTTTGGGCGTTAGATGATCAGTGTGAGTGTGAGATGACCAAGGTGTGGGTGTGAGATTACCATGGTGTGGGAGTGAGAAAACCGTTTGGTTGTGAGATGACCAAGGTGCTGGTCTGAGATTACCAAGTTGTGGGTGTGAGATGACCAAGGGTTGGGTGTGAGATTAACACGGTGTGGGCGTGAGATGACCAAGGTTGTGGGTTTGAGAGTACCCAAGTAGGGCGTGAGATGACAAAGGTGCAGGTCTGAGATGACCAAGGTGTGGGTGTGAGATGACCAAGGGTTGGGTGTGAGATTACCAGGGTGTGGGAGTGAGATGACCAAGGTGTGGGTGTGAGATGACCACGTTGTGGGTGTGAGATGACCAGTGTGTGGGCGTGAGATGACCAGTGTGTGGGCGTGAGATGGACAGTGTGTGGTTGTGAGATGATTAGTGTGTAAGCGTGAGATGACTAGTTTGTAAGCGTGAGATGACCTGTGTCTGGGCGTGAGGTAAACAAGGTGCTGGTCTGAGATGACCAAGGTGTGGGTGTGAGATGACCAAAGGTTGGGTGTGAGATGACCAGGGTGTGGGCGTGAGATGACCAAGGGCTAGGCATGAGATTATCAGGGTGTGGGCGTGAGATGTTCAGTGTGAGATGATCAAGGTGGGGATGCGAGATTACCACGGTGTGGTTGTTAGATTACAAGGGTGTGGGTGTGCGATGACCAAGGTGTTGGAGTGAGATAACCAAGGTTGTGGGTTTGAGATGTCCCAGGTAAGGCGTAACGTGACCAAGGTGCTGGTCCGAGATGACCAAGGGTTGGGCTTGCGGTGACCAGGGTGTAGGCGTGAGATGACCACTGTGTTGGGCGTGAGATGATCAGTGTGAGATGACCAAGGTGTGGGTGTGAGATTACCACTGGTTGGGCGTGAGATGATCAGTGTGAGATGACCAGTGTTTTGGTTTGAGATGACCAATGTGTTGGTGTGAGATGACCAGGGTGTCGAGTTAGATGACCAGGGTGTGCGTGTGAGATGACCATGGAGTGGTTGTGATATAACCAAGGAGTTGTTGTGATATCAGACCTGTTTACCCCCAAACTCTTAAAATCGTACAGTATCATCACAAAATCCTTCAATACATTATCTTAATAGTAAAAAAACACACAGTGTATATAATGCATACACCTCAAAATCGTACATTGTACGCTAAAATCGTAAGAGTAAACAGGTCTGTGATATAACCAAGGAGTGGGCGTGAGACGACCAGGGTGTGGGTGTGATATAACCAAGGAGTGGGCGTGTGATGACGGGGTGTGGGTGTGAGATGACCAGTGTGTTTGTTTGAGATGACCGATGTGTTTGTGTGAGATGACCAAGCGGTGGTTGTGATATAACCAAGGAGTGGTTGTGATATAACCAAGGTGTGGGCGTTTGATGACCAGGGTGTGGGTGTGAGATGAGAGGAATGTGGTTTTTAGATGACAAGGGTATTAGTGAGATAAACCAGGTGTGGGTTTCATGTGACCAAAGTGTGGGCTTGAGACGACCAAGGTGTCGGTGTGAGGTGACCAAGGTGTGGGTGTGAGGTGACCAAGGTGTGGGTGTGAGGTGACCAAGGTGTGGGTGTGAGGTGACCAGGGTGTCGGTGTGAGGTGACCAGGGTGTCGGTGGGAGATGATCAGTGTGTTCGCGTGACATGAGCAGTGGGTGTGCGTGAGATGACCAGTGTGAGGTAACCAAGGTATGGGTGTGAGATGACCACGTGTTGGGTTTGAGATGACAATGGTGTGGGTGTGAGATGACCAAGGTGTAGGTGTGGGGTATTACCAAGGTGTAGGTGTGTGATGACCAAGGTGTGTGTATGAGATGACCAAGGTGTGTATGAGATGACCAAGGTGTGTGTATGAGATGACCAAGGTGTGTATGAGATGACCAAGGTGTGTGTATGAGATGACCAAGGTGAGGTTTTGAGACAGAACTGTTTATTTTTACGATTTGGCGTACAATGTACGGTTTTTACGGTTATTTGTGTACTCTCATGATAATGTATTGAAAGATTTTGTCATGATATTGTACGATTTTAAGAGTTCGGGGGTAAACAGGTCTTTTGGGATGACCAGGGTGTGGGTGTGAGTTGACTAGTGTTGTTGTCGTTAGATGGCTAGTGTGTGAGCGTGAGATAAATGAGTGGGCCTGAGATGATCAGTGTTTGGTCCTGAGATGACCAGTGTGAGGGTGTGAGATAACCAAGGTTTTGGGTGTGAGATGACCAGGGTGTGGGTGTGAAAGACCAGTGTTTGGGCTTGAGATGACCAGAGTGCAGGCTTGAGAAGACCAATGTGTGAGTGTCAGATTACATGTGTGTGGGTGTTAGATGACCAAGGTGTGTGTGTGTGATGACCAACGAGTGTGTATGAGATTACCAAGGTGTTGTCTTAAGATGACCAAGTCGTGGCTGTGAGATGATCAAGGTGTGGGTGTGATATGACTAAGGTGTGGGCGTGAGATGATCAGTGTGTGGGCGTGAGATGACCAGTGTGTGGGCCTGAGATGACCAGGTTGTGGGTATGAGATGACGAAGGTGTGGGTGTGAGATGACCAGTGTGGGTGTTAGATGACCAGGGTGTGGGCGAAAGATGACCAGTGTGTTGTCGTCATATGATCAAGGTGATAGTGGTTATTATATTGTTTAAATTCCACGACAGGCAGCGGTGCAAACGATTGTGTCCCTTCTTGGCATACTGAGACGTATCTACGTACACTATTACACTTGGGCCCTTTGCCATGTCTTTGGAATGGATCAGTTATAAATGTGCACACAATGATATCTATTATAATTATTGTTAGTATTGTATATACATAAGTCTGTGTTACGATTGAAGTGACACAAGACTGTTTTATGATTGTACAGACACAAGGCTGTGTTACGATTGTACTGACACAAGGCTGTGTTACGATTGTACTGACACAAGGCTGTGTTACGATTGTACTGACACAAGGCTGTGTTACGATTGTACTGACACAAAGCTGTGTTACGATTGTACTGACAAGGCTGTGTTACGATTGTACTGACACAAGGCTGTGTTACGATTGTATCGACTCACACACTTGTGTTCTCTGTGGATGGGTACACCAAACTTTTTAAGACTTTCTACACACTTAAACTTCTTTAGATTATTATATTTAAAAAAATAATAAACATTTATTGCCTCCCCGGGCCTCAGACGTGTAATGTTTACGTAATGTCCCTAACTGTTATGACAAGGTTGGCCCCCGTGGCTATGTGTGGGCCGGCCACAATCAATCGTGGGCATAATTGCCAATCAATATCTGCCTATGTGTGCAATGTAGTACAATTATGCCGTTATGATTTGAAGTGGTTCCATAATTGTATTTGTTGTATGTTTTTCTCTAACGGGGACGTAGGATTGCTGTTGTTACTCTTTGTTACCGGGTGGCATAAACTTCTGTTCAAAAGTGTTATCGTGTAGGGCTTCGGTGCATGCAGTACTGTAGGTGTTCGGTGCATAATGTACTGTAGGTGTTTGGTGCATGAAGTACTTTAGGTGTTTGGTGTATTAAGTACTGTAGGTTTCGGTGCATGGAGTACCGTAGGTGTTTGGTGCATGAAGTACTGCAGGTGTTTAGTGCATCAAGCATTGTAGGTGTTTGGTGTATTATTTACTGTAGGTGTTTGGTGCATGAAGTATTGTAGGTTTCGGTGCATGAAGTACTTTAGATGTTCGGTGCATGAAGTAATTTTGTGTATATTTAGTAGTGTCAGGGGTATACAGTTTATACTGAGCACTTGTGTATCACGACGTACATCCACTGGTTATTGTTTGTATCACAAACCCGGGTCTCAACCTCTACCCTTAACATTTTATCTATTACCTTGTCAAAATAACAGCATGGCCTCGAAAATGGAAGCCAATGATTACGCGTGATTAATGCTCATTTCACACAATCACATTTTTCGTCAAATGGTCGGCAAACTTATCTTTGAACCCACTATGTTCTAACAGAAAATAGATAGTTCAAAGACAAATTCGACACAAATTAGATCGTGTGAACTGAGGATAAGTCTCGTGTCTGTGTAATTAATTGTATACAGTTGATAGTAGCGGTTGAGCAAGAATTAAAATGGCAGCCGGCAGAGATGGTAATATCGTCAATTTTAGAAAAGGTTTGTTTTGTCGATTCCTAGGGCACCGTTCCCGAAATGGTGTTCCGTATAACGGCGCCGGCCCGCGGGCCTTACGTTGCCGGTCCGCAGAGCATTAGTCAAGAAACATGCTTGAGTCTCATTTCAAAACAAAAACCCAGAGTGTCGGGAGCATAAAAACTCTCCCCGCGCTGTAGGCTACAAGAGATACATGGAAAGCAAACAATTCGTGTCTGTTAGAATTTATGTCAAACCTTTCCATTAGAGGGCCGCACAAAATAAAGCCTGCTCAATGTAATCAACATTTCTTGACGTTACGAAGTTCATGCCTAAACTGGCAACCGCGGGAAATGTTTCTATTGGGGAAACTAGGGAGGAGGATGCCAGATTAACACGTGATAATAACAGTTTAACAAGTTGATTTGAGTTAAGCTGAACAATTAAGTTCACAAACATATGGTCCATTCAATTATCTTTCTTTTGATACCTCATTTTGTCTTACAAACCCAACAATAATATTTTAAATAGTTTGTTTTTTAAAATCCCAACCTCTCACGTCTGGTACCCTTGTGCGAATAGCCACTTCGTTAGTTTAATAACGCTATTTCTTGGTTGTATCGCAGGATTTTCCTAATACTGTGCCGTTAATGTTATCATGTTCTATTGACCTGGAGTTACCGTGTTGTTCTCGAACTGTGACAATGATGATAGCAATGAAAATAACAAGAAGCAATCTTCACCAACAGAGTACACTCACGGGTCATTGAAATTATAGCCCATGAACATATTGATCTGAACACAATACGGTGGGTGGAACGTGGAGGGTCTAGTTACTGGTTGGACTCGCAACCGAAAGGTCGGGCTCGGATATCTGAGGTCGGTCTATACTGGATGGCTGGATGGTCTAAACTGAGTCAACCCCCACATTAATGTACTCGAGTTCAATCTCTAGCCAAAGCACCAACATCACTCCGGTTACTTGGATGACAATTCATCTAAGTGGAGGCAGACCTCAAATCAAACTCCGGAGATGGAGTCCCGTAGGTGGTATTGACACGATGAACGCATCAAGAGCACAGTGAAACTCACCAGACACACTGCTGGTCATTGCTGCATTTCTGTCGTCTTGACCTTGTCTTGCCATTTGGACAAATGGCTGTCTTGCCATTTGGACAATTGGCCGACACATTGAGCAACTCTCCCTTACTAAAAAAACCACCACAATACAGCTCAAGTCAAGGCTACTGCTCAAGGAGAAAAAGGCCTTGGTCATCCTCGAATGCAAAGGACGAACATGAAGATCTCACTGGACAAGGTGGCCGTGTGCGTGCGTTGTTCATCATGGATGTTCTCTTCATTTTCACGTGCTTCTATCTTCACGGCCGATATTTTGTTGATCGCTTTTGATCATTTTGGAAAATGATTCTGGTATCATTATGTCTGTTTTACTGCGACCATTTTCTCCACAGAAATCCCAATCATTGTGTCTGACTGCGACCACCTTCCCTACTGAAATCCCAATCATTTTGTCTGTTTTACTGCGGCCATTTCCTCCACTGAAATCCCAATCTCTCAAAATTTTAAAAGCGCAGACATATAATTTGAACACAGACAAATTCATTTACGTTACTGCAGTGATTAAACTACTTATATTTACTTCATATACTCTGACCAAGGCTCGCTTAGAAAAACCCACAGAATCACGTTAATTTTTGGTCGTCGTTTTTGTGTGTGTTTTTGTTCCACGCCTCCATCGGTTTGCCGTTTTTGGAAGTACATTTTGTTACGTCTGTTCATTGTCAAGGTTTGACCAAACGAACCACAACACGAGCTCTCTACCTCAGTCTTTCAATACAATGTCCTACATTTTTCGTGTACACCCCTCAAGAGGGTGTCATTTTATCTTATACTTCTTACTTGGCATCAGAGGCGTCGTAGGACTGGCCGGAATACCGTGTACTGAGATTTCCTGCTCCATCGTTATGTTCTGGTGGTGCCACACTTGACCACACACCTGACGTTGCCACACTTGACCACACACCTGGCGTTGCCGCACGTGACCACACACCTGACTTGCCACACTTGACCACACACCTGTGTTGCCACACTTGACCACACACCTGGCGTTGCCGCACGTGACCACACACCTGCCTTGCCACACGTGACCACACACCTCCCTTGACCACACACCTGACTTGCCACACTTGACCACACACCTGTGTTGCCACACTTGACCACACACCTGTGTTGCCACACTTGACCACACACCTGGCGTTGCCACACGTGACCACACACCTGACTTGCCACACTTGACCACATACCTGTGTTGCCACACTTGACCACACACCTGGCGTTGCCACACGTGACCATACACCTGGTTTTGCCACGTGTGACCACATACCTAGTGTTGCCACACTTGACCGCACACCTGGTATTGCCACCCTTGACCACACACCTGGTGTTGCCCCACTTGACCACACACCTGTCGGTGCAACACTTATCCTGACGTCCATACTGTCCTTGCGTCCATACTATCCTAGCGTACATACTGTCCTTGCGTCCATACTGTCCCATACTGTCCTGGAGTGCATACGATTCTGACGTCCATACTATCCTTGATTCCATACCGTCCTGGCGTTCATACCGTCCTGGAGTCCATACTGTCCCATTCTGTCCTTGAGTCCATACTATCCTGGCGTCCATACTGTCCTGGCGTCCATACTGTCCTTGAGTCCATACTGTCCTGGCGTCCATACTGTCCTGGCGTCCATACTGTCCTGGCGTCCATTTTGTCCTGGTGTCCATACTGTCCTTGAGTCCATACTGTCTTTGAGTCCATACTGTCCTTGAGTCCATACTGTCCTGGCGTCCATACTGTCCTTGAGTCCATACTGTCCTGGCGTCCATACTGTCCTGGCGTCCATACTGTCCTGGCGTCCATACTGTCCTGGCGTCCATACTGTCCTGGCGTCCATACTGTCCTGGCGTCCATACTGTCCTGGCGTCCATACTGTCCTGGCGTCCATACTGTCCTGGCGTCCATACTGTCCTGGCGTCCATACCGTTCTGGCGTCCATACCGTCCTGGCGTCCATACCGTCCTGGTGTCCATACCGTCCTGGCGTCCATACCGTCCTGGCGTCCATACTGTCCTTGAGTCCATACTGTCCTGGCGTCCATACTGTCCTTGAGTCCATACTGTCCTGGCGTCCATACTGTCCTTGAGTCCATACTGTCCTGGCGTCCATACTGTCCTGGCGTCCATACTGTCCTGGCGTCCATACTGTCCTGGCGTCCATACTGTCCTGGCGTCCATACTGTCCTGGCGTCCATACTGTCCTGGCGTCCATACTGTCCTGGAGTCCATACTGTCCTGGCGTCCATACTGTCCTGGCGTCCATACTGTCCTGGCGGGGAACTATTGGCCAAACTTTTGTCGCGAAATGACGGGCTGTAAAACAAGAGCCCATAATAAGACGTTAATATCTTGTGGGCTGGATAAGTCTAAGGGTATAGAGTAGCCACGATAGCTTAATCATGATAATATGCCGTTGTCTGTTATCATTGCTCAAGTTATCTGAGGTATGATTGTAAACAATAAGGAATTGTAAACAATAGTAGAATCACGGCAACAGATGGAACGGAAATAATAGGTTGGTGGGGTTGAGGTACGTAGTTGGAATCTTTTTAAATACTTGGGATAAAACCTAACTTCCTTCACTGACTGGAGATAAAACCTAGCACCCATCACTATCTAGAGATAAAAACTAAATTCTTATCACTAACTAGGGATAAATCCTACCATCCATCGCTAAGTATAAATACTAACATCCATCACTAAGGATACAACCTAACATCCATCACTGACTAAGGATAAAACCTAACATCCGTCACTAAGGATACAACCTACAATCCATCACTGACTAAGGATACAACCTAACATCCATCACTGTCTAAGGATACAACCTAAAATCCACCACTGTCTAAGGATACAACCTAAAATCCACCACTGACTAAGGATACAACCTAAAATCCATCACTGTCTAAGGATAAAACCTAAAATCCATCACTGTCTAAGGATAAAACCTAAAATCCATCACTGTCTAAGGATACAACCTAAAATCCATCACTGTCTAAGGATACAACCTAAAATCCACCACTGACTAAGGATACAACCTACAATCCATCACTGTCTAAGGATACAACCTAAAATCCATCACTGTCTAAGGATACAACCTAAAATCCACCACTGACTAAGGATACAACCTACAATCCATCACTGTCTAAGGATACAACCTACAATCCATCACTGACTAAGGATACAACCTAAAATCCACCACTGACTAAGGATACAACCTACAATCCATCACTGACTAAGGATACAACCTAAAATCCATCACTGACTAAGGATACAACCTAACATCCATCTCTGTCTAAGGATAAAACCTAAAATCCATCACTGTCTAAGGATACAACCTAAAATCCATCACTGTCTAAGAATAAAACCTAAAATCCATCACTGTCTAAGGATAAAACCTAAAATCCACCACTGACTAAGGATACAACCTAAAATCCACCACTGACTAAGGATACAACCTAAAATCCATCACTGACTAAGGATACAACCTACAATCCACCACTGACTAAGGATACAACCTACAATCCATCACTGTCTAAGGATACAACCTAAACTCCATCACTGTCTAAGGATACAACCTAACATCCGACAGTGCCTAAGGATAAAACCTAAAATGTCTGACAGCTCTGTTGGTAGATGCGTAACTGTGTGGTATTGAATTCTTTAGCGAGACATATATGTTATGGAATCCTTTTTGTGAGACATAGATGTTATAAAAGGAAACCTGGGATTGTTGGGTGTAGGGTGGTTTCATATGCCATGGTTGCGAACCCGTTGCAAAGAAAGAATAGGGCCACAAAACAAACACAATATTCACCCTTGTTATACAATGTAAGGATATCGCCTTGGATATCTGGGAAGTAGCTTTACACAGAAATAGTTACAAAAGGAAAGAAAGAAAACACAATGTTTTCTAAGAAATGTCTTTATCTTAGATGGCGTGCTACCAAGAGATAATAAAAATTTGTGGTGGCAGGATAGTGAATACATTTGATAATGGTTTGGGAGAACGAACATCTAAGATAAACGGGGCATGATATGGTTATGTGGACACAAAATATGGGCCACTGACATGTGTGATGGTTGTTGAAAACACAAAATACGGGCCACTGACACGTACGATGGTTGTTGAAAACACAAAATACGGGCCACTGACATGTATGATGTTTGTGGAAAACACAAAATACGGGCCACTGACATGTGTGATGGTTGTTGAAAACACAAAATACGGGCCACTGACACGTACGATGGTTGTTGAAAACACAAAATACGGGCCACTGACAAGTATGATGTTTGTGGAAAACACAAAATACGGGCCACTGACACGTACGATGGTTGTTGAAAACACAAAATACGGGCCACTGACATGTATGATGGTTGTTGAAAACACAAAATACGGGCCACTGACATGTATGATGGTTGTTGAAAACACAAAATACGGGCCACTGACATGTATGATAGTTGTTGAAAACACAAAATACGGGCCACTGACACGTATGATGGTTGTTGAAAACACAAAATACGGGCCACTGACATGTGTGATGGTTGTTGAAAACACAAAATACGGGCCACTGACATGTGTGATGGTTGTTGAAAACACAAAATACGGGCCACTGACATATGTGATGGTTGTTGAAAACACAAAATACGGGCCACTGACATGTATGATGGTTGTTGAAAACACAAAATACGGGCCACTGACACGTATGATGGTTGTTGAAAACACAAAATACGGACCACTGACATGTGTGATGGTTGTTGAAATGGTAAAAATGGTTGGTTGCTTCAACATTACAGAACCACGTTGGTTGTTAACACTCCCCAAAATGTTGGTTCTCTGGACACAAAGAATTGGAATGGCTTGATGCAGTGTCATCACGATCTCGTTGACACGTAGCGATACGTCTCTTCAGCATCATATCAATTGTGTGTCCCGGGGTGGACACGGGATTACACGCATCAGTAGAGCTGGCCTGGCGGGCGCTGGATGTATGAAAGGTGCCGGACGGATAGATCACTCCAGATCAGCAATGTTTCATCTGGAAGCGAGGGATTGTTGCGGGTATCATGTGATAGAAATGGCTTTGTCTCATCTTGTCGTGGCATGATATCGTCACATGACCACCGGGACATAGGCGATTTCTGAAACAGTATTGGTATTGGAAGCACCAGCGTCAAAGCAAGAACAACAATGACTTATGTGGAACAAAATGTATACAAACCTACCGTATGACAACCTCATTGATCTAATGCTAAATGCCTTAAAGACGCGTCCGCCTGCTGTTGACACGATGAATCAATGAGAAACGTTAACCAAAGTGTGGAAGAGATCTTTAGATCAGTGGATGAGTGCATGTTACTTGTCAAGTTAGGTGCGTTAGATCGGATGACGTCAGAAGAGCACAGTTGGTGCAAAAGCTCACTAGTTTAGATTAGGTATTTATGGAAATGAAAATCTCCTAAAGAAACCCGTAATCAATTAGATCTATTATCCACCCCCCCTTTCTTTTTCCTTTAAAGTTTTTAAAGATAATATATTATCTTTTCTTCTCATTCACCATTTTATTATGTCCAAATCCTCTTATAATTTTCCTCACTGTGCTCTCTCTATCTCCCTAGTTGTTATTCATTCTATAACTCCCTAATTGTTATTCATTCTCTATCTCCCTAGTTGTGGTGATGCACTCTCTATCTCCTTAGTTGCTATTTTCTATACAGTCGAACCCGGTTATGTCGACAGCCTCGGGGTTTGCCAAAAAAAGCGTCGAGATAACGGATGATCGAGATAATCGAAAACCAATATAGTGGCAATATATTAAAATTTGCTAGAAATTTCTGTATGTACACGAAGTGTGTTTACAATGAGAATGTACATGCACGTGTTTTCAGAGTTTTTTTTTACACAACAGCGTAACCACGATATGTTTGATGCAGCGATCGGCATGCTATAAAAATGCACATACATGTTAGCTAACGACACAAGGCATATGACATATGTGGGGTGCCACTTTTCCGGATTATCCCAGAATTCCTGGATTCGTGAGGATACATATTTTTCAGCTCCGGATTCGCGAGTTTTTATCTTCTCTGGCTCTGGATTCGCCATTTCAGTTCACTCAAAATACGGATTCCGTTTTTTCAACAACAACAAAAAAAAAAATTAAAAAAATCAACGTGTAAGAACGCGTGAAAGCCTTTTTAGCGACACGCCCCGACACACTCAAGGACTACAGAACGAATGTTACCACAACGTCTATTGTGTCATCTTCTGCTCCCGCCCCGACACACTCAATGACCACACAACAACTGTTGCCACAACGTCTTTTGTGTCATCTTCTGCTCCCGCCCCGACACACTCGATGACCACACAACAACTGTTGCCACAACGTCTTTTGTGTCATCTTCTGCTCCCGCCCCGACACACTCAATGACCACACAACAACTGTTACCACAACGTCCTTTGTGTCATCTTCTGCTCCCGCCCCGACACACTCAATGACTACAGAACGAATGTTACCACGACGTCCATTGTGTCATATGTCATCTCCTGCTCCCGCCCCGACACACTCGATGACCACACAACAACTGTTGCCACAACGTCTTTTGTGTCATCTTCTGCTCCCGCCCCGACACACTCAATGACCACACAACAACTGTTGCCACAACGTCTTTTGTGTCATCTTCTGCTCCCGCCCCGACACACTCAATGACTACAGAACGAATGTTACCACGACGTCCATTGTGTCATCTTCTGGTCCCGCCCCGACACACTCGATGACTACAGAACGAATGTTACCACGACGTCCATTGTGTCATCTTCTGGTCCCGCCCCGACACACTCGATGACCACAGAACGAATGTTACCACAACGTCCATTGTGTCATCTTCTGCTCCCGCCCCGACACTCAAGGACTGTCACAAATTGTTGCTATACATATAAGTATAAGCCAAGACCTCAAAAATCTAGTTAACTGCTATAAATTACTAACTCAGTATCTCTAGTACACAGGTTCTCAAGCAACAATCACATTCATATAGAAGCAAAGTGACCCTTACAATAATATGTGGGGTTTGGGGGGGGGGGGGAGATCTTTTAAGAAGAGTAAATTCTTGGAGGGGGAAAAAAATCAAAAACTTATTTTTTTAGTACAAGTTTTTTGGGGACATTTTTAGTGGCAGGAATGAAATTGAAACTTTAAGACACAAATAAACATTTAAAACACAAATAAAAAAAGCAACAATCACATTCATATAGAAGCAAAGTGACCCTTACAATAATATGTGGGGTTTGGGGGGGCGGGGGGGAGATCTTTTAAGAAGAGTAAATTCTTGGAGAGGGAAAAAAATCTAAAACTTAATTTTCTAGTACAATGTTTTTGGCGACATATTTAGTGGCATGAATGAAATTGAAACTTTAAGACACCAATAAAACTTTAAGACACCAATTAAATGAGAAAACTTTAAGACACCAATTAACCAAGAAAACTTTAAGACTCCAAGAAAACTTTAAGACACCAATTAACCATGAAAACTTTAAGACACCAATTAAATAAGAAAACTTTAAGACACCATTAAATAAGAAAACTTTAAGACACCAATTAAACAAAGCTTTAAGACACCAATTAAATAAGAAAACTTAAAGACACCAATTAAATAAGAAAACTTTAAGAGACCAATTAACCAAGAAAACTTTAAGACACCAATTAAATAAGAAAACTTAAAGACACCAATTAAATAAGAAAACTTTAAGACTCCAAGAAAACTTTAAGACACCATTTAACCAAGAAAACTTTAAGTCACCAATTAAATAAGAAAACTTTAAGACTCCAAGAAAACTTTTAGACTCCAAGAAAACTTTAAGACACCAATTAAACAAGAAAGCTTTAAGACACCAATTAAACAAGAAAACTATAAGACACCAATTAAACAAGAAAACTTTAAGACACCAATTAAACAAGAAAACTTTAAGACACCAATTAGACAAGAAAACTTTAAGACGGCAATTAAACAAGAAAACTTTAAGACACCAATTAAACAAGAAAAATTTAAGGGTTAGGTGGGGGTTAGGACGCAGACGGCAGAGCTTAGTGACGCAGATGCGCACGAGCACTGCCCCTTGCGCACATATTTCTGGCGGCTGGATAGCAACAGGGATCCTACCTGCCGACATTGCAGCATGGCCCCGGAGACCCCAGAGCACCCGTTGACCGAATGTCCCTCACTGGATCTCCCGGGGGAAGCCAGGGCGGTTGGAGGACCCTTTGTGAGGGAAATGTTGTATGGCTCAGCTCAACAGATGGAGTTGATAGCCAATTGACTAGCCGGGGTCATAAGAGAGTAATCTCAGACCCTCACCAGAATATGTGTGTTAGTTAGTGACGGTTTCGAAACTGGGGATAAGCAGCGGAAAATGAAGCAACTAGTAAGTAGTCAGTGACCGAGCTCTCAACAAACATTAACATACATCAAGAGATTATAACCATTACACAACTATAAAAACGGATTATATTTGTTCATTAAACTCATTTTCTCCCGGTTTTTTTCCGGGATCCTGGGATGAGGAAAACTTCCTTCCCGTTTCGCCGGGATAAGCAACAGCCCAGTAAATGAGGACCGCTGGTATCAGCACACTAAAGCACAATTAAAGCCAAGTTCAATGGAACCATTCTGCCATCATTGTCTTATTGGGCTGACGTTTAACTCGTGTGCGTACAAGCGTATCAAGCGTTGAGTGAGACTTGATCTATCCGGACCCACTCCTGGTACCGTCACAGCATCGACGGGCTGAAACTTGATCTATCCGGACCCACTCCTGGCACCCTCACAGCACTGACGGGCGTCACTGTCGAGCCGTTCGGACCATTGTTTACATTGAACGCTTTTTAAATCCCTTATATGAACAGCGCAATTCGCTTGTGGTTGGCAAAAATCTTCGGACACCTAATTGACCCACTTCCCGACGGCCTATCGAGCTGAAACTTGGCACATAGACATAACACATTCGACCGGTATCAAATTTTGAGCCAAGCCCCCAACCCCCGAAAATAACAGTTTTTCCTGTTTTTCCAATGGGAACATGAAGGCAATATGATGACACTAATTTCACGAAATAAAATTCCCGATAACTGCGCCCAATGATATTCTTTCAGACAAATATAAATACAAAATCGCACGTGCGTTTGATGCGTAATATTCTCATTTGTTTTTTCTGAAATCGTGAAATAAATCTGCGATGTAAACGTAGGTGGGTCATTAGAATATTAATAGAGTTCAGGGGCGTGGAACAAATGTGCGGCTGCGAGCCTTGTGGGGATGGGGAGGGAATCAATAACTGGGATTCTTATAAAGTGCGTTACTTGTAGGCAGGTCTGGGCCCCCCCCCCCACTCCCCATTGCTCGATATTCCACTTATAAAGGATTCATAGGAACAGCTTTGTGTTTAGGGTTTGTTTAATGTAAATAAATAGAAGAAAGTGAGATATGTTTACGGCTGCTGAGATAATGTTAATAAAGATAACTGTCTTAGTTTTAGCCACAGGGCTGAGAACCAGTCATGGATATCTAAAAGTTTAGATAACAGTGTTGATACCGGTAATGGAAATCTTTAAGTACGTCACACCTACTATGTGTGGATCCGAGATTTTAGTTACCTTACACCTGCTATGTGAGGGCCAGTGGTGTCAGTTACCTCACACCTATTATGTGAGCACCAGTGATGTTAGTTACCTTATTCCTACTATGTGAGGACCAGTTACCTTATACCTACAATGTGAGGACCAGTGATGTTAGTACCTTATACCTCCTATGTGAGGACCAGTGACCTCACACTTACTATGGAAGGTCCAGTGATGTTAGTACCTTATACCTCCTATGTGAGGACCAGTGACGTCACACTTACTATGGAAGGACCAGTGATGTTAGTACCTTATACCTCCTATGTGAGGACCAGTGACGTCACATTTACTATGGAAGGACCAGTGATGTTAGTACCTTATACCTCCTATGTGAGGACCAGTGACCTCACACATCCTATGTGAGGACAATTGACCCCACACCTCCTATGTGAGGACCATTGACGCCACACCTCATATGTGAGAACCAGTGATCCCACACCTCCTATGTGAGGACCAGTGACCCCACACCTTCTATGTGAGGACCAGTGACCCCACACCTCCTATGTGAGGACCATTGACCCCACACCTCATATGTGAGAACCAGTGACCCCACACCTCCTATGTGAGGACCAGTGATGTTAGTTACCTCACATCGTTACCATCGTTTCAGTGCTCCAATGGTAACGATCGTGAGTTCACTCATGCGTGACATTTGGGATGGGAGCTGCGTCTTGAACTAATAAGGAAGAGGCGTGTTGACACTTTCTTTTTTTTCCCCAACATTATCTCGGAACTGCAGTTCTAGAGCTGTGTCATTTAGATCGGAACTGGAGCTCTAGAGCTGGGTCATTTTGATCTGAACTGGAGCTCTAGAGCTGGGTCATTTTGATCGGAACTGGAGTTCTAGAGCTGGGTCATTTTGATCTGAACTGGAGTTCTAGAGCTGAGTCATTTTGATCGGAACTGGAGTTCTAGAGCTGTGTCATTTAGATCGGAACTGGAGCTCTAGAGCTGGGTCATTTTGATCTGAACTGGAGCTCTAGAGCTGGGTCATTTTTATCTGAACTGGAGTTCTAGAGCTGGGTCATTTTGATCGGAACTGGAGTTCTAGAGCTGGGTCATTTTGATCAGAACTGCAGTTCTAGAGCTGGGTCATTTTGATCGGAACTGGAGTTCTAGAGCTGGATCATTTTGATCAGAACTGGAGTTCTAGAGCTGGGTCATTTTGATCGGAACTGGAGTTCTAGAGCTGGGTCATTTTGATCGGAACTGGAGTTCTAGTCGACCCAGTAAAACTAGTCTTGACCTCAAGATCTCGACGGTCATTTTGATCGGAACTGGAGTTCTAGAGCTGGGTCATTTTGATCGGAACTGGAGTTCTAGAGCTGGGTCATTTTGATCGGAACTGGAGTTCTAGAGCTGGGTCATTTTGATCAGAACTGGAGCTCTAGAGCTGTGTCATTTTGATCGGAACTGGAGTTCTAGAGCTGGGTCATTTTGATCGGAACTGGAGTTCTAGAGCTGGATCATTTTGATCAGAACTGGAGTTCTAGAGCTGGGTTATTTTGATCGGAACTGGAGTTCTAGAGCTGGGTCATTTTGATCAGAACTGGAGCTCTAGAGCTGGGTCATTTTGATCGGAACTGGAGTTCTAGAGCTGGGTCATTTTGATCAGAACTGGAACTCTAGAGCTGTGTCATTTAGATCGGAACTGGAGTTCTAGAGCTGTGTCATTTAGATCGGAGCTGGAGCTCTAGAGCTGGGTCATTTTGATCTGAACTGGAGCTCTAGAGCTGGGTCATTTTGATCGGAACTGGAGTTCTAGAGCTGGGTCATTTTGATCAGAACTGGAGCTCTAGAGCTGTGTCATTTAGATCGGAACTGGAGCTCTAGAGCTGTGTCATTTTGATCAGAACTGGAGTTCTAGAGCTGGGTCATTTTGATCGGAACTGGAGTTCTAGAGCTGTGTCATTTAGATCAGAACTGGAGTTCTAGAGCTGGGTCATTTTGATCGGAACTGGAGTTCTAGAGCTGGGTCATTTTGATCGGAACTGGAGTTCTAGAGCTGGGTCATTTTCTAGTCTTGACCTCAAGATCTCGACGGTCATTTTGATCGGAACTGGAGTTCTAGAGCTGGGTCATTTTGATCGGAACTGGAGTTCTAGAGCTGGGTCATTTTGATCAGAACTGGAGTTCTAGAGCTGGGTCATTTTGATCAGAACTGGAGCTGGTAAATTTTATCACTGCCCCGAGCTTTAATATTTAGGAACATTTGATGTTAAAAATTATTTGAACGTATAGTTTTAAGCAAATTAATTCATTAAAATTGATGCCCTATTCTACTACCAGCAATACTGCCAAACTCTACTACCAACAATGTTCCCTCCACTCTTCTACCAGCATTGTTTCTCACACTCTACTACCAGCATTGTTGCCCACACTCTACTACCAGCATTGTTTCTCACACTCTACTACCAGCATTGTTGCCCACACTCTGCTACAATGTTGCCACACTCTTCTACCGCTATGTTGCCACACTCGTTTACCAGCTAAGTTGCCACATTCTTAAAATAAATTTTTTTTGAGTCTAGTGTTTTATTTGTTGAAAAAGAGGGGGGGGGGAGGGGGAGGGGGTTGGTGCAAAGAAATCAGTTCTACCATCTCCTCACCATATGACGCCCCCCCCCCCCCCCCCCCCTTGTTTCTTTTGAAGGTTGATGTCCATGAAGATAGCTCTATTGTGCTTATGTTTTTTGAAAATCGTGGATGTTAAATTTTAATAATGTAATAAAGGCTGGGAGTGAGCAGTCTGAAAGTGGACTTGTGTACTCAGCTGAACTACGGTGTGTTAACAATATGAGACCTGTTGATGACCATTCTAATGGACAGTGATTTATTTTGCTAGACATAAGACATTTTTTTTTGGCCAGTATATTTATTTATTGTTTAATTTGTTCAGACTTCAACAGTGTTGGATTACATCAAAACTTTTATCGTTTACATGACGAAGAAATAATTCATTTTTACAAAACAATTCCCCGCCCCCTTCCCCCCCCCCATTTTTTTTTTGGGGGGGACCAAATTCTTGCATGATCGTTCGAATACTTTATCATTATTTGGTAAGAGCTTCATCATGTGACTTTCAAGTCTCAATGACTGCAGTGGAGTATTATATCTTCCCATAGACAGACTCCCCTCTCTGGGTGTTACTATTTAAGCAAGACCCAGCATATTTTGGTGGGAGCTTAGGGTAAGTGCCGTATTGATTTCTTCATCAAGTGTCAAGGTTTTCTTTGACTTTTCTCCCCCGGACTCTTTTAAAAGACTTGTGTAAGTAACACGGGCGCTTAGATATATCAGCCCGCTTCTCTTGCGCCGGTCTTTTTTATGGCGTCTCTGGCGTAGGGTCCGATCAGACACCGGCCTGTTCACCGACGGAGTATTTCCTCAAGATAAGCTGCCGCCGTTGTGTCGGTGAAAGGTGGCTCAGCTGTAAAGCCGGTGGATGTCGCCCCCCTGTGTTAGTACAATTTGATCCAGGTCAGAACCTGGTGGATGCCGCCCCTGTCTGGGTAAGGAGGTTCAGTTAAGAACCAGGCGTTGTGTCGGTGAAATGTGGCTCAGCTATGAAGCCGGTGGATGTCGCCCCTGTGTTAGTGCAATGTGGTCAAGCTCAGAACCTGGTGGATGCCGCCCCTGTCAGGGTAAGGAGGACCAGTTAAGAACCAGGCGGATGCCGCCCCTGTCAGGGAAAGGTGGCCCATGTAGTTAAGAACCAGGTGGATGTCGCCCCTGCCAGGGTAAGGTTGCCCAGTTAGAACCATGTGGATGCCGCCACTGCCAGGGTAAGGTGGCCCAGTTAAAAACCTGTCGGATGACGTCCATATCCCATTTAAGGTTGGCCCAGCTAAGAACCTGTCGAATGACGTCCTATGTCATTTAAGGGTGGTCCAGCTGTCGGATGACGTCCCTGACAGAAAAGCAATGAAGGAAGTGACAAACAGCTCGTTGGGGATGTGCCGGCATCTGTGTGAGGGAAATCATTTGGGGCTCCTGGAGCATAATTCAGACATTCAAGTAGCCCCTCCTCTCTAGCATTTCTCATCAAACTTGAACCATTACAGATCCCAGGAGGGTTTTATGTTATTTTTAATTAGAGCACGGGGAATTAGAGCAAGTAAAAATGTCTGGAAAGTTGGAACAAAATATATGTGAATTACCAGGAATAAAATACTTTAATTGATCTTTTTTGAAACTCTATGAATTACCATTAGTAAAATACTTCAAAATATAAGTTTTTAAAATCTGTGAATTACCATGAATAAATTACCGGTACTTTAAAAGACCTTTGAACAAATCTGTGAATTACCAGGAATAAATTCCCATTACTTTAAAAGACCTTTGAACAAATCTGTGAATTACCTGGAGTAACATGCTTTAATGATGTTAGAACAAATATGTGAATTACCTGGAGTAACATACTTTAATGATGTTAGAACAAATCAGTGAATTACCTGGAGTAACATGCTTTAATGATGTTAGAACAAATCTGTGAATTGCCAGTAGTAAAACACTTTAAAAGACCTTTGAACAAATCTGCGAATTACCAGGAGTAAAATACTTCAAAATATCATTTGTAAATATCTGTGAATTACCAGGAATAAATTACTCCCCAAAATCTGAGAATTAAGTGGAATAAATTGGATAATAAGATTTTTTTGTTGAAATGTTAGAACAAAAAGGTAGCGTAGTATGGCAAGAATTTGTCAGATGGCAGTCAGTTAAAGATTATTCTCTCGGACTCACTCCCGAACACTTCTAGAACCTCAATGGTCTCACCCACCCCCCCCCCCCACACACACACACCCTTTCCCTTTAACTACAGATGTTTTGGACACAGGTGACTAACCATAATGACTGGTTGTCATTAGATTAATGTGGTCTCATGGGAGAATGTTGTTGTCTGAACTGGATGCTTGAGCCCCTGCCTCCACAACTCCCTTACAGAAACTATATCCGTTGTTTGAGATGGCTTTAGTGCGCACGTGTACTTCAGTATGTTTAGAATGATACGAAATGGGGCAGTGACAAGGTGAGATTGAATTATTAACAATAATACTTTCAAATAAGAGATGGATGAAGTGATCAGAAGGAATGTACACATGCACTCGCAGGTACAAGCCTCATTCTGGGGTGGGGGAGGGTGGCTAAATGGATATGGACCCCTCGGTAACCAACAGCTTAGTCAATGTAACCACTGCCTTCTTCTTCAGTGTCACTGTAGTAGGACAGATCACTGTTGTAGGACTGATCACTGCAGTAGGACAGATCACTGTTGTAGGACTGATCACTGTAGTAGGACAGATCACTGTTGTAGGACTGATCACTGTAGTAGTACCGATCGCTGTTGTAGGACAGATCACTGTAGTAGTACCGATCGCTGTTGTAGGACAGATCACTGTTGTAGGACAGATCACTGTTGTAGGACCGATCACTGTAGTAGGACCGATCACTGTATTAGGACCGATCACTGTAGTAGGACAGATCACTGTTGTAGGACTGATCACTGTTGTAGGACAGATCACTGTTGTAGGACTGATCACTGTTGTAGGACTGATCACTGTTGTAGGACTGATCACTGTAGTAGGACAGATCTCTGTAGTAGGACATATCACTGTTGTAGGACATATCACTGTTGTAGGACAGATCACTGTTGTAGGACTGATCACTGTAGTAGGACTGCTCACTGTAGTAGGACTGATCACTGTAGTAGGACAGATCACTCTAGTAGTACAGATCACTGTAGTAGGACAGATCACTGTAGTAGGACAGATCACTGTTGTAGGACAGATCACTGTTGTAGGACTGATCACTGTAGTAGGAGAGATCACTGTTGTAGGACTGATCACTGTTGTAGGACAGATCACTGTTGTAGGACTGATCACTGTAGTAGGACAGATCACTGTAGTAGGACTGATCACTGTAGTAGGACAGACAGATCACTGTTGTAGGATAGATCACTGTTGTAGGACAGATCACTGTAGTAGGACAGATCACTGTAGTAGGACATATCACTGTAGTAGGACAGATCACTGTTGTAGGACAGATCACTGTTGTAGGACTGATCACTGTAGTAGGAGAGATCACTGTTGTAGGACTGATCACTGTTGTAGGACAGATCACTGTTGTAGGACTGATCACTGTAGTAGGACAGATCACTGTTGTAGGATAGATCACTGTTGTAGGACTGATCACTGTAGTAGGACAGATCACTGTCGCAGGACACATCACTGTTGTAGGACACATCACTGTTGTAGGACAGATCACTGTTGTAGGACTGATCACTGTTGTAGGACAGATCACTGTTGTAGGACTGATCACTGTTGTAGGACAGATCACTGTTGTAGGACAGATCACTGTTGTAGGACTGATCACTGTTGTAGGACTGATCACTGTTGTAGGACTGATCACTGTTGTAGGACTGATCACTGTTGTGGGACAGATCACTGTTGTGGGACAGATCACTGTTGTGGGACAGATCACTGTTGTGGGACTGATCACTGTTGTGGGACAGATCACTGTTGCGGGACAGATCACTGTTGGACAAATCACTGTTGTAGGACAGATACTGTTTGACAAATCACTGTTGCAGGACAGATCACTGTTGCAGGACAGATCACTGTTGCAGGACAAATCACGGGACAGATCACAGTCACAGGACAGACACAGGACAGATCATTGTTGCAGGACAAATCACGGGACAGATCACAGTCACTGGACAAATCACTGTTCCAGGGCAGATTACCGTCAAAGGACAGATGACACCGTCAGTATGGCTTTAAAATAATGAAGGCTCATTTCCATTTTTGGGATGTCATTTCTGTACTAGAAAAAATGATAACTCGGCGTTTCGACTTCCTGGGTTGGAAAAGTAGTTTAGGTCACGGTGAGGTCGCGATCATGTCCCAGATAAAAACTAACGGAACTATCACCGCAGACGGCACCATCTATTTTTGATCTGAAATGCCTATGATAACAATGAAAACACATTTGACAAATGACCATTGTATGTTTATCTAAGAGTTATCCCATAGCAAACAACATTAGCGAGCAGACCTGCCATGTGGCGTAAGGCGATGTGTCAGAGATGGCGACTATCCTCATTCAATAGTCATGTAACTGGCCTTATGAATATCATACATTTCATTATGAGCTGGCCTTACGAATATCATACATTTCATATTGAGCTGGCCTTATGAATATCATACATTTCATATTGAGCTGGCCTTATGAATATCATACATTTCATATTGAGCTGGCCTTATGAATATCATACATTTCATATTGAGCTGACCTTATGAATATCATACATTTCATATTGAGCTGGCCTTATGAATATCATACATTTCATATTGACCTGGCCTTACTTTCTATCATAAGACATCTCATATTGACCTGGCCATATGAATATCATACATCTCATATTGACCTGGCCTTACTTTTTATCATAAGACATCTCATACTGGCCTGGCCTTATGCACATCATACAACATCTCATATTGACCAGGCCTTATGCACATCATACAACTTCTCATATTGACCTGGTCTTGTAAATATCATTCATCATCTCATAGTGACCTGACCTTATTTATATCATGCGACATCTCATACTGAATTAAATTTAACGTAAAGAGTACCAACCATAGCTACAACTTAGATTAGTTGTATTTACCTAAGTTTAAAATCTAGAGTACTAAGCCTTATGTATAGCAGAACTGCAATTTTATTGACCGAATTTCTAAGTCTATGTTTTGCCACCCTGTATTACTTTCAAATGACAGATTCCATGACACAACGACGCTATGGGCCGTCTGTGTCGTCGTACTCGCTGTTGTAGATGTAAGTTATGCGTTAAGCCTGCACCGTACAACCTCCCATAGTTGAATTGGACTCACCAAGACTTGACCCTGTGTCCATTCTAGTTTCACTTATCAGTATAGCATGTCGAACGTGGCTCTGTTGAGCTACACGATAAAACACAACTCTTTGGTTTTATTATGAATATTTTAAAAATCAATTAGTCACTGTGTCAAAACAACATACACATTCAATCCAACAATTCAGTTCTTATCATTACATGTTTTATCCCACTACTTCATCCAAGCCCGGTAATCTATTCATGACATCCAACGCATTATTTCTCGTCGTCTACGACGTCATTTCCCTCATTCACATCCCAAGCTGGTCATCAGATGCGCCTGTACCTCTGTGTATTAGAACATCTACACAGAAGCTTTTTCTTGTATGGGAGGGGGGGGGGAGTTTTAAAGAGATGCGTACCCACGACCAGGGCCCCAAATGCCCGCACTGAGCATCTGCTTGAGGACCATTGATCCCAAGCCAGACCCCTCAATCAGGCACTCCTCGCAAGACTTGAATCTTGGTTCATTGTGCAAGAAGTCTGCGGGGCCGACCAAATAGCCAGTGCCGCGTACCATACGGTGGTGACCTCCTTTCGTCGTACTTGGCTTGAGGTTTTGATCTCTGTCAATCTAATTAGGTGAAGACGCCAATCAGCTGGTGGTTCCTCTCTCAGACAGTTACGTTGCGTTACAGCGCGAGCCTCTCGAAGTCTTCTAGAGTTGGTTTATTTTAGGGTGACAAAACTAGGCAACAACACGCGGGGGTTGGGTGGTGACAGCCAAATCTTCTGTCAGTTATTACATCAATGACAAGACAACACACAGAGGTTGGGTGGTGACAGCCAAATCTTATGTCAGTTATTAAATCAATGACAAGACAACACACAGAGGTTGGGTGGTGACAGCCAAATCTTCTGCCAGTTATTACATCAATGACAAGACAAGACAAAGAGGTTGGTTGGTGACAAACAATTTAGCAGAGTTATGAGATTTATGTCTAAGGCAGGGGTTGGAGATGTGTGTCCAAGTCAGGGGTTGGAGATGTGTGTCCAAGTCAGGGGTTGGAGATGTGTGTCCAAGTCAGGGGTTGGAGATGTGTGTCCAAGGCAGGGGTTGGAGATTTGTGTCCAAGTCAGGGGTTGGAGATTTGTGTCCAAGTCAGGGGTTGGAGATGTGTGTCCAAGTCAGGGGTTGGAGATGTGTGTCCAAGGCAGGGGTTGGAGATGTGTGTCCAAGGCAGGGTTTGGAGATGTGTGTCCAAGGCAGGGATTGGAGATGTGTGTCCAAGGCAGGGATTGGAGATGTGTGTCCAAGGCAGGGGTTGGAGATGTGTGTCCAAGGCAGGGGTTGGAGATGTGTGTCCAAGCCAGGGTTTGGAGATGGTGTTCAAGCCAGGGGTAAAAGTAATAATCACAGTACTGTATTCAGGTGTGACATGCGGCTTTGCTTTGGTCTGAAGCAGCTATTTGCATTGAGTTGCCTTCCTGGTCCAATTTAGTTTAGGAACAGCTTGTTTGACCAAAGAGCGATTGTTGTCAACAACGTACATAGAATATGTCTGATAAAAATGACGTAAAAAGAGAACAAGATATGTTAAGGCTTGAAAAAAACAACGACAGAACAATTACAAGGACGTTTCGGCTAAATGCCTTCTTCATCAAAACATTATCTACCAGTGCTCTCATTGTCTACCAGTGCTCTCATTGTCTACCAGTGCTCTCATTGTCTACCTGTGCTCTCATTGTCTTCCAGTGCTCTCATTGTCTACCAGTGCTCTCATTGTCTACCCGTGCTCTGATTGTCTACCAGTGCTCTCATTGTCTACCAGTGCTCTCATTGTCTACCAGTGCTCTCATTGTCTATTAGTGCTCTCATTGTCTACTAGTGCTCTCATTGCCAGTAGGCCAGTATGAGGACAAGTAGATCTAGTGCACTGCCCCGTACTAGTATATTAGGTCAGTATGAGGTCAACCAAAGTAGATCTACAGCACTACACAGGTTCTAGTATACCCCGATAGGACACCAACACTTTGTGACGTAAGCTGACTTAAAGTCACGTGACAACAATGAAGGGAGAGCAGCACATCTTCCTCTGCAATATTTTTAATCTGCTCAGTCCGTGTCCCAGTCAACCAGGCCCAGACCCCCCCTCCCCGCCAAAATCTTACGTCAGTACTGGAAAGTGTGTCATCCCCCCACCCTCCCATCGAGGGTGTGCCCTCTCCCCAAAACAACGCCTCTTAGAATATCTTGCCTGGCAAATCTGGGGAAGGCGCAGCTATTGATTTCTAGTTTGGCTTCCCCCCCCCTCCTCACTCCCCTGTATCCCTCCCTACCCCAGCCTCCCAGCTCATTTTCACCCCCCCCCCTCTGTAAATTGCCCGTCGCCTTTCTCTTAACTAGTTTTTATTATTTTTGTTATTGATTCCATTCCTTACATTGGCTTCCCCCCCCCTCCTCACTCCCCTGTATCCCTCCCTACCCCAGCCTCCCAGCTCATTTTCACCCCCCCCCTCTGTAAATTGCCCGTCGCCTTTCTCTTAACTAGTTTTTATTATTTTTGTTATTGATTCCATTCCTTACCCCCTCCCCCGATTTCCGTTGTAGAGTTGTAGAGCACCTCCCCTTGCGCCTCACCCACGTACAGAATACAACACACCCCCTCTTATTATTCGCCGGCTCTTACTGGCTTAATGCTTTGAAGACTAATTCCTCAAATGAGCATTTGAAATGTCGGCAGAGCTCACTCACCATAGGTGGTCAACGTTATGGGAGACCATCGCCGCTGGTTTTTGGGGTTGTCATTAGATTTTAAAGTAGGGTTGCTCTCCCTTTTCCTGTTTTGATGAGAATTAAGCGTACCGTGTGGGTGTATTGGTCGATAATCAAGTTGTTGTTTGTGATCTAAGTACTTTGTGGTTGAAATGTAAGTCCGGCTGCTATGGCGAGATGGGTTGGAGGCCATCGTATATGTAAGACAATAGGAAGCATGTTTCGATCAATGTATAGTTTCATTTGGGTTATCTATCTGCTCAGTAGGCGAAATTGTTTCTAGTGTTGACGTGGAGATGTTGTGTTTTTAGGAGGACGTTGTGTTGTGACCAAAAGCAACAAAAGTTGCCAAATGGATCTGATTGCGCTAATGCCCAAAAGGATTCTGTCAAATGCTGACCGCACGATGAGCCATTTTGCTGTATATTCTGGTTTATAGGGGGACTTTCTTAATGAACTCTGACGAAGTTGGCGAAGAAAAATTGATGGAGAGATTTGTGGGATTCATCGATAAGACCAAGTCTGTAGTGCAGTAGACCCAGAAAATGTCCGGCAGAATATCCTCATTACATTTAATGACATGCTCATGGTATCCTCATTACATTTAATCACGTGCTCATTGGTATCCTCATTACATTTTAATGACGTGCTCATGGTATCCTCATTACATTTAATCACGTGCTCATTGGTATCCTCATTACATTTTAAATCACGTGCTCATTGGTATCCTCATTACATTTTAATCACGTGCTCATTGGTATCCTCATTACATTTAATCACGTGCTCATTGGTATCCTCATTACATTTTAATCACGTGCTCATTGGTATCCTCATTACATTTAATCAGATGCTCATGGTATCCTCTTACTCTTATTTAATGTTAATCGCATTGAGGATTTTATTTTATTTATCATTTCATGCGTTCAATTTTATTTTTAGAGAAGACTTCTACTTAGCTTTTATAAATATTAGCATTTGCTTCAAATTTAACTGAAGCATATTTAATTAAAATACAATAAACAAGTTTAGTATATTTTTTTCAAATTAAAAAAAAATATTTTTTTTGCTGTTGGTTTGTCACTAATTGTAACCATTTTTTGAGTCGTTCTTTTCAGAACTTTTTAAAACTACCCAAAAAAATTTTTAATAAAAAATAATAGGTATTGGTTTTTTGTAATTGTGTTGTTTACTCCCTTGAGAAAGTCTCCTGAAAATTTGGTACTATTATCTTTTAAATAAAAATGTTGTGGTCATAATAAGACAGAAATTTGGAAAGTCGGTTACACGTTTTCACAGTAACATACAAAGTTAAATAAGTAGCTTAAAAATGTACCCAAAAAAAAAATAATAAAAAAATAAATGATGACTCAATTTCTTTAGAAGATATAGAGGAAATGTGTGTTTTTAGAAAGCGTATAGTTAGCCCTTTAAAATGGTGTAGCACTTAGTCAATCAGTCAAAATGTATATTATATGTCAAAGTACCTTACTTGATTGTTTCAGACACTTTCGGGTTGGGAATAGACTAGTAGTGATGATGGACAGTTTGGGGACAGTGATGGGTAGTTTCAGGAAATTGTGGAGAGTTGATGACATGGTGGGCAGTTTGAAGGTATCGGTGTAGGAAATTGTGGAGTGTTGGTGACACGGTGGGCAGTGTGAGGGTATTGGTGCCTGACATTGGGTTATAAGCCTCAGCTATCACAATGCTATCAATGTTGACATGTTTATCTATAAGACAGTTTAAAAAAAATAAGATTTGACACAAGAGCAGACTGTGGCTAGCTGGTAACCTTTGAGCACTAGTTCAATCTGATGGCTCGTCTGCTTCTTGGTCTGTTTGCTCAGTCAAGTGCATAGGGAGAGGCTGGTGCCACCGTGATCTCAGTCAAGTGCATAGGGAGAGGCTGGTGCCACCATGATCTCAGTCAAGTGCATAGGGAGAGGCTGGTGCCACCGTGATCTCAGTCAAGTGCATAGGGAGAGGCTGGTGCCACCGTGATCTCAGCCAAGTGCATAGGGAGAGGCTGGTGCCACCGTGATCTCAGTCAAGTGCATAGGGAGAGGCTGGTGCCACCGTGATCTCAGTCAAAGGAATATGCAGAGGCTGGTACCGTGAACTCGGTCAAGTGAATAGGGAGAAGGTGTTACCGTGAACTCAGTCAAGTGAATGTGGAGAGGCTGGTACCGTGAACTCAGTCAAGTGAATAGGGAGAGGCTTGTACCGTGAACTCGGTCAAGTGAATAGGGAGAAGGTGTTACCGTGAACTCAGTCAAGTGAATATGGAGAGGCTGGTACCGTAAACTCAGTCAAGTGAATGTGGAGAGGCTGGTACCGTGAACTCAGTCAAGGGAATATGGAGAGGCTTGTACCGTGAACTCAGTCAAGTGAATATGGAGAGGCTTGTACCGTGAACTCAGTCAAGTGAATGTGGAGAGGCTGGTACTGTGAACTCAGTCAAGTGAATATGGAGAGGCTGATACCGTGAACTCAGTCAAAGGAATATGGAGAGGCTGGTACCGTGAACTCAGTCAAGTGAATGTGGAGAGGCTGGTACCGTGAACTCAGTCAAGTGAATATGGAGAGGCTGGTTCTGTGAACTCAGTCAAGTGAATATGGAGAGGCTGGTACCGTGAACTCAGTCAAGTGAATAGGGAGAGGCTTGTACCGTGAACTCGGTCAAGTGAATAGGGAGAAGGTGTTACCGTGAACTCAGTCAAGTGAATATGGAGAGGCTGGTACCGTGAACTCAGTCAAGTGAATATGGAGAGGCTGGTACCGTGAACTCAGTCAAGTGAATGTGGAGAGGCTGGTACCGTGAACTCAGTCAAGTGAATATGGAGAGGTTGGTACCGTGAACTCAGTCAAGTAAATATGGAGAGGCTGGTACCGTGAACTCAGTCAAGTGAATATGGAGAGGCTGTTACCGGTACCGTGCTCGAGTGGTCGGCTGACTTAACCGTAGAACGAACTCTTTGCAAGGCAGCACGTCGGGTGTGTGGTCTGAGGAAGGTACTGGGGTCACCACACCATTTCTTGTAAATAATACCAGAGGTGACCAGGGGCAAAGTGGTTCAAATAATAGTGACCGACATTTTACCATCCACATTTTACCATCCACATTTTACCATCCACATTTTACCATCCACATTCAGTGACATCCACACTAAGAGATCAATCTCACACAAGTCAATGCTAAAACACTTGGAACTTATAGGAATTTCAATGACTAACTTCTGGGTAATCTTCTTCACTCGATAATGTGTCAGCACACGATACATCTTCATTTAAAACATCAATGCTCTCTCTTCAATCTTCTCACATACACTTCGTGATTCAACCACCTGCCATTTTATTCAACCTCCATTTCTTGTTTTCAATCTTCGCTCTCCGTTTTCTCTCAAGTCCCAATACTCTGTATATTATATCAGTAATAACTACATTATTACTTGTCTCCCACATATTCATATTCATATCATGTGACAACTGTATCAAGCGACTCGTTGGACCAATATGTTGTTTGGTTGTTTGGGCCAAACATAGTCGGGGCTACGTGTTGTAGCCTAGTCGGGGCTACTTGTTGTAGCCTACCAGTTTAGAACGTAGGGACGTTGCCGTCACAATCATTTACGCTCTGATCATTGAAACGTGTCAGGGATACTAGAACTCTGAACACCCCCCCTCCCTCAAATAAACAGGTAAACGATCAAACCTGATCACCAACCCAGTAATGTGCTTGTATATGTCAGTGCGGTCAACAGTGTGGTGGGGATCAATACGGCGATCAGTGGTGGTGATGATGGTGGCATTCATTGAAATGACTCCACTGATCAAACACAGATCTGCTGCTGCACCACACTGGTCATGTTACGATTCAAATCTTCGTGGTCCGTTCTTGGTTTCTGGTACAGAATGGAAATGTTTCGGGCGTACCTGAAGCGGAATCGCCTGGTGCTTGTAGGGATGTGGAGTCACCAATGCTTGTAGTGAGTCGCAGTAGCCAAGTGAGTCGCAGTAGCCAGGTGGTTGTAGTGAGGTGTAGTTGACTGTTACTTGTGAGGCGTAGTTGACTGATACTTGTAATGAGGCAGATATGACTGATACTTGTAGTAGGCAGATATGACTGATACTTGTAATGAGGCAGATATGACTGATACTTGGTTAAACTAACATGTAACTGACTCCCGTGTGATGTAAAGGACTCCATGTGTGCTGTAAATGACTCCCGTGTGATGGAACTGACGCCATGTGTGCTGTAACTGACTCCCGTGTGATGTAAATGACTCCATGTGTGCTGTAACTGACTCCCGTGTGATGTAAATGACTCCATGTGTGCTGTAACTGACTCCCGTGTGATGTAACTGACTCCATGTGTGCTGTAACTGACCCCCGTGTGATGTAACTGACTCCCGTGTGATGTAACTGACTCCCGTGTGATGTAACTGACTCCCGTGTGATGTAACCGACTCCCTTGTGATGTAACTGACTCCCGTGTGATGTAACTGACTCCCGTGTGATGTAACTGACTCCATTTGTGCTGTAACTGACTCCCGTGTGATGTAACTGACTCCATGTGTGCTGTAACTGACTCCCGTGTGATGTAACTGACTCCATGTGTGCTGTAACTGACTCCCGTGTGATGTAACTGACTCCCGTGTGATGTAACTGACTCCTTTGTGATGTAACTGACTCCCGTGTGATGTAACTGACTCCCGTGTGATGTAACTGACTCCATGTGTGCTGTAACTGACTCCCGTGTGATGTAAATGACTCCATGTGTGCTGTAACTGACTCCCGTGTGATGTAACTGACTCCCGTGTGATGTAACTAACCCCCGCTGCAGTCAACTGAATGGGTCACATTGCTCCTGATGTGTCTTTGTCTCGTCCCAATGCCCAGTTCACAGCACTGCCGGTCATTTAAAGCGAGTCTTACCTTATACCAGGGGTGGGCAACATGTGGTTCCTTGAGGGAGTAGATGATCTGTAACAAATCACCCTCTCCAAGTGGCTCCCAACATATCGAGTTATTTGCTATACAAGCCGATGTATCCCCTCCCTTGTGTTGCAGCGGTGTCGTTGGTTCATTGAGTCGCTGACTTCTGAGCTGTCCTTACGTCACACAGTGGCTAATAACTTGTAGTGCGGATTATTGTTTGACTGTGTGCAGGTCTGGCGAGTCTTAGAGCTCAACGTCTTCTCAGGTCTAGACGAAATATTGACAAGAACTGCAGTATCGTTGGCGTGTGTGTGTGTTGTGGAGAGTGGGGGTGGGGGGGGGGGGGCGAAAGGTCGAGCACTATCCGCAGGAACGCTCTAACTTCTTGGCTTTTTCTTGTTATTGGGTCTTACCTTTTTCTAACCATTGATTTTATTTCATGTTATGTTAACACAAATCACGTGTTCTGTTGCAAATACTCAACAACACAAATCATCTGTTCTGTTTGAATAACTCAACAACACATATCATGTATGTTCGGTTGCAATATTCAACAATACAAATCATGTGTGTTCTGTTGCAATTACTCAACAACACAAATCAAGATTTCCTTAATGATTTTTTAAAAAATAGTATGACCATGTAAGCGAAGCAATTTTCTCCCTCCCATTCCTATCCCTCCCTATCTCCCTCCTTCCCTATCTCCCTGTCTCCCTTCCTCTCTCCCTCTCTATTTATCCCCTCCCTCCCTCTCTCCCTCCTTCTCTCCCCCTCTCCCTCCCTCTCTCTCTCCCTCACTCTCCCCCTCCCTCTCTCCGCCCCTCTCTCTGTCCCTCTCTCCCTCCCTCCCTCTCTCCCTCACTCTCTCTCTCCCTCACTCTCTCTCTCCCTCCCTCCCTCTTTCTCTCCCTCTCTCCCTCCCTCTCTACCTCTCCATCCCCTCCCTCCCCCTCCCTCTCTCTCTCCCTCCCTCTCTCCCTCCCTCCCTCTCTATCTCTCTCCCTCCCTCCCTCTTTCTCTCCCTCTCTCCCTCCCTCTCTCCCTCTCCATCCCCTCCCTCCCCCTCCCTCTCTCTCTCCCTCCCTCTCTCCCTCCCTCCCTCTCTCTCCCTCCCTCTCTACCTCCCCTCCCTCTCTCCCTCCCTCTCCAAAAGTTTGCTCCTGCAGTACATGAACTATTGCTATAATGAAAGGGTTACCTCTATGCTTTGATAATGTCCCCCTAGCATGACAATTTAGAGCAGTGGTTTTCAACCTTCCTAGTGCCGCGACCCTTTTATACAGTTTCTCGTGTCGTGGCGACCCCCAGCTACACAATTATTTTCGTTGCTTCTTCATAGCTGTAAGGATATGTGTTTTCAGATGGTCTTAGGTGACCCCTGGGAAAGGGTCCCGCGACCCCCAAAGGGGTTGCAACCCACAGGTTGAGAACCGCTGATTTAGAGTCTGTCATATTTTATTGCTAAAGATGTTGTTCCCTTGTGTCAGGGTTATCTGATTTCTTCTCATGTTGCATTCACAGATCCAGTGGACAAAACTCAAGTCACAGCCCATTAGACTGGTAAGTTCAAATAGTTGGCTGTCATATGGTATCTTAAAATAGTTGACTGTCATATTGGTAAGTTCAAATAGTTGACTGTCATATGGTATCTTAAACTAGTTAACTGTCATATTGGTAAGTTCAAATAGTTGAGTGTCATATGGTAAGTTAAAATAGTTGACTGTCATATGGTAAGTTCAAATAGTTGACTGTCATATGGTAAGTTCAAATAGTTGACTGTCATATGGTAAGTTCAAATAGTTGACTGTTATATGGTATCTTAAAATAGTTGACCTTCATATGGTAAGTTCAAATAGTTGACTGTCATATGGTATCTTAAAATAGTTGACTGTTATATGGTAAGTTCAAATAGTTGACTGTCATATGGTAAGTTCAAATAGTTGACTGTCATATGTTATGTTAAAGTAGTTGACTGTCATATGGTATGTTCAAATATTTGACTATGTCATGTAGTACCTGGTATGTTAAAATAATTGACTGTCATATGGTACATTAAAATAGTGGACTCTGTCATATGGTATGTTAAAATAGTTGACTTTGTCATATGGTATGTTAAAATAGTTGACTTTGTCAAATGGTATGTTAAAATAGTTGACTCTGTCATGTGGTATGTTAAAATAGTTGACTCAGTCATTTGGTATGTTATGACAGTTGACACAAGGATATGGTATGTTAAAATAGTTGACTCTAGGATATTTGTGTTGCATTTATTTTCTGTCGTCAATTTTTTTTTTGTATAAGTCTTTTGTTTACTTTTAAAATATCATGACATGATTAAGCAATAAGCTTAAGGAACCAATGTTTTTGAGATAAGCAATTCTGGGTTAATCTTAAGATTGTTTATAATGTCTGTCAGAGCTAACAAAACAAAGTTGATAGGCCAATGGGAATTTTCTTTTAAATTCTATTTTTTAATCATTGAAAATGTTGACTTCCTGTTTCTGTTTGAGATGAAACCCTGCAGAATGTTCTATAAATATGCTATTTATATTTGTGATTAAATTGACTTGACCATATTTTCTCTGACAGTATCTTGACGAGGTGATTGTGGAAACGGAAACATGTGAACAACCTCGGCCACCCAACAACCAGAGCCAGCAGGCGTAAGTTCACAGATAGGCCTAGTGAGAGAATCAAACTCTCCCTACTTGACAGGATCATTTCAGAGTGTTATCTTCCTCATATATCCTGATCACCGCTGTGACTAAAGCCTTGTATACTCTTGTTTATATTACATTAACTGGTAATGACTTGGTTTCTATTGCCAGCAATTTATGTTGAAGATTGTAGTATGCACATGCAGCCAACAGCTTTTATTATGTGCTGCCATTGTTTATGTGGGCTGAGAGACATTTGGCACAAATCTCATCCATCTTTACTTTACATAAAAACTATTGAAAACATGGGAAAACACTGCTCCAAGGCTGTCCACATTAATTATTGTTAACATGTTAAAAGTTTTTTTTTAAAACTCTCAAAAAATTTCCGTTACATTATAATGGCCCCCTTGCAGGTCTACCATCCTATTTATCTTCAATGTAAAATATGTTTTTAAATAGGATGTGGACAGATATTTTATTTTTCATAATGATTATAGTTTGGCACGAGAAGGTCTAATAGGTGGAAAAACTTACATAATTACCCCAAAATATTCACTGGCAGATTGCAGATACAAATCTGTTTCAGTATTTAATTATTTTTTAAAAAATGTCCCACAGTTTCTAATGCAGGGCACTTAAGCTTTGTAGGGCATGCCATTGTGATTGAACTCACCAGGGGCTAGTACTCATGTAGGGAGTTATCTCTCTCTGTAGAGATATTGTTAAGATCTACTGATAAGGTTATATTGGCACTTGTCAGGTCAGCTCCAGAGGAGACATGTAGCCCTAGGCCAACATCTAATGTGTATTGTTCCTTCTCTCTAGTGACTCCAGATGTTCTGTCCAAATTGGTGGGCAGAGCTTTGAAAAAGGTTTAACAATTTTGTCTAGAGAAAGGATTTTTTAAAAAGGCTAAAAGAATGTGAACACAATCATTATGTGATAAGATTAACCAAAGCATATGTACATAAAGGACAAGTTGCATCATTATGTGATAAGATTAACCAAAGCATATGTACATAAAGGACAAGTTGCATCATTATGTGATAAGATTGACCAAAGCATATGTACATAAAGGACAAGTTGCATCATTATGTGATAAGATTGACCAAAGCATATGTACATAAAGGACAAGTTGCATCATTATGTGATAAGATTGACCAAAGCATATGTACATAAAGGACAAGTTGCATCATTATGTGATAAGATTGACCAAAGCATATGTACATAAAGGACAAGTTGCATCATTATGTGATAAGATTGACCAAAGCATATGTACATAAAGGACAAGTTGCATCATTATGTGATAAGATTGACCAAAGCATATGTACATAAAGGACAAGTTGCATCATTATGTGATACGATTGACCAAAGCATATGTACATAAAGGACAAGTTGCATCATTATGTGATAAGATTGACCAAAGCATATGTACATAAAGGACAAGTTGCATCATTATGTGATAAGATTGACCAAAGCATATGTACATAAAGGACAAGTTGCATCATTATGTGATAAGATTGACCAAAGCATATGTACATAAAGGACAAGTTGCATCATTATGTGATAAGATTGACCAAAGCATATGTACATAAAGGACAAGTTGCATCATTATGTGATAAGATTGACCAAAGCATATGTACATAAAGGACAAGTTGCATCATTATGTGATAAGAGTGACCAAAGCATATGTACATAAAAGACAAGTTGCAAACATTTGTCAAAGATCATGTTTAAATTTGACAAAGTTACTTGAATGAAGCTGTTGCAAGGTTCTGAGTTCTGTCATTTGCCATTAAAATGTTAGGTTACTCCTGTTGCAGGGGAAGGTTCTGTGCTCTGTTGTTTACTATAAAAATGTCACAGGCAATCAAATGATTGTTCTTGTAATATTTTGTTGTTGTGTATTTGACCTATGTGGATCATAAAATATAAATCCATTCTCTCATAGAGTTTCAATGGCTAATTATGATGTTGTCACCAGGGCAGGGGGAAAGTATGGATTTGTCGACAGAGTTATGGATGGCATCTACGTCCACGTCAACTCTGTGGTGGTCAAGCTCAACTCTCACAAGTTCCAGGCTTCTTTACAGGTCTGTGGTCATCTTCAAACTTCGAGTTACTAGTACCATTATGTGTTACAGCTAATCAAAACTCGTAATCCTTACCATACTTAAAACAGATTTCTTCCTTAAAGTAATGGGCAAATATGTTGATTATTTTAAAGGGAATGCAAATGCAACACTTTTCCAAAGGTGATGCAACTTTATGATCTAAAAATGCATTAATGTCTAAAGCTGTCTCCCTTAGTTTTGGTTCCAGACAAACATACAAAAGGAATTTTATTTGAATTATATTTTGGGTCACTGGGAGAGGGTCTTAAGGCATTTTTTTATATTTTAAGTCAGGGATGGCAACAATTAAAGGCACAACTGTCTTAGTGAATGAATTAATTATTGAGTACCGGTACCAATAAAATCAGGTTGTAATAGTTCCACTAGTTACATTGTACTTAAAGTAAGTTTGTAATAGTTCCACTGGTTACATTGTACATGAAGTGCATGAATGCCACACACAAATAGTGTGGTGAGAGAGTAACAATTGATTCTTTTGTCTCCTTCTAGTTATCGAGGGTTACTGTCCAGTCAATGACTCCCACATGGCAGGCGCCAAATGACCTGAGGTCAACACGTATCAGAGATGCGGGGCGTGGAGAAGTCTTACTCTTCAAGGAGATAGAGTGGCAGACCACGCGCATTGAGGCCACTGCCGTTGGCCTGGGGGATGACTTCCTCACACCCTTGCGTCTAATTGCCAACCAGGCCAAGATACGGATAGTTGTCAAGAAAAGGCTGATTGGTTAGTAGTGGGTCAAGAAAGGGCTGATTGGTTAGTAGTGGGTCAAGAAAGGGCTGATTGGTTAGTAGTGGGTCAAGAAAGGGCTGATTGGTTAGTAGTGGGTCAAGAAAGGGCTGATTGGTTAGTAGTGGGTCAAGAAAGGGCTGATTGGTTAGTAGTGGGTCAAGAAAGGGCTGATTGGTTAGTAGTGGGTCAAGAAAGGGCTGATTGGTTAGTAGTGGGTCAAGAAAGGGCTGATTGGTTAGTAGTGGGTCAAGAAAGGGCTGATTTGTTAGTAGTGGGTCAAGAAAGGGCTGATTGGTTAGTAGTGGGTCAAGAAAGGGCTGATTGGTTAGTAGTGGGTCAAGAAAGGGCTGATTGGTTAGTAGTGGGTCAAGAAAGGGCTGATTGGTTAGTAGTGGGTCAAGAAAGGGCTGATTTGTTAGTAGTGGGTCAAGAAAGGGCTGATTGGTAAGTAGTGGGTCAAGAAAGGGCTGATTGGTTAGTAGTGGGTCAAGAAAGGGCTGATTGGTTAGTAGTGGGTCAAGAAAGGGCTGATTGGTTAGTAGTGGGTCAAGAAAAGGCTGATTGGTGAGTGGTGGGTCAAGAAAGGGCTGATTGGTTAGTAGTGGGTCAAGAAAGGGCTGATTTGTTAGTAGTGGGTCAAGAAAGGGCTGATTTGTTAGTAGTGAGACATTGGCAAACTAATCAAAATTTTTTATAAATTGACAAATTTATAATTGCTTTTTATTTTCAAGATAGAATTGTCAGGTAATGACCACCAAGAGTGATCTGTTTCTATGACATTTCAAATAGGATTCTCTCATTTCTCAGCTACACAAAATAGTCTTGTTCTTTAACAAAGTTTCAGTGATAAATAGGGGGGGGGGATGGAATATTACTGAGACAGTTTATATATTGGTCTGGTCCAAGTTCGTGTAAACAAAAACCCATTCAAAAACCCATAATGTGGGACAGCATATTAGTGTTATTTATTACTGCAAAAGCCATAGTGTTTTCAAATGAACATTTCATGGGGAAGTTGTGTTAGCACAAACAAGTTAAATAAGGTTAAACCTAAAGGCAAGAAATGGTGGTTAATGTCCGGAGGGGGAGTCACCCAATGGCAGAACTCACAATCAAAAATCACATCATAGACCAAGTAGAGACATTATAAGTACTTAGGTCCTACCATTAAAAATAAGCTGACATGGCATGATTACGGCCAAATTCTGTTTAAAAAAATTCTATCAAGGACGTTTCTATCTTAAAACATTGTACAATTTTGGCATAAGCAAACAAGTTATTGACATATTTTACCGTGCAACAATTGGAAGCCTACTAAGCTTTAGTATTACCTGCTGTTCTAACATCAAACACCGATTCAATAGACTAATGAATAAAACTAGTAATAGTAACATCACACAAACTAAACATCAAACACATGAACTATTTGAAGAAGAATGCTGTTGTATAACAAATACAACTTTGGGTGATACATCACACCCTGCTCATCACAGATACCTAAGATCATATCTCACCCTACTCATCACAGATACCTGAGATCACATCACACCCTGCTCATCACAGATACCTAAGATCATATCTTGCCCTACTCATCACAGATACTCAAGATCACATCTCACCCTGCTCATCACAGATACCTCAGATCACATTCCTCTCACTTCATCACAGATACCTCAGATCACATCCCACTCACTTCATGACAGATACCTCAGATCACATCCCACTCACTTCATGACAGATACGTCAGATCACATCCCACTCACTTCATGACAGATACCTCAGATCACATCCCACTCACTTCATGACAGATACCTCAGATCACATCCCACTCACTTCATGACAGATACCTCAGATCACATCCCACTCACTTCATGACAGATACCTCAGATCACATACCACTCACTTCATGACAGATACCTCAGATCACATCCCACTCACTTCATGACAGATACCTCAGATCACATACCACTCACTTCATGACAGATACCTCAGATCACATCCCACCCACTTCATTACAAATACCTCAGATCACATCCTACTCACTTCATCACAAATACCTCAGATCAAATCTCACCCACTTCATCACAAATACCTCAGATCACATCTCACCCACTTCATCACAAATACCTCAGATCAAATCCCACTCACTTCATCACAAATACCTCAGATCACATCCCACCCACTTCATCACAAATACCTCAGATCACATCCTACTCAATTATCACAAATACCTCAGATCAAATCCCACCCACTTCATCACAGATACCTCAGATCAAATCCCACCCACTTCATCACAAATACCTCAGATCAAATCCCACTCACTTCATCAGATACCTCAGATCAGTTCAATCAGGGCAACTTTGTTCTCTTAAAGTTAGGATCGAAATATATAGAAATTATTTTGTTCCCCAGCCTGTATGCATTTACCAGCATGCTCCCCCTGTAATTACCATATCTAAATGATCACTAATTAAGTCATTATTGCAATTAAGGGAGTTCATTTGACGGCTATGTTAGAGAAATACTTTAGATGTCCTGTGTTTAAATTGTTATTATTTTAAAATGTTGCCCTGTTTTAAATATGTATTTATTTGTATGCTGAAAATGAATATGTATAATACAATAAAAAAACATGTCTGTTTATTTGGATCTATACAAGAATCTTATCTTATGTTATCTTATCTTATGTAGCCTAGTTTTAACCTGAGATCAGCCAGGCCATGAGATTCCCATTAAGTGCAGCAACTTATGACCAGGGTCTGATGTTTCATCATTCGATTTCCCGACAAATAAATCTGTCATTTCTTGTAACCAGACTCAACAATCATCTCTTCGAGGCTGACCTTTCTGCTTGACGATTTACTGTGGGTGCTGACCATTACACAGCTGAAGGCGGCCATCTTGTATGCCAACTCCCTTAAAGAAGTTATAGAGAGATCTTCGCAGCAGAGCAAACGTCTAGCTGCTGAGAAGTTGAAGGTATGGTGTATTTATGGAGTGAAAACAAAGCACTGGACCTACCGTAAGTGCTGGTCTATAAGTTGAGACATTTTAGCAATGAAATTCAACTTTAAAACACAAGTTGACTTATCCATGAATCAGTGCTGGTTTTGAAAGAATATTGTACATTGAATGCAGGGCAATGTTCAGTTACCGGTAGTGCTAGTGTACTTACTTGTAGTGCTAGTGTACTTACTTGTAGTGCTAGTGTACTTACTTGTAGTACTAGTGTACTTACTTGTAGTGCTAGTGTACTTACTTGTAGTGCTAGTGTACTTACTTGTAGTGCTAGTGTATTTACATGTAGTGCTAGTGTACTTACTTGTGCTAGTGTACTTACTTGTGCTAGTGTACTTACTTGTAGTGCTAGTGTACTTACTTGTAGTGCTAGTGTACTTACTTGTAGTGCTAGTGTACTTACTTGTAGTGCTAGTGTACTTACTTGTAGTGCTAGTTTACTTACTTGTAGTGCTAGTGTACTTACTTGTAGTGATAGTGTACTTACTTGTAGTGCTAGTGTACTTACTTGTAGTGCTAGTGTATTTACATGTAGTGCTAGTGTATTTACATGTAGTGCTAGTGTACTTACCAGTAGTGCTAATGTACTTATGGGTAGTGCTAGTGTACTTACTTGTAGTGCTAGTGTACTCACTGGTAGCTGTACATTGACCCCAGCTACCGGATACACACACATGGAGATTTAGAAACAACTTATCTGTTGTGATAAGTCTGGAGTCAATCATGCATCGGAAACAGTTGAGTAAACACTGCAGCAGTTGCTGCTCGCTAAAATCTGATATAATTATAAATAGGAGAGAATTTCAGTCCCAAGATTTACCCTCGACTTATCCACAAGTCGTGGCATATTTTGTAATGGTTAGTCAAAAAACTGCCCTCGACTTATCCACAAGTCGTGGCATATTTTGTAATGGTTAGTCAAAACACTGCCCTCGACTTATCCACAAGTCGTGGCATATTTTGTAATGATTAGTCAAAAAACTGCCCTCGACTTATCCACAAGTCGTGGCATATTTTGTAATGATTAGTCAAAAAACTGCCCTCGACTTATCCACAAGTCGTGGCATATTTTGTAATGGTTAGTAAAAAAACTGCCCTCGACTTATCCACAAGTCGTGGCATATTTTGTAATGGTTAGTCAAAAAACTGCCCTCGACTTATCCACAAGTCGTGGCATATTTTGTAATGGTTAGTCAAAAAACTGCCCTCGACTTATAGACGAGTATATACAGTAATTGCATCCCCTCATTTCTTTCCTCTCTCCTTATCACATTTTTGTTTGGTTTCAAAACTCAGGACCATTTTGCACCACAAAACTGATCACCTCTCTCCAAACCAGTTATAGTATTAAGTTTGAAATGAAAAGGAAATGGTCAGTTTAGTTCAATCCCAAATGACATGAAGAAGCTTGCGCCCCCACTTTCCAGGGGACGATGCCCCACTTTGTCTCCCATAATGGACTGCCAGGAAAAATGTTGACGGTTGCTGTCTATAGTTTATCATTTGTAGATTGCGAGTGGAAAAGACCAGCACTGCACATTTCTGAGTTGAACAAAAGCCTGTCAACAATGTTGTACTGTAGTGATTAGAAATGTTGAACAATTCCTTGATGTGATCTAATAAAGTCTTTTGACCTCGCTCTACCAGAAACAAGGCTACATCCCCGACAGCACTAACATGCAACAGCAGCAACAGCAGCGGCAGGCCAATGAAAGGCAGGAGTCTACCACAGCCAAATATTTCACCAAGTTTGATGTGCTGAGCACCTCGTATCACCTGATCACGAGCCATTTTGATCTCCATCTATGTGATGACAGTAGCCCAGGTAGGCAGGCATCCCGTCATGTTGTCTGACAGGTACATGACCAGACAATATGTGATGACAGTAACCCAGGTAGGCAGGCATCCCGTCATGTTGTGTGACAGGTACATGACCACACAATATGTGATGACAGTAGCCCAGGTAGGCAGGCATCCCGTTACATTGTGTGACAGGTACATGACCAGACAATATGTGATGACAGTAACCCAAGTAGGCAGGCATCCCGTCATGTTGTGTGACAGGTACATGACCACACAATATGTGATGACAGTAGCCCAGGTAGGCAGGCATCCCGTCTCATTGTGTGACAGGTACATGACCAGACAATATGTGATGACACTAACCCAGGTAGGCAGGCATCCCGTCATGTTGTGTGACAGGTACATGACCAGACAATATGTGATGACACTAACCCAGGTAGGCAGGCATCCCGTCATGTTGTGTGACAGGTACATGACCAGACAATATGTGATGACACTAACCCAGGTAGGCAGGCATCCCGTCATGTTGTGTGACAGGTACATGACCAGACAATATGTGATGACACTAACCCAGGTAGCCAGGCATCCCGTCATGTTGTGTGACAGGTACATAACCAGACAAAACAACAGCAGTTAATGTATTTTACCCTGTGGCACAAGTTGTCTCACAGAGAAGATGCCTGATAAGAATTGCTAAAAATTTGTCCTCCAAAAAATGTGAGTTCTTTTTACCTGACCAAATTGCCATAGCTTCTTGCAGTATGGTTATTAAGTAGGTCATTGTTTGTCTTATAGACTTTAACTATTAGTGAATACTCATTGACTTAAAGGAGATACTTTGAACAGCTGGTGTTTACCGGCTTAAGGTCAGTGTTGATGAAGGGGAGAAAGAGTTATGATCACACTTGAATTTGTTTTGATAGGTTTATAATTGATCTTGGGATCTGCAAATTCCTTTTATAAGAGAAAAATTTTTTGAGGACACGTGTTACTAAAAGCTTAGAGCCTCTAATTTGGGATCCACCACTTACAACACTAGGGGGAACATTTCATCGTCACTGATTATTCATATTCTTCCATCTTCATCTTGTTACAGATCAAGAAGAAGAGAAGAGACACTGGAAGATAAATGGGGGCTCAATGCAGATCACATTCTTTAAACTATCCATTGACTTCTATCCATTCCATCCTGCCGGTGAGTGGTTGTCTCCCCTACCGCATTCCCTCCCTTTCCAACCTACATGTTTTATTAATTATTGTACAATGTTGAATCAAGATCAAGTATACGATCATGTCAATGGGTGTCCTTTTGAGACCTGTGAATGGCTTGAAGTTTTTGTGTGCCAGTTTCTCTTCACAAGGATCGTTTGGGTTTGGGTTTGGGAAGCTGAAATGGTAGAACAGCCATAAAATGTGTTTCCAATAATCGGGTAATTGTTGATCTGAATTTATGACTTTAAGTTAGTAAAAGCTTCTTGCAAGCATGAAAAGATAAACTTCATTGTATGGACTTCATAGAAAAATCTAGTTGGGGGAAGTTTTAAAATTAAATTTTACTGTCAATTGAATTCTAGAATGATTGAAGAACTATCGGTCACTCGTTGAGTGTTGTCAGTTTGTATGTGATACACAGTGATTAGACCCGCAGGCTTCTTGTTTCCTCACAATGTGCTCACTGTGTGTTGTACATGTTACAAGGCTAGACATTCATCATTATTATGATTATACTCGACAACAAAGCTTAAAAAAACATCATTTTGTTAGCAGCCGAATTATATTTGACAACAAAGCACAAAAAAACATCATTTTGTTAGCAGCCGAATTATATTTGACAACAAAGCACAAAAAACCATCATTTTGTTAGCAGCCGAATTATATTTGACAACAAAGCACAAAAAACCATCATTTTGTTAGCAGCCGAATTATATTTGACAACAAAGCACAAAAAACCATCATTTTGTTAGCAGCCGAATTATATTTGACAACAAAGCACAAAAAAACATCATTTTGTTAGCAGCCGAATTATATTTGACAACAAAGCACAAAAAACCATCATTTTGTTAGCAGCAGATTGCATTTCATTTTGAAAGATCTGAAGCTTGGTTCAATATTTAATTCATTGGCCAGGGAAAATAGTTTGCTTTGGGTGGAATTGGTTCCTGGGGTATGTAAGGTGTGTAATGGGTAGCTGAGAGTGTGGTTCCTGGGGTATTTAAGGTGTGTAATGGGTAGCTGAGAATGTGGTTCCTGGGGTATGTAAGGTGTGTAATGGGTAGCTGAGAATGTGGTTCCTGGGGTATGTAAGGTGTGTAATGGGTAGCTGAGAATGTGGTTCCTGGGGTATGTAAGGTGTGTAATGGGTAGCTGAGAATGTGGTTCCTGGGGTATGTAAGGTGTGTAATGGGTAGCTGAGAATGTGTACGTTGGCCAGGGTGATTAAAAGAGTGTTGGACTGCCATAAAGCTTTAAAGTAGATCAATTAGATCCATACAATTAGTGTCAATAAAACAATCTATGTCAGCTTTAATGATGATTGTAAAAAAATACAAATGTAGACATTTCGGCAAATGCCCTCATCGATACAAAAAGCAAAACAATTATATATGTATAAATTAAATTTACAGAATATATATTTACATGTATCCTACCTAAAAAAGAAAAGAATAAGAGTGGACGTAAAAACCAGACCCAAAAAAGTTAAGAAGAAGGGAAAGGAAGTGAATGGAATTAAAATGTAAAAACCAAACAGGAAAAAAACATGGTAGCTACATTTGTATTGTGTATAATGATCATTAAAGCTGAACATATAGTATTATTTTATTTACACATATTGTTTGTGTCTAATTAATCTGGCAAAGGGGGTCGTAGAGTATATATTCCTTAGATACCCGATTGCTATGAATGTTATTGTCCTATATCTGTTTATGTTCAGTCTAGTTTAGTATTTAAAGGAACTGGGAGAGATTATTGTGGCTACTATAAAATAAAAATGATTGTGCTATTTTTGTTTATTCCCTTTTACAGACACGGGTGATAACGAAAGTAAGGACTTTCACTGTACATTTGTTTGGAGCAGAATCGACTAGTCAAAATTTAGTCCAACTGCATTTCATTCCTGTGTCTCTATGTGTGTGTCATCTTTTCTCTATTTGTGTCAGACTGAACACACTGCTTATGGGCACTCTTGTCGCTGTTCTTAGTTGTACACACTAGAGAATGCATCAGAATTTCTTTTATTTTTCTCTGTATGTGCTTACTGTAAATAAGGTCAAATTAACGAGGGAAAAAAATCAACCACGAATGTTATTGATTCAACAACCCATTTCAGTTATTCAACCACCCATGAAATTGGTTCAACCACCCTTGACATTGGTTCAACCACCCATGTCATTGATTCAACCACCCATGTCATTGGTTTGAACATGATTAGGAAACAACAATTTGTGAAATAGTAAAATAAAATTTCTCTCTAAATAATTACCTTGGTTCCTACTAAAGAATAGAATGTCCCATCTTAACATTGCAGGAATGGCTTGTTTACTGTATGAAGTGACATGTTGCAGGAATGGCTTGTTTACTGTATGAAGTGACATGTTGCAGGAATGGCTTGTTTACTGTATGAAGTGATATGTTGCAGGAATGGCTTGTTTACTGTATGAAGTGACATGTTGCAGGAATGGCTTGTTTACTGAATGGCTTGTTTACTGTATGAAGTGACATGTTGCAGGAATGGCTTGTTTACTGTATGAAGTGATATGTTGCAGGAATGGCTTGTTTACTGTATGAAGTGACATGTTGCAGGAATGGCTTGTTTACTGTATGAAGTGACATGTTGCAGGAATGGCTTGTTTACTGTATGAAGTGACATATTGCAGGAATGGCTTGTTTACTGTATGAAGTGACATGTTGCAGGAATGGCTTGTTCACTGTATGAAGTGACATGTTGCAGGAATGGCTTGTTCACTGTATGAAGTGACATGTTGCAGGAATGGCTTGTTCACTGTATGAAGTGACATGTTGCATGCACTCACTTTCAGTTACATTGGAAACAGGACCATTTGCCAGGAATGACATTATAAATCCTAATGGTCCTAAATCTATGTTGTTGTATAACTCTATCTTGTGTGGTATATGAGTACAGTGTGTAACTGCTGGATGACTCTGTAACAGACAGTGAGTGATTGGAAGCTATCTTATGTGGTATATGAGTACAGTGTCTAACTGCTGGATGACTCTGTAACAGACAGTGAGTGATTGGAAGCTATCTTGTGTGGTATGTGAGTACATTGTGTAACTGCTGGATGACTCTGTAACGGACAGTAAGCGGTTGGAAGCTATCTTGTGTGTCACTGTGTAGAACTAGTTTAGCATCCACCCACAACTGTCATAGAAGCTAAGTGACTAGTTGGCATAAGAACTCTCTGGACTGTTAGTTTAAAACCACAAAAACCTCATCTTGAGCAAATCATTTTATTCTTTTTATCATCTCTTGCTGTTCTGACATTCTATTTTTTTAAATATATATTTTTATCTTTGTACTATGTACACTATTCAATCATGTCCTGTTTACATGATTAAATCATGTATTCTGAACACAAATCATGCGCTAATGTGTTTTGACTGTGTTTTCACCATGGCAGAAGTTAATTACAAATCTGAATTGAACCTTTGATGAAATTAATCCTCTTATAAAAACAAAATACATAGTTCAAATTACCACTGTCTACACAAGCATTTGTAAGATGGTCAGCATTTTTAAGATGGTCAACATTTTTAAGGTGGTCAGCATTTTTAAGGTGGTCAGCATTTTTAAGGTGTCAGCATTTTTAAGATGGTCACCACTTGTAAGTCGGTCATGTGAATGTTTTGATACTCTGAGTACTTTTCTTGATATTTCCCAGTCACAAAATATGTGTGCACAGTGCTTTATTATTTCTGAATTGTATTTCATGCAATTAGTACATGTTACTACTGCTTTCTCTCTGCACTCATTAAGTCCAACCCTATCGACAAAAGTGCCCTATAATGTAATCACTGTACGGTCATCTTATGGTCAACTCTGTAGTTATTCAAAAGCATCCTGTAATGTGATCATTGTGCGGCAGGCCTGCACAACTCAAAATGTGAGGTGGGCTGCAATACTTTATGAAAAACTTGTGCAGGTTAAAAAGAAAATGGGACAGGACTTGTGCGGGCCAAAAGAAATTAGGACGGGGGGGGGGAAGCTGTTAAGATAAGAATAAAGAATATTTTGTTACTTGTGGGCCGCAAAGTGGGTGCTGGCAGGCCATATGTGGGATGCGACCATATGTTGTGCAGGCCTGCTGTACTGTCATTATAATCTGATTTGTTAACTATATAGTTAGAAAAAAGTGCCCTATAACGTAATCACTCTACGGTCATCATTATAATCTCACTGGTCGACTCCATAGTTAAAAATGTATAGGATTATATATATAAATATATTTATATTTTAATGTATATAATTATCTCATTGTTCTAGTAATAGTCCTCATTATGTAAATGTCTTAATGTGGTCAGTGTTTTTATTGATCTCATTGTTCACTCTACAGTGATAGACCTAATTATGTAAATGTCTTAATGTGGTCAGTGTTTTTGAATGATCTCATTGTTCACTCTACAGTGATAGACCTAATTATGACTCAGGGTGAGTGCACCTGATACTAACCATTTTAAAATCACAGTTACCTCTCTTTGTTCACTTTTATGCCGCTGTCTAAGATTTTCCCAGTTTACTAATCATTTGTGGACTATCAATAACTCATTTATTTTTGTTTGCCTCATGAGGCAGTCCATAATTTTTTGTTAATCAGTCAAAATTTACAGGACATTCATTCAGTGGAGCTGTTATTAAGGCTTTTTGGATATTTGGACCTTATCAAATAGATGTGTCTAATAAATTTAACAATGGCTTGACATTCAACTAACAAAATTTATATAGGTTCAATGTGTAATGAAAAAATGTATAATTATTTCTAAGGATGTTCAATCGGATTTCCAATTATCAGTTTTGAAACCCATGACCATTCATTGATTTTCACAAAACCATTTTCAATTCCTTTTTTTTTTTTTACAAATTATTTCAAAAACATGTTTTAAAAAAATTAAGAATTGTTTTATTAGAAACTAGCAATAGCCCACCACATAATAGTGGCGGCAATGTGTTAACTTCCCAGTTACTAAAGTTACAAAACAAAACGTACATTCAAATAACACACTTTACTAGAATCTCAGTTAGTGTTCCTCCCCCCCCCACCCCCACCCCCTTTTTCAACCACCACCACCTCACACTTTTTTTTCACATCAGTGGACTAATTTTATTAATATTCTAAAGTCCCACCCCATTTTATACCGCAGATTAAGACCATATTTAAATTGCAAACAAAAGAAAATAGTATGCACCCAACTGACTTGCAGAATTTTTAAGAATCTCATTTAGCGCAGTTATCTGGAATTTTATTTGACTGTCCGTTGAACTCATCATCACACCATACTTTCTTTCATGCATCGAGAACTATATTGATTGATATGAAGAGACTTTAAGCAAATGATAAACATGTGGTATGATTATAATTAACTATCATTACACCATACTTTCTATCATGCTTAGAGAATTATATTGATTGATATGAAAAGATTTTAAGCAAATAATAAACATATTGTATGATTATAATGTAGGTAGTCTCTAATTATTAGTAATAGGTGGTATCAAAATGAGTGTTGCTTTGTCAGTTCTAAAAATAAATACATTTATAACTGCCGATTTTAATGTTAAAAAAAGTATTATGTCCAGCTGACCTTGATATAAGAAAATTGGCTTTGCATTGTATAAACTGATCATTGGTTTAAAACTCTGTTTCCGATAACTGGTTTGCCAAAATATCTGAAACTAACATCAATAATTATTCTTTTAATATTTACAACTATAACAACCTGACATTAATTCAGTATAGTAAAAATTATTTCTTAAAATTCCATTTATGTTACTTCATTTGGGAATATTGGAGGGTGTGTGTTAAAAAAAAAAAGGGGGGGGGGGGTATTAAAGTTATTGCCTTTGTTTTGTTACTAGCACTTACAAGTTTAGGACTGTCCTACAAAGTACAATTTGATCAATTCATGTTAGGACTATTCTTTGTGTGCAAACCATAAAGACTTGTTGTGTGCTGAAAAGTTTTACTGTGATATAAACTAAAATATTGCGGTGCTCGCCGCTTGGATGTCAGCACAGCAAAGTTTGAATGAGATGTATGTACAGAAGATGGGAATGCTCAAGATTTGAGTAGTAAAAGATGGGGGAAAACAAAAAAAATGTTCTGTTTGATCACATTTAATATTAATTCAAGAGGTTAAGTAAAGGTATCATGAAGAAGATTGATGACATTTAATTGGTCTCCCATACAATTTCAATATTTTCTACATATTAAAAGTCTCCCACTACCCTACCCTGCCCCCACCTTACCCCCACCCTACTCCCCACCTAAACAACACTACCCCACCTTACCCCACCTTACCTCACCCTACCCCACCTACCCATACCCCACTTACCCATACCCCACTTAGCCATAACTCACCCTTACCCTCCTCCACCCTACCCTCCTCCACCCTACCCTCCTCCACCCTACCCTCCTCCACCCTACCCTCCTCCACCCTACCCTCGAGGTGGGATGGGAGGAGGTGGGAGCCCTCCTCCACCCTACCCTCCTCCACCCTACCCTCCTCCACCCTACCCTCCTCCACCCTACCCTCCTCCACCCTACCCTCCTCCACCTTACCCCCCACTTTGCTCCTACCCTCACCCTACCCTCACCCTCACCCACCTTAAACCACCCTGTCCCACCCTACCCCCACCCTACATGCACATTTGTATTAAAATAATCAATTCAAACTAGCCCAAAACTGATTTTAAAATGGTTGGTTCATTTTCAACAATTTTCCATGTTATATATCCTAACTTTACATTTCATTACCTTGCTTTGATTGTATTTTTTTAGCATAGCTTTTAGATATAGTTTATGGGTTATATATGTTATTCCATCCTATTTTCATGACTTTATGTTTTTTTGGTGGAAGTTTTGTATCTAATACCTTTTGTGTGGCCGCTATCTGGAACCTGTTTTATATCTCAAGATTTTCTTAGTTTACATAAACTTTACCACAGAGCTATTTTATCTGGCATTAAAATTTGTGTCTGTTTTGGTATGACTTGAAGCCTTTTTTTTTTTAAAAATAGAAGCATCTCTGTGTCATATTTAAAGGCTTTCTGTCTACTCGCATTTGTAGAGCCAATTTTTGTGTGGACGCTTTGTTTGGGTGGTTTGAGTCTTCCTCGTTTGACCTAGAAGGTCGCCTGAGTTGATGACACACAATTACAGCTCTAATATGCAAGCTTGGTGGATTGGGGTGGTGAGTGATGGGGCAATATGAAAAGCAGGGATTTTCTATAGAGGGGATTTTGTAAGCATTCAATTTTTAAAATAAATTATTCTTTTGTGGATCATTTATGAATTAAAGTTTTCAAGCCAAAAAGTAGAGAAAAAAAACCCCATTTTAAAAAAACACTTTCTTTGTGTAATGGATTTGTCAAAATGTTAAGAGAATAATTTAATATATTCTAGTTTGCTTAAATCAGTATTCGAAAGAAAGTCTTTAAAAAAAAAAAGTTGTATTTTTATATTTGAAATCTCTTGTTGGCAGTGATTACAAGAATGCCTAGTTGTGTAGAGTCAGACCCATTATCTCTTCCAGTCTTAAGACCGGATATTTTAGTTATATTTTACATTTATGCTGGTTTGCCTTTTTTAACATTTTTTGTTTCTGTAGATGTGCTTTTGTATTTAATTTTTGAAAGAATCTTTATTTGTAAATCTGGTTAATGTTCTGCCTGGTTTATCATTTGAAAAAATAAGAAAAATTATGGCTTGGATCAGACCCATTGCTCTTTTTATTTTGTTACATAAGCCAAATTTAAAACACTGGCAAGTCTGTTGTTTCATTAGAAATTAATTTGCCATAATCAAAATGCAAAACCAATAATGAGTGTATGTTTACAAGAATAGTTTACCATTCAAACTTCTGCGTTGTTTCTTTGGTAGGAACATGAAATGCATAAACAATTTTTTTTAACAATAGTCTTTTATTCCTGGTGATACACTTTAATTATTCTATTGAAGAATAATATAAGACCTGGTCATAGTCTAAAAGCCGTAGAGGAATTTCCTAGTGACATTGCTTATTACATGGACATTTTTACTTGTGTCCAAAACAGAATGGGAAGGTCCTAGAATGAGCTCCTTATTTGTCAGCTTGTATTCTTGACATCTTGTGTCCAAAACAGAATGGGAAGGTCCCAGAATGAGCTACTTATTTGTCAGCGTGTATTCTTGACATCTTGTGTCCAAAACAGAATGGGAAGGTCCTAGAATGAGCTCCTTATTTGTCAGCTTGTATTCTTGACATCTTGTGTCCAGAACAGAATGGGAAGGTCCTAGAATGAGCTCCTTATTTGTCAGCTTGTATTCTTGATATCTTGTGTCCAAAACAGAATGGGAAGGTCCTAGAATGAGCTCCTTATTTGTCAGCTTGTATTCTTGACATCTTGTGTCCAAAACAGAATGGGAAGGTCCTAGAATGAGCTACTTATTTGTCAGCTTGTATTCTTGACATCAGTTTTATAGGCTGTAAGCATGGACTGTTGTATCCCATGATTTGGGCTTGGACAAACTCACACTTATGTTGTAACCTGCCTGAATGGGACGCCCTTGTTTAGTGTCCTAAATCATTCTGTCTGTTTCGTGTGGTGCATCCCTCACAATTCTTCTGTGCATGTCTGACCTTTAGCAGGTCGTCTATTTGTGACTGTTTTACGAGATTTCTCCTATTTTTTTTAGCTTCGTCTGCCTTGTCTTGTAGCTCATACAAAGAGTCCTTCCATAGCACTTGCCTTTTCCTGTGTTTGTCTAGATCATTACTATAGTTCTGTTTTCTCTGTTTTTTAAAACAGTTTCTATAAAAAGCTCTGTGGACACAATTATTGAATCTTGTGAGCTGCTCAGTGGTAATCTCTAAATAGCAACGTTAAAGCAAAATTTTGCTCAGTTAAATAGTCATCCAAATTAATGTGCATCTTTGTCAAGACTCGAAATAAATTTATATTTTCATGTCATAGAAATAAGCCTCAGAAATGATACTTATAAAAACTCATGGACCTCCATACATTTCTCAGAAATGATATGAAAACTCATGAAAGTCCATGCATTTCTCAGAAATTACACTTATGAAAACTCATGGAAATCCATGCATTTCTCAGGAATTATACTTATGAAAACTCATGGAAGTCCATGCATTTCTCAGAAATTATACTTATGAAAACTCATGGAAGTCCATACATTTTCCATTTCTGTGGCTCACCAAGGTAAACTCTTCAATTCTTTTAGGGGGTTGGTCTCACAAGCCATGTTTCTTTATTGCAGGCGGTGAGAGAAAAAAGTGGTACCGCTATGCAGACAACATTGGCTCCCGCAACCCTTGGGTCCAGAAACTGTTCACAGAGTTCCGAGAAGAAGCCGTGAAGCTAAGGCGGGTCGTTGAGTCATCTCCCATGCATTCGTCGTCATCAGCTCCTTCCCTGCTTGCCAACCAGCCAATGCCTTCATCCCCTGGTGCTACCAACAAAAGAAATCTTTCACCTTCAAACAGCAAGTCGGTTCAGTCAAGTCCAGGTACGTACGTCCATTCACAACAGCAAGTCGGTTCAGTCAAGTCCAGGTATGTATGTCCATTCACAACAGCAAGTCGATTCAGTCAAGTCCAGGTACGTGCCAACCTGATTGAGATGATATATATTTAAATAACAAGTGCACTTGTTGTTTTGAATCAGGCCTTGGTTTATTTTATTACTTTCTCAAAAGATCTTCAGTGTGGCTGTAATCAACAGTTGTTAGAATGACCAATAGATCTTGAGTTGTTAAAATGACCAATAGATCTTGAGTTGTTAAAATGACCAATAGATCTTCAGTTGTTAAAATGACCAATAGATCTTGAGTTGTTAAAATGACCAGAAGATCTTCAGTTGTTAAAATGACCAGCAGGTCTTCAGTTGTTAAAATGACCACTAGATCTTCAGTTGTTAAAATGACCAATAGATCTTGAGTTGTTAAAATGACCAATAGATCTTGAGTTGTTAAAATGACCAATAGATCTTCAGTAGTTAAATAACCAATAGATCTTCAGTAGTTAAAATGACCAATAGATCTTGAGTTGTTAAAATTACCAATAGATCTTCAGTAGTTAAAATGACCAATAGATCTTCAGTAGTTAAAATGACCAATAGATCTTGAGTTGTTAAAATGACCAATAGATCTTGAGTTGTTAAAATGACCAATAGATCTTCAGTAGTTAAATAACCAATAGATCTTCAGTAGTTAAAATGACCAATAGATCTTGAGTTGTTAAAATTACCAATAGATCTTCAGTAGTTAAAATGACCAATAGATCTTCAGTAGTTAAAATGACCAATAGATCTTGAGTTGTTAAAATGACCAATAGATCTTCAGTTGTTAAAATAACCAATTGATATAATAAATAATAGTTAAGTTCTAAAAGTTTCTGCTATTAAGTTGTTACAACTTCCAACAATTAAGATAACTCACTTGATCGCTCACAACAACAATGGGAGTTAATCATGAGTTAACAGTCATGTTACATATCACATTATGTCTTTGTTACAATTGGAGTTTAACCTAGATAGTTTTACTTACTTTATATAATTGACAAGGGGGCTTTGTTATGTATGCATGAATACAAACATGTCTTTGTGTCAATGACAGTTAGACCTAGATATGTTTACTTATTTTATATAACAGACACATGGGCTTGTTATGTATGCATGGAATACAATACTAAACATGCTCGTTATATGTCGACCAATCAGTTGCAATTATTTGTTAACATCAAGTTAATTAAATTGCTGCCTATTAAACTTTTAAAAAAGAGCGTTTATAATATCTATGAATAAAATATAAATCCATGATGTAAAATATGGTTAATCCACCTTACGTCAAGTTAAGTTTCACTGTCTCTCAGTACACGGCCCAAATCAAGCTCAGAGAAATTCCTTAGGTTCTAGATCTGCCCAAGCTTCCCCCCAACACCAGGCTCAGGTCGCCCCACACCAGGCTCAGGTCAACAAGAGCTCCACCCGACTGTTGGAAAGCTGTTTTGTTTTCAAGGTTTGTCATGTTCTTTAATAAAAAAAATATACATATACCAGCTGTAAAGTACGGCGTGATTCCTCATTGTGGGCTTGTTTGGACTCTGGAGTGACCCGTTTTTCTGGGCTTTGGATTGGCCTATGCACCATGTTGGCCTGCCTTGCCCACCCTGTGTTTTGTGTGTGCTTTTTGTGGACTTTGTTACCCAACCTATCGTTACCCAACCTATCGTTACCCAACTTATCGTTACCCAACTTATCGTTACCCAATCTATCGTTACCCAACCTATCGTTACCCAACCTATCGTTACCCAACCTATCCAGCAGTCATTAAAGTATTTGCCATTGTTCAATGGTTAGAATTTATTAATTGCCCACAAAATAAAATCGGGTTTCTATAAAACACAATGTATTTTATGCACATGACAAATGTATGTTAATTAATTTGTATGTAATTGCCTTATATGCGCAGCAGAAAATACATTTACTAAATGTTTCCAACTATAATTATTTACCCATTGGTCCTTGTTTTATCTCATTTTTCCAGCTCTAAAGTTGTATGCCAAGGGATTTAATATAATTCAACCACCGTTACAAATTATTGTTATCCTTGAAATCACAACCACCGGTACAAATTGTTACCCCTGAAATCACAACCACCGGTACAAATTTTTACCCTTGAAATCAAAACCACCGTTACAAATTGTTACCCCTGAAATCAAAACCACCGTTACAAATTGTTACCCCTGAAATCAAAACAACCTTTCAAATTTTTACCCCTGAAATCAAAACCACTGTTACAAATTGTTACCCCTGAAATCAAAACCACCGTTACAAATTGTTACCCCTGAAATCAAAACCACCGTTACAAATTAATGTTATCCCTGAAATCAAAACCACCGTTACAAATTGTTACCCCTGAAATCAAAACCACTGTTACAAATTGTTACCCCTGAAATAACAACCACCGGTACAAATTGTTACCCCTGAAATCACAACCACTGCTACAAATTGTTACCCCTGAAATCACAACCACCGTTACAAATTGTTACCCCTGAAATCCCTTGGTGCGGCAACATCCACTCTGGAATTATTGTTTTAGATAATATATCTAAACAAGCACACAAGATTTTTCCATAAAAATAATTCCAAAAATTTATTGCAAAAGGGACATCCAAAGCCATATTTTATGGCCATGTTCAGAAAACAATACACAGTAAATACTAAAAAGGACATCCAGTGCCATATTTCATGACCATGTTCAGGAAACAATGGTAGGGAAAATATTTATAAGATTACTAGCAGCGGCGATATTTACTCTCATGGGGCGTCAGGACCATATCCCTTTTGTAAGAGCAGACATATGTCTGAATGGGGGTTAAATAGCAGTGCTGTACACCCTTATACAGGTCTGCACCATGGTGCATCCATCTTCTGACTAATTATGTGTAAGTTTTGTCTTGATGAGTTCACAATGGAACACAACACACACCATCTCATTTAACCTTTTCACATCCCAAACACTTTCCTTGGACCACCTGGATCCAGGCATTTCTGCCATCCTACCCAATCTTCGGAACACATCTATCAAAAATAATTTCACAGCATCCTTCATAATTACCGACATCGCATTACTACAATAAGGATTGTAGTTTAGTGAACTATTTATTTTAATGATCGTTATGTTGCCCTAAACAGTTTGATCTCATCAATGTCCTCCAGCATTGGCCAGTTGGTCTCATCTGACACCTGTTCAATTCAATGTTTCCAGGTGGAAGACATGACCATCTACATGGTGTCCATGCCCGGCCAGAAGAGAACGGGGCCCAAGAAGTTGTTGTGCTCAGACAAGCAAAAGCTGCACTTGCCTCCAGAGATGTCTATGCTCCATGTTGAGTACACAGACTATTTCTTCCCCGAGGGGCTGGAGTATCCAGGTAGGTGTTCCTGTCATTTTCTCAACAACAGACAATAATTTAGTTCAAGGGAATTTTTTTTAAACTATCATCCCTGACAGCTCTGGCAAGAGGATAAGTCTGTTTTAAATCCTTTATTTTAACTTTTCTTTTGTTCGTGACTGACTAAATCTTCTAGCAACTAATTGACGCAATTCCTGTCAACCTATGGAGCTGAAACTTGGTACACAGACTCATTTCCAATGACAACACATTCTTTCAAATTTTCAGCCCCAACCCCAAAAAATCAAATTTTCTTGTTTTTCAAGGAGAAGATGAATGAAATAGAGTGACACTGATTTCACAAAATAAAAATCCTGATGACTGCTTTAAGTGAGATTCTTTTTAAAAAAATATCGCCAGTGCGTTTGGTGCGTAATATTTTCTTTTGTTTTTTTTGAAATGGTGAAGTAAATCTGCGGTGTATTACCGGGTGGGTCATTAGAATAGACAGTGAGTCCAAGACAGTGAGTGGTATACATTACTTGTATGTGTGTGACTTCACAGTACTTGTATGTGTATGACTTCACAGTACTCCTTGTGTGTGACTTCAGTGGTTGTATGTGTGTGACTTCACAGTACTTGTATACGTGTGACTTCACAGTACTTGTAAGTGTATGACCTCACAGTACTCATTTGTGTGTGACTTCACAGTACTTGTATACGTGTGACTTCGCAGTACTTGCATGTGTGTGACTTTACATAACATGTATGGTTAAATGGTGAGACCCTGTGTCACCATGTGGATGAAATTGTTGCACCCACCAAAATATGTCATGATCCCTAATGTCGGCTATGCAGCATTTTGTCAAGGCAATGTCATAATTAATTGACAAGTAGAACGTCAGGATAGGCTGCATCTGTATTTATTATTGTCACCCATCATCCTCTAAAGTCATGCGTTAGATATATTGCATTGTAACTACAGAACATGGAATATGTTGCCATTTTAATGACTTCATCATTCAGTTAACATTTGATTTGGCATGACTAAAGAAGCCTTAATGTTATGTCCACACAATAATTATTAAATTAAAAAGAAAATAAATCATCAACTTGAAGCAAACAGTTCCAAGTCCAAGAATGCATTAAGTGTTGATTTTACTCAAACCCTGGTGGTATTGCACATGTCCCTGGCCTGAAAGTCTAAATGACATTTTCAGCTATGTCATTCTGCTGGTCACATGGTTTGATTGTGCCTGGCCCTGTTTGAAGATGGCTGATTTCAGCAGGGCCCTGTCTCGTGTTGTCTTCTTTCTTACATGCCAGGAAGGCCCTCCACATGGCCTTGATTTTTGTGTTCATCAGGGCGTATATGATAGGATTAGTGGCGGTGTGAGACCAAGAGATGTAGATTACTGCAGTGTACACAGCCGGGGGGGTCCATCTCAGGCAAGGATCCACCGCGCTTGTCACCAGGAATGGAATGTAGGTGACGGAGAAATTGATGAGGATGGCGCTGATCATTTTAATGAGCTGTGCGTTGCGGGCCTGGCCTCTGAATCTGACGGCGGCCTCCAACGCGGACGAGGTTGTCTTTCTTCTGGATTTGAAGTGCACCAGGAAGATGGACGAATAGCAGTAGACTGAGACAAGGGAGATGAATGTGATGAAAGCAATGCTCAGCACGGCCTGGAACCCTATCCCTCCATGAGTGTTGATAAGTGTGCAGTAGCCTTTCCGTGGGTCGTAGCCGTATTGGTCCCACACACGTACTAGTGGCACAACATAAAGGGCTGTGGATATAAGCCACGGCAGGCCTAATAAAAGGAATAATTTCACCATCTCCCAATGATGTGAGCCGGTGCCCTTTTTGGAATGGTGCACTATGGCCATGTACTGGCTGATGTTGATGCCCATGAGGGTTATGCACTCTGTGGTTATTCCCACATACAGGACATAGCCGAACCCCTCACATACTATGTCACCAAAGAGCCAGTTTTCGTGGAAGCTGTTCGCCGCAATCATGGGCAGGATGATCAGTGTGCTTACCAAGTTGGCCAGACAAAGGTCAACAATCAAGGCCATGGTGGGCCCGCTGCGGTACAGCCGGTTCTTGTAAATTAAGTAGATGGAGACGGTGTTGCCCAGTGTCCCGACCAGGCCCAGGATCACGGAGGCAGCAAAGTGAAAGTTTCTCAAGTCTCTGCTCATGGTGAAAGTCTCATTGAGTGAACACATGCCTTCGAGAGCCCAGCCGTATTCACGACAGCATCCAAAATGGTGGCACGTCTATAATGTTGTCATGATTACCTGAGAGGAAAAAAAATTAATCAGGAATTAGACTCTTATTAGCTGCCGTGACCAAAATGTTTACGTTCTGTCCGTACACAATAAAGGTATTGAGAATGCTAAAAAAACAATGATGTTTTCAGCTTAATCCCATCGGGATGTTTTTCTCATGTTTCAAGTGAAGTGCGAGTCAATGTTTCATTCCATTAGACACACCCACAAACAGGATCTATTGAAACCCCTTTGAAGTGAAGTGTAAAAATGTTCTCCCTTTGAGCTATCCAAGTAAAGTGTTAACAAATCAATGCTGTGTGGTTTATGTGTTGTGGTAGCTGCCACCCAGCCCCCCTTCCCCCTTATAAACACACACACACAATGCCAGAAGAGATAAAAGATCTTTAACTTTGACATTTTTTTTAGCAAATTCAGTAGGGTATTTATTTCTGCCATTAAGCAACAGTAAGCAGCTACCTATTTCCCAGCAATGTGGACACCCTAAGCTTCACTGCATTAGGCATTGGACAGTGGTTCCCAAACTAAAGCTTCACTGCATATGGCATTGGACAGTGGTTCCCAAACTAAAGCTTCACTGCATATGGCATTGGACAGTGGTTCCCAAACTAAAGCTTCACTGCATATGGCATTGGACAGTGGTTCCCAAACTAAAGCTTCACTGCATATGGCATTGGACAGTGGTTCCCAAACTAAAGCTTCACTGCATATGTCATTGGACAGTGGTTCCCAAACTAAAGCTTCACTGCATATGTCATTGGACAGTGGTTCCCAAACTAAAGCTTCACTGCATATGGCATTGGACAGTGGTTCCCAAACTAAAGCTTCACTGCATATAGCATTGGACAGTGGTTCCCAAACTAAAGCTTCACTGCATATGGCATTGGACAGTGGTTCCCAAACTAAAGCTTCACTGCATATGGCATTGGACAGTGGTTCCCAAACTAAAGCTTTACTGCATATGGCATTGGACAGTGGTTCCCAAACTAAAGCTTTACTGCATATTGCTTAGGACAGTGGTTCCCAAACTATTTTTCCCTTCATTTTAATTTTAGGAAGATGAAAAATACTCCTTAAAAAAATATAGCCGTTCAACTGAAAGTTCTATATCAACAACATAGGATGAATCAACAGCCTAAGTTGTATCAATAGCATAGGTTGTATCAAAAGCATTGGTTGTTTCCAGGGCAAATGTATCAGAAATAGAAGAACTAGGCATCCTAGACTTGAATTCATTGACAGGACAAAACATTTTAACGTTTCGGCTTAGAGCCTTCATCAGAAAACAAGACAAAAAGAAGTATGACAAATGTCAGGATTCAGCCTGCAAGGCCATGTCATCCGGTCTGCCGACGGTAATTGAACTTTCTTGATAAAATGTCTGGAACACGATGGTGTGATACAACTTAAAATTTCATTATTATGTTTAGAATATTAGATCTTCACACGTGCGGAGACCTCCTGGCTGCTATGCGCCGTAATTTACCCTTTTCTATTATTGTGTCTTGATTTTCTTTTTTTATTACGGACCTGTTTACCCTCAAACTCCAAAAATCGTACAATATCGTCTCAAAATTGTACAGTACAGTACCTTAATATTAAATAAATAAACATACAGTATGTAAAATTAATATAATAACTATCGACATTGCAGTGCTTAGTGGGATCGAGCTAAGATCGCCACAAAAGTTATCTACTAAAAGTAGATGACCGACGTTTATAATACAATCTGGGGTCACTTTGTTTTGCAGACATGTATTTGCTATTGATATTAATTTATATTGAATGGAGGTACAGAGCACATTATCACAGTCTATCACTGGTAAAAAATAAAGTTACTCTGATATTTAAGGTGATTCAAACTCGAACTCAGATCAGCATAAAACAAGAAGTATTTAAATAAGAATTAATGAACAAATGATGACATCATTTAAAAAAACTAGCAAGTAACTTGAGGTTTTTGTTTTTAGGGAAAGCTGGTTTAAAAATATTATAAAATAAGAATCAATTTCCATTAAGCCTTTTCCCTCTAATATACTATAGTCTGATAACTACCACAAACCTGTAAATGGGTGAAAGAAAGAGGAGTGTTGGAAACGTAAGATGAAATTAAAAATCGTAGTTGCCACAGTTGAAACTAACAGCCCTTCGGCAAGTTCAGTTTTTCGGAGAATAGAAGACCTTGGAGAGAACTTAGTGCTACAGATATGTGAGAAATACATGGTATTCTCTGGCGCTGGATGAGTCTACTGATCTCTCACAACTTCTCATGTTTATTTATGGTGTCAATTAGGACTTTCAGATAATGGAAGATTTGGCATCCATTTGCAGCATGCATGGAACAACTTGTACATGTGAAGTCAACACATCGAACAAGAGGGATTGATGAACATTTGAAAACAATTCTTTTGATTGGATGCAGGAAATGCAAACCAAACATTGATGATATCTTGAAAGCCAAGCGTCGGTTTCACAAATCTCACTAAACTTTTTTGCTGCTTAGTTTGTGAGATTCGAATATGTGCGCACTAGGTCTGATGTAACTATCTTTTTGGCTAATGTCGCCTTCTTTGCTAACTTTTTAGTAAATAAATATTTTGCTTGTATTTGTTTTTTTGCATTGCACAGCACTCACCCATGATTAACATGGAATACTAAACCTTAGTTTTTCGTCTTTTATCCCAGAGCTTTTGTTCTTGCTTGCAAGTATTGTACAGAATGATTATCCGGCCTGCATTCGTCAATTTTTTCCATTATCCCGCCCGCCGTGAAAAAAGTTTGGTGACCCCCTGATCTAGATCAATAATAAAACTCTTAACTGAATTGTCAACTAAATGATCCTAATGTTGGATGAATCAAATGCCTTCATCTAGATCACTAATGAAGCACAGAACACTGAGTTAAGCCTCTTCCACCTTCAATTGTGGGGCGGAGAATGGAAACTTTCAAATCTCTCACATTAAGCTTTACAAATAATTCAAGCAATTTCTGCAGCTTCAGTTTCAAGCTAAGAAAACTGTCATAAATATTCTTGGTATAACAAGATTGAGTTTAGTTTGTCCAAATTTGGTTTGAGTACTTTAGGGCTACATAACACATTAAGATCAACACATTTATTCAAAGTAACATTTGACAACTATTATAATCTGAGGCTTGTTCACATTCTTGCTTGTTTTATGAGCCAATATCTCAATTATATGGGGCCAACTAACCACAAGTACTCATTGGAAAATTTCTGGTGTGTAGAGTAAGACTGTCAGAGAAAAAAATCTATAATGATTGGCCTCACCTGACTCCTCCTTGAAATGACTTGAATGGTAGAACTGTGTTTTATGGACATGTCATTCCAAGACATGTCATTGTCTCACATCAAATGTCAATCCAAGACATGTCATTGTCTCACATATTTCAATCTCACTCCAAGAAATGTCCCACACCATCTCCCACTATAAAACCTGTGTTTAATCCAGTAGCCATATAACAACCAGTCCAGAGTTTGCACATTTACTGATTGAATCAAGGACAGAGAGTGAGCTGTGAAGGTGGTGGCTGGGGTCCAATGATTCTCACATAGTTACAGTCAGCCCAGAGTTTGCTCATTTACTGATAGAATCAAGGACAGAGAGTGAGCTGTGAAGGTGGTGGCTGGGGTCCAATGATTCTCAGATAGTTAGTCAGCCCAGAGTTTGATCATTTACTGATAGAATCAAGGACAGAGAGTAAGCTGTGAAGGTGGTGGCTGGGGTCCAATGATTCTCACATAGTTACAGTCAGCCCAGAGTTTGCTCATTTACTGATAGAATCAAGGACAGAGAGTGAGCTGTGAAGGTGGTGGCTGGGGTCCAATGATTCTCACATAGTTACAGTCAGCCCAGAGTTTGCTCATTTACTGATAGAATCAAGGACAGAGAATCAAGGACAGGGTGTGAGCTGTCATGATGGTGGCTGGGGTCCAATGATTCTCACATAATTACAGTCAGCCCAGAGTTTGCTCATTTACTGATAGAATCAAGGACAGAGAATCAAGGACAGGGTGTGAGCTGTCATGATGGTGGCTGGGGTCCAATGATTCTCACATAGTTACAGTCAGCCCAGAGTTTGCTCATTTACTGATAGAATCAAGGACAGAGAATCAAGGACAGGGTGTGAGCTGTCATGATGGTGGCTGGGGTCCAATGATTCCCACATAGTTACAGTCAGCCCAGAGTTTGCTCATTTACTGATAGATTCAATGACAGAGAATCAAGGACAGGGTGTGAGCTGTCATGATGGTGGCTGTGGTCCAATGATTCCCACATATTTGCCATAATTAAATAACATAAATTTAATAAGAGCTTTAAGAGGATATTCTTTTTAAATTAAAAAAAAAATAATAATAAAGAGAGCAAAAATTGAGCCATAAATATAAGAAAACAACGTATAGATGGAAAACACCCCACTTTGCCACTCCCTAATGTACTCACTATTAAATGCTTCTCAAGCACAACACTTAGAACTGTTTAAAAGAAATAAACTCAGGATCCCATCCCATGGAACACAATTTAATTTTGATAACTTATAAAAGGTTCTCTCTTAATTTAATCAAAACATTCAATATTTTATGCAGTACTTTCTCAGTTCCATTTGAAGAAAAAAATCCTTTTAAAAAAATGACAGGTCGGATTTTTCCCTCATCCTATTAACAGCAAAACAAATTTCTGTCCCCATTTGAAACAGCATTTATTTGACACATCTGACGGCCAGTCCAACAGCCACTCGGCCAGTCCAACAGCCACTCGGCCAGTCCAACAGCCACTCGTACTTCTGACAGACATGCAAACCTGGCAGTCAGACACATGACTGGTCCTACCCTTTTTCCAATCAGATCTATGGCAGTCTTAAGAAAACTGACATTGGAGATAATGAGCACACAGCCATGATGTGGCTACAGAAGAATAGGACTGGAATTACGGCTTGGAGAATGCTATAGAATTTTACTGTTTTAATAACAACCCGGAGATGTGGTGCAATAAGGTGGTTTGTTTCTCTGATGTTTGTCCATCTATAATGCATGTAAGTTGTGTTACGATACACAAGCAGACCAATGAGTTCTGTTTGAAAACACCAGGACACAGTGTTTACCTAAGATGGATCCTTAGATTACTGACAGGCTGGTGGAGATTTGTTTACTCAAGCATCCAACAAAAGTTGATGACATAAAGCATTTATGGTAGTTCAAATATCATGTTCTTTTATGACGGCTTCAACATCACTTGCTTATACATATATATATATATGTGTGTGTGTGCATGTATGTATACATGTTTCCTAGTTGTGTTATCTGTGAGTGGCATCTGGCTATGTTGTGTTATCTGTGAGTGGCATCTGGCTATGTTGTGTTATCTGTGAGTGGCATCTGGCTATGTTGTGTTATCTGATTCTGTGAGTGGTATCTGGCTATTTTGTGTTATCTGTGAGTGGCATCTGGCTATGTTGTGTTCCCTGTGAGTGGCATCTGGCTATGTTGTGTCCTCCGAGTGACATCTGGCTATGTTTGTGTCCTCTGAGTGACATCTGGCTATGTTTGTGTCCTCTGAGTGACATCTGGCTATTGAGTGGCATCTGGCTACAGTGTGTCTTATCAGCATTAGGTCAACCATAGTTTTGATTAACAACCAGCCCTTCCTTATCAGTAATTGTATTCTTGGTCTTTTCTTTGTGGTGTGAGCACACTTGAGACAAGGGCTGGAATACTTGACATTGTGATAAGCTCAGTGGCAGGACTTAACAGTTAGATGTGCATCCATTTCATCCCACGCCATGGATTACTCTCCCTAACGTCCATCCTTATTCCATCTTTTGATAGAACTGTATTTGATGCCCCTAATGGTCATGGAACAGATTCCATTGTTGAATAATGATTTCAAAAAATGAATGGTTTGAACCGTGATCGTAAGAATGAACGTCCAACCAAATAACATGCAAGCTGTTCTTAACTTCAAAGATTGACTTCTAATTTTAAAATCTCCCACAATTCCTCACCCACTTTTCAGGATGTTACATGATGTGTTCTTCTGGTGCCCAGTTTTCAAGCCAAAAATGAAATGACCATTTGGTCCTTACTTCTGAGAAATGGTTGGCAATAAGCTGTTGACAGAAATAGTTAATCCATAATTAATTGCAGGTTAATTGATGCTCTAATGAATGTTTACATCCCTAGGATATCTCTGCTTAATCCAGGGGCTTCCTCAACTCTTTGAAAGGTTCAGTGATTAGCACATTTGGTCAACACACCAAGTAGTTTTGTCATGCTTGATGTTCACATGTTTAACTCATCCCATTGATGGGTTGGTTCTCAAACTTGTTGAATCACTTAAACTCATACTTTGTTGGAGTGGTTCTCAAACTTGTTGAATCACTTAAACTCATACATTGGTGGAGTGGTTCTCAAACTTGTTCAATCACTTAAACTCATACATTGGTGGAGTGGTTCTCAAACTTGTTCGATCACTTAAACTCATACATTGGTGGAGTGGTTCTCAAACTTGTTCGATCACTTAAACTCATACATTGGTGGAGTGGTTCTCAAATTTGTTCGATCACTTAAACTCATACATTGTTGGAGTGGTTCTCAAACTTGTTCAATCACTTAAACTCATACATTGGTGGAGTGGTTCTCAAACTTGTTCAATCAGTTAAACCAGAGGTCTCAAACTCAAATCATTTGGGGGCCGCAGGAGGTAGAGTCTGAGTGAGACATTTTTTCACAAAAAAAGAAAAAATGCAATTACAAAATAATTACAATTAAAGGGTTCTCAAGAACAAGGCTTCACTTTCTTCCTCCTACTCCGTGTTGTCAGAGGCCTGGCAGCGCTTCTTCTTACACAGCTTAGAAACATTTTGCTTGAGTGAAGAAGCAACTGAGACCCTCAATATAGATTGAAGATGCTCGTCAGTAAGTTTCGTTCTGAACTTTGACTTGTTAAATTTCATAGTGGAAAAGAGCTTTTCACACACATAGCTACTCCCAAAAGGGCACATGATCCGCTTGAACAACCTGGAAATCTCAGGGAAGGTGGAGGACAATGCTCTCATAAATTGTCCATGCTAGACTGTCTTTCCATTCATCTCCCTTAACTTAGAATTGCACTGAAGATCAATCAGCTCCATTTGAAGTGCAAGGAGGAGGGCATCTTCCACATTAATGGAGAAAGGGTCAGCAAAAATTTAAAAAATGGCTCTGTGTGTTTTAAGTCTAAAAATATGTGATCAAATTCTTTCTGTAGCTGTGCAAAGTGCCTGAATCCATGAGTACTTTGCATGTTGGGAAATGGCAGAGGTTTCTATCAGTTTTGTGCGGAATGCCCTGACATTGTCATAGGCAACACTGACAAGCTGCCCCTGGTCTTGTAACTTCTTGTTGAGTACATTCAGCTCCTGTGTAATGTCAACAAGAAAAGCCACTTCCATGAGCCATTTGGGATCACTTAGTACAGGAACAACCACCCCATCCTTCTCCATGAAGTCTTTAGATCCTAAAACATGTTCAAACAATATGCAGGAGACGGCAATATTTATGAATTATTGATGCGAAGGAAGATGCTATTGTAGGAAGAATGAATTTTGATTTTTGATCGTAGAAAAGGCCTTTTGACTAAACTTACTTTAAAAGTCATCTAGATGACAAGCTCGGGATTTTCCTCACTCATAAACACTAGCGGCGATTTTAATTGGGACTCTTTGATACTGTGTCAGATTGCTACGATCTACACAATTACGGTTGTGCTTTACCCTCTAACTGACCTTTAAAACTTTTCTCAAAACAGCTCTTTGGTCAATACGGTCATGTTTGTCGAATAAAGTGCTATAAAATTAAAACCATTTTAAAACGGTTTTTACCATTCTAATCAACGTCCAAATCTATACAAACATAATACAAATCAGAATGTTGTCTACCATCTTTTCCAGCTAGATATTATCTCCTAGATGTATATTGGCTTGTGTTTTTTATGGTTGCAAGGGATGAAAGACCTTGAAAGGGTATGCTTGTTTGTAGTTTTTTGTAGCGTTGCGTTTTGTATTTCAGTGTGGTCAAATAGAGATTGTTTCGTTTAATATGGTTGACTTTGTATCGCGCTTCGATAAAGCATGATTTTTTTCAAATAAACTTTATTATTATTATTATTATTATTAATAATATACTAGTCGTTGAGATTCGACTGAAACTGTCGTGGACGGTCACATTATAGATGTGAGAAGGGGGAAAACGCGCGGGCTGCATTAGCACTAAATCTTGCTGTCATGTAGCGGACTGCAAAATATCATCTTGTGGGCCGCGAGTTTGAGACCCCTGACTTAAACTCATACATTGTTGGAGTGGTTCTCAAACATGTTCATTCACTTAAACTCACACACTGTTGGAGTGGTTCTCAAACATGTTTATTCATTTAAATTCATGGTTCTCAAACTCAGAACATTTAATTAACTTATCAAATTCATGTAGTTGTTATAAATCTTGTTCAGCACCAGGACACTTCTTTAACCAGTCATATTGATGTAGTCGATCTCAAACTTGTTCAGCCCCAGGACAGTTCTTTAACCAGTCATATTGATGTAGTCGATCTCAAACTTGTTCAGCCCCGGGCTGCATAAATTAATTAAATATTTGAAAAGTAGCTTAACTTAAAAGACAATAATATTTTATACTTTTTACACTAGAAAAATTAAATGTTTCCATATCTAAAACCATAATGAGGACTTGAGTTTATATTTTCCCACGGAGAGGATTTCTCCATTAATTGCCAGAATTGATCTTATTTAACTTATCTGACATTCTGAACTAAAGAATAATTTAAATGATAAGTGGTTTATGAAATGGCTTACAAAACAGAAATGCTTGAGAAACACTGAACTTAAAAATAAAAAATTTGCATCACATAGAAAAGAATAATAAAAGAAAAGAGCTGGGGGGTGGAAGAGGGAGTTGGGCGGAATAGTTTAATCAGTAAAACATAAAAGCCCTGAAAGTATGAATATTTCATATCCTTGAAAACCTTTGTTTGCCCAGGATGGCTGTGGGAGCATTGAGTTTGTTTGATGAGATTTGTCTAATACTTGTTTGTAAATGCTTGTTTTAAAAACTTGACATTCATCCATTGGCAGCCTTAAAAAAGGTTGGCCCATTCGTCAAGACAACTCATGCTGCCAAAGGGAAAAACAAATACGTAAAAATAATGGATCAATAAGCAATATAAAATAAAAGGAAGAAAACAAAATAAGTGAAACAATAAGTTTAAAGTAGAATTAAGAAACATCTTTTTGGTCAATAGCATAAGTCAAAGCTTTGTTTGCTTTTCCAAAGAATAGCCGTTGCAAAAAAGGTTTCCATTTATTTGGTGTTGGGGAAAATGTCATTATATCTGGGTTTAAAAAAATTGCTTTGGCTTATACAATCCAGAAAATGAGATAGCTAGCCCAGTAGTCTACTACATATAACACATCTCTGGTGATGATAGCTACCCCAGTAGTCTACTACATATAACACATCTCTGGTGATGATAGCTACCCCAGTAGTCTACTACATATAACACATCTCTGGTGACGAGTGCATCGATGAGCCTGATGAACTGATGGAAATTGTTGTTTTGTTTCAGTTCCACACTCCAACATTTACGTGATGGTCAATCCTGTCCGTGTAACATTGGACTTCCTCACACTGCTGTGGTCAAACGTTTTCTTGCTGACTCTCTCCAACTCCCTGGTAAGATATGTGTATCATGTTATTTGTACCATCATGTTATTTGTATAAATGAGACTTATCTTCTTTGAATACTTGTAAACATCCCAGTTCAAAAGGGGTGGGGGGGGGGATTTATTATCTAATGCCTTTTACTTTGTAGGAATATAAAAAAAAATTTAGTGTTATTTATTTTTCAAATCAGAAGGCTACAAATAAAAAATGTAACAACAAAATTAAAATGAAAATTTCAGTTGTTTTGAAAAATAAAATAAAATGTTTAGATGTTTTTACATCTCATCTAAATTGAAACACCCAACTTTTTTTGTAAAACAATATATAGATCTTTGTGCTGGTCTTTACACACTTGGTGCTAATGTCATGTGTAACATCTCCATGAAGGTATTTACACACTTGATGATCATGCCCTGTGTAACCATCTCCATGAAGGTATTTACACACTTGATGATCATGCCATGTGTAACCATCTCTGTGAAGCTATTTTCCTTGTTTATTAAAACCACAAAGCACAAATTGATAAATTCTCCATTTCTTAACTTTGATGATCAGGACATGGACTTTGATGACAGCGCACCCAAGGAACATGTGGACATTAAAGCAGAATTTCTCATGCCAAGGGTAGGTCATCTCATGCTAAGGGTAGGTCATCTCATGCCAAGGGTAGGTCATCTCATGCCAAGGGTAGGTCATCTCGTGCCAAGGGTAGGTCATCTCATGCCAAGGGTAAGCCATCTCATCCCAAGGGTAGGTCATCTTGTGCCAAGGATAGGTCATCTCATCAAATTGTTTCAGTTCTTACTTGTTGCAGAAATAAATCACTCGCTAGTTTGTCTATCTTCCTCACTTTCATTTGTCATTAAAAAGCTGGGAGATACCTCTCATCACTCTTCCCTTAAATACTTAAGTACAGAAGAGAATTATGTCAGAAAATTTTGTCTATTTGAACATCTCATGTGACTTCCATCCATTTTCTACTTGCAGGTAATTGCCCTGGCAGAAGAGAAAATTGACAATCAGCCTGACAGGCCCGATGCAGTCCAGCTCCAAATATCTAAGCTGGTGGTCAGCAATCGACGTACGGAGGACAAGATGACCAGGGAAGATCTCAAAGCATTTCTCAACCAGTACAATGCAGGGAAACTCTTTTCACAAACAGAATTTCCAAATGATGACGATCATCATGGCCCGGGTGAAGAGTGGATCCCGGCAAGCATCCGAGACCACGCTCTGGCCAAGGATGACCCCTACATCGATAAAAGTGAGGAGCTTGTTTTTATCATCTCTACAATTTAATACAAGTTTGAAATATGAAAGATTCAGATAGAAACTCAGCTGACTGCATTAACACGGTTGTTGTCAACCTTCCTAATGCCGCGGCCCTCGAATATGGTTCCTCATGTTGTGGCGACCCCCAACCACAGAGTTTTTTTTGCGTGGCTACTTCATAACTGCAGTGTAAAGTATTTTCCGATGGCGTAGGTGACCCCTGTGAAAGAGTTGTTCGACCCCCAAAGGGGTCGCTACCCACAGATTGAGAACCACTGCATTAACAAGTTTGTGTTGAACACTGAAAGAGTCTAGCAATCTGCAAATCTCAATATAGAGTTTTAAAGGTTTGAAAATATGAGTCAGGCCAGGCACTTAGATCATTAGTTTTAAAGTTTTGTGACCAAGCACTTTTTCTTTTAGCCTGGCAAGGTTCATGAGACTGAGAGATTCTTGATGCTTAAGACAAAACTGCCACAGTAAACAATGAATTTGGAAAGCTTAGTGCTCAGTGCATTTTTATGGACAACATTAACTCAGCCACACACCAGATTAGAGAAACAAGATATATTCCTACATAGACATAATAACTTTTTTTCTGTTTCAAGATGACTTTAAACTAAAACCACTAAATCACGAGTCTCCAACCCATTCCATCTACATGGGCTTAACTGTACACTCTGCTCAGGGTGCAGAGAAACCAATATCTAAGATGCATTACTGTCCTCCTTTTAAAACCTAACATTCTTTCAATTGTTGGTTTCAGCTGTGAAGGTATTACTAACATTCTTTCAATTGTTGGTTTCAGCTGTGAAGGTATTACTTACATTCTTTCAATTGTTGGTTTCAGATGTGAAGGTATTACTAACATTCTTTCAATTGTTGGTTTCAGCTGTGAAGGTATTATTAAATCACAACACGAGCGGCTTAAAACTATCTCCGTCAGATGCCAGCCTGCAGGACCCCCACCACGTCCACCACCACCTCCCCTTTCATCAGCTCAATTGTAACAGTCTCAAACGTCTGGCAGACTCCGATATTTGGTCTGCCGCTGCTGACCAGGTGTGGCTCGAGTTTTTGGGTGTTCCAAACAGTAAGAACCGACCCGCTCCATTTGTGGAGGCTGTACCAATTACGTTGTGGCTGAGCAGCAGGATTGACCCCAAACAGTGCGACAACGTCACAAGAGCGTTCCACAACAAAGTGAACACTCTGAACCCAGCCACCCTTAACCCAACAGCCAGGAATGGAGAATTACACCAAGGAATCAACGCCAGTCAGGCACCATTGGGTCCGGTCAGCACACAGTATGTCTTTGATAACCCGGACATTCAATGTGATAAGAATGGTAGTGATCATCATGGTGACACCAGGCACGTTTCAGGCTCTGGTGACAAACATGTACCACAGAGACAACAAGACGGCACCGACCACAGACATCATGCCCACGATGGGAATAGCTCGGCAACATCCCATCAGAAGTATCCATTTCAAGAAGAAGACAGACGGCCAACAAAACTTTCCATATCGGGCTGTGATAGCAATGGATCTCGAGCGAACAATAAAAAGTTATCTCGCGCAGACTCATTCCATGAGAGTGACCACTCACTCCCAGAGTGCCCCTCTCACGTGAAAGCACGCGGGGATGATATTTATGAAAGAGCGGAGCAGTGCAGTGACAGACGGAGAGGGCGGCAGAATGCAGATTCTGACGTTGGTTATCATCAGTCTCGGCACAGAAAAGAAAAACACAGAGAGGATTCCAGATCAAACTCGAGCCCTCCCCTTCTACCCACAGAGTCTTACAGTAGGAGAAGAGAGGAATCAAGGGAGAGGGTTTCAAAAGAAAGGAGAATGAGGCACAGCAGCAGTTCTAGTGCTGAAGGGGGAGGTGGTAGAAAATCTGGAGAGGTTGATGGAAGATCCAGCGGTGAAGGTCAGGTGAGCTCAGATTCCTTCAGGAGTGCGGAGGAGAGAAAGAATGGAAGAGATGGGCGGAGGAGTGAGGAGTATTATTTTGATGAGGAAAGGGTGAAGCCTAAGAGAAGAGAAGGGAGTTCAGGAAGATCAAAGGATGATAGGTTTCATAGATCTGGAAGTCGAGAGAGGAGGGTTTTTTATGAGAGGCAGGTCAAAGAAGCCAACCGGAGGTCACCCAAAGATGAGGAGGACAGAGCATCACCAAGGGATGTTTATGACAGGAAGTCTGCCCGAGATAGAAGCAGAGAGACTGTAGAGAGAAGACGTGATATGCTGGAAGGCACCAACTTTGAACGATCATCTCTAAAGTCCAACAAGCGCGACCAGATGGATGGCATTCCCTTAAGCCGGCGGCTATCACGAGATCGTGATGGAGGCATGAGTGATGATGCTACAGACATTCGACGCAGACGGCACAGGTCACATAGTCGAGGAGGTGAGTCCGACGCCTCCAGGGAGAAGAGGGTCACTGACGGGGACCATGGCAGGTCGAGGTACACACCAGATGATCCTGAATTCAGGACAAGGGCAGGGGATCCAGTAAGGTCTAAGAACTCTGATGCAGACTGTGACAATGATCGATTCAGTCCAGCATCACACAGTTCTTTGGAGACACTGGGCCGAGACGGTGGTCAAAGCCTAGTAGCAGACGAACTCAAGGCGGGCAGCAATCAAAGAGAAGAAAATACAGACTCAAGACCAGATGAAACATGGGACCGGACCAGCAAAAGACTTCCTCCCGAGGGGTGTAAATCACAAGAGGACGTCTGCTGTGGATCAGGGGGGTCCAAGACTCGGCCGGAAGTCGAGAGAAATATCTGCGTCCTGACCAAGATTTACGACAAGCTGAGAATTCAGCTGAACCACTTCCAGTACTTGTTCCTGTTACGACTCTCCGAGTCATTTGCCGCCTTTCAAAACGATCTCACCTCCAATCTCGGCTCTCTGACTTCCGGCGCCTCAAAGAAGCAATCCATCACGGAGGCCAGTCAGGCCCAGCCGCCGGCAATCACCATGATTCCTCTCATGATCAAAGAGCTGGAGTTTGCTGTGGTCTGTCCATATCAGATGCACCAAAGAACGTTCTCTGATGACTTTAGTAATTTTTCCCCTTTCTTGCAAGGCTTGCCTTCTGGCCAGGATGCTGTGTTTGGCGATGATGGGGATGGTACATGCTTTCCTCAACTGGTGGACAGTATAAAAGGTGGGTGAGCTAAATTTAGCTGTTAAGTTTCAGACCAATTCAATAATATGGGGGGGGGGAGATTATATATACTAGACTACTGAATATGGGAAGTGTACTAATGACTGGGAGGTATTCACCATGTCTTTGATACTGTTGTACAATTGTAAAAATGAGCCTTTTTTAAAACAAGTAGTATAATTTCAAACACTCATTTTGTTGACATAACCAATCAGTGCATGATTGGTCAAAACTATCAAAATCTTGACATAATCAATAAGTGTATGATTGGTCAAAACTATCAAAATCTTGACATAATCAATAAGTGTATGATTGGTCAAAACTATCAATATCTTTGGTTGACTACCTCAAACATGTATTGTTATCTTAAGGCAAGAATAGCCACAACTTGGCTGAAATGTGCTTCTCACTAGATAAGACTTTGTCATGGAAAAATACTCAGTAATTCATTCCTCATGTCTTCTGTATATGATCAGTGATTCATTCCTCGTCTCATCTGTATCAGACGCAGTGATCCTTTGATCATGTCATCTGTATCAGACATAAAATAATCTGTTGAACATTTCAGGCCAAAGAAGTAGAGATGACTCTAGTCTTCGACCTTTTCACTCCAGCATAAGCTTCAAATCTAGTTCAAGCAGCCAGTTGGAGAACATGTCTCACCTGGGACCCCCTGCAGATATCGGCCAACGTAACCGAGCTTTCACGGCGGGCGGCAGCAACCTTGTCCCGCCTGGTGCTGTCACAGGACCTGGTCAGCCGACACCTTTCACCTCTGTAGACATCATGTCGCAGTCTGTCAACTCTATTGGCAAGGATTCAGGCATAGGTGATAACAGTTCAACAGTTTTATTCCTGGACCATATCTGTACAATGGAATACACCTGGTAGAAGTTGAGGGGTGGGACAGAAGTGGAGGGTTATAGCAAAAATTCAGGGGTTGACTTTATACATTTCTTATTTCTTAGACCATCATTTCTAAAACCATTTTGTCCACCAAACATCTTGTCTTCCAAACATCTTGTGCCCAGCCGTCTTGTCTTCCAAACATCTTGTCCCCAGCCATCTTGTCTTCCAAACATCTTGTCCCCAGCCATCTTGTCTTCCAAACATCTTGTCCCCAGCCATCTTGTCTTCCAAACATCTTGTCCCCAGCCATCTTGTCCCAAAACATCTTGTCCCCAGGCATCTTGTCTTCCAAACATCTTGTCCCCAAACATCTTGTCTTCCAAACATCTTGTGCCCAGCCGTCTTGTCTTCCAAACATCTTGTCCCCAGCCATCTTGTCTTCCAAACATCTTGTCTTCCAAACATCTTGTCCCCAGCCATTTTGTCTTCCAAACATCTTGTCCCCAGCCATCTTGTCTTCAAAACATCTTGTCTTCAAAACATCTTGTCCCCAGCCATTTTGTCTTCCAAACATCTTGTCCCCAGCCATCTTGTCCTCAAAACATCTTGTCCCCAGCCATCTTGTCTTCCAAAATCTTGTTCCAAACCATCTTCTCCCCCAATCATCTTGTCCCCAACCATTTTATCCCCAACCATCTTGTCCCCAATTATCTTGTCCCCCACGATCATGTCCCCCACCATCATGTCCCCCACCATCATGCCCCTCACCATCATGTCCCTCACCATCATGTCCCCCACCATCATATCCCATACAAACTTGAGTGTTGAATATCTCGCTCTTCTCCCATTTTTGTAAATTGTTGTTTGATGTAAGTCAACAGGGAACCCTACCTCAAGAAAGAAAATATGATATTTGTGCATGCTTACAATTTACTTTACATTTTTTTCGAAGGTGTTGAGCGAAAGCCTCCCCGCCAGCAGCATTCAAGGGGAGGAGGAGGGAGTGTGCAGCGAGGAGTTATTGGGGGAGCCTCAGATGTAAAGAAAGCCTTCACCTCTGCATTCTCCAGCTTTGCCGATAAGGTCAAGCACACAATGGATAGCCATGATGACAGACACAGCATCGGGGATGACTTTGAGACGTCGTCTGTCCGTACGGATACATCTGAAGATGATTACGAACACCTGTCACTTGATGATGCAGAAGAGGTGCCCGCTTTTTTCCACGATCCCCCACCCCCAGAAATAACACCAACGGGAGGAGACAATTACAGCGATGTTGGAGACATTGGTGACTCTGTGAGCATGTATGCTGAAAGTTCAACAACCAAAGGAAAAGAGATGGTAACTTGTGACACTTGTATATTGATTTGTATAGGCTTGATATGAAACTGAAAGGTTTCTTACAACTTAAAACCAAAGATCTTTTATGATCAAAACAGTTGTTTGTTATGTTTAGTGTTTCCCAAAAATTCCAGGAGATTTCCAGGAGCTCCTGGAATCTTTAGGAGTCTGCTGGAACCCTGTTCCTAATTCTTTCCATTGATAAGAGTCACTATAGAACATCTTCTAGAGAGTTTCACGAGGCCTGACAAGAATGTAATGTTCTAGGGCAGCCATTTTCATGATATGACACAGAACTATGTGTCAAAAAACATATATATAGGCTGTTTTGGTGTGGAAACATATGTAGGCTGTTATATATATGTATATTTATGTATATAAATATATATATATGTGTGTATATTGTGTGTGTAGAGTGTGTATATACATTGTGTGTGTGTGCTTAGGCTTTGATATATGTGTATATGTAGGTTGTCATATATATATTTATATTTAGGCTGTAATGAATATATATGTAAGCAGTAATAAATATATATGTAGGCTGTATCAATGTTGAGCAGAAAATAAAGAATAACAGAATAATAGCACAAAATGTTTCTTGAATGGATTGGCCATACAATGATAAAGCTAAAATTCAATACTATCAGACAGTCAATGTAATGGTTTCCACAGGTCAACAGATAGAGAAAACACCACTACTCTCAAACCAACTCTTTTAGTCATGAGTCCTACCATTTGTTGTAAAGTTATGCTGACATTGTTTAAAATGTTGATTCTATTGTTCACTTTCCCAGGTCTATGTGGTGCTATTCAAACTTGACCACATAGAAGTGGTCTCGGAAAGCTCCGCTGATTGCAAAATGACCAAGATCCAATTGGCCAAGCTCAGCTCCATTCAATTAGGCAATATATCTTATGAAGACTTTCAAAGCAGGTTTTCTTGCACAAAAGGTAGGTCTCAGACCTAGCCTAGTATTATTCACTCTAAAGGTATCAATTAATCAAATGTCTTATCCATAGAAATTGAGCCTCAAAATTGTGGTAATCTTTTTTTCAATCGTTCAAAAAATCATATTTTCTGGCCAGGACGAAATACTCCGTTCTCTGTTTGAGACCCTGTCCAGTATTTCAGCAACGCGGTCTAGTGTTATTTATAACGGTGCGCCACTCTTGTCTGGCAATTATCACGCTAATGCTTGAGAACACAATGTTAATAACACTCCAAGAAATTTGGTTATTCTTTCATGTTAAAGTTTGTCTGATATGTATATACCCCAACCGTTATACCTTCAAAGAGACAATAAGAATTCCTGGCCAACTCTAGCCCAGTTTCTTCATCCCTTGTTGTTCACTCCAAGGTCCACTAACTACTAAAAAACCATCGCAACAAACATGTCGTTCTTCATACCTAAAAATGTCATTAATTCAAACTACATGGCAACAGCTACACAATTAATCTAAAAACCAAGTAGGCTCTCTAATAAATTGTTAAAAAACTGCGAGACTCACGACAGTGATTCTCATACTCTTGACAATGTGACCATTATAGTTTTTATAATATTTTATTATTTTCCTGACAAAAAAAGAAGTGAGAACCTTATTTTTAATCCATTGTTTCAAAGACTACATTGGCTATATTTTTTTTTTTCTCCATGATATTTTATTCTTTTCTGACTGATGGGGACTTAAAGTCTAAGAATCCTCTGAATGTCTCACTAAATATAATGAACTCTCTGGTAAACATGTCTCACTAGATTTAATGAACTAGCTGGTAAACATGTCTCACTAGATTTAATGAACTCGCTGGTAAACATGTCTCACTAGATTTAATGAACTAGCTGGTAAACATGTCTCACTAGATTTAATGAACTCACTGGTAAACATGTCTCACTAGATTTAATGAACTAGCTGGTAAACATGTCTCACTAGATTTAATGAACTAGCTGGTAAACATGTCTCACTAGTTTTAATTAACTCGCTGGTAAACATGTCTCACTAGATTTAATGAACTAGCTGGTAAACATGTCTCACTAGATATTACAAACTAGCTGGAAACATTTCCCACTAGGTTTAATGAACTAGCTGGTAAACATTTCTCACTAGGTATTACAAACTACCTGGTAAACATGTCTCACTAGATTTAATGAACTAGCTGATAAACATGTCTCACTAGATTTAATGAACTAGCTGATAAACATGTCTCACTAGATTTAATGAACTAGCTGATAAACATTTCTCACTAGATTTAATGAACTAGCTGATAAACATGTCTCACTAGATTTAATGAACTAGCTGATAAAAATGTCTTACTAGATTTAATGAACTAGCTGATAAACATGTCTTACTAGATTTAATGAACTAGCTGGTAAACATTTCTCTCTAGATATAATGAACTAGCTGGTAAACATGTCTCACTAAATATTACAAACTACCTGGTAAACATGTCTCACTAGATATTACAAACTAGCTGGTAAACATTTCTCATTAGATTTAATGAACTAGCTGATAAACATGTCTCACTAGATTTAATGAACTAGCTGATAAACATGTCTCACTAGATTTAATGAACTAGCTGGTAAACATTTCTCACTAGATTTAATGAACTAGCTGATAAACATGTCTCACTAGATTTAATGAACTAGCTGATAAACATGTCTCACTAGATTTAATGAACTAGCTGATAAACATTTCTCACTAGATTTAATGAACTAGCTGATAAACATGTCTTATTAGATTTAATGAACTAGCTGATAAACATGTCTCACTAGATATAATGAACTAGCTGGTAAACCTCTCATCTACATGATTTAACCGCTGAAAACTTCTGTGCAACAGGTTATCTTCAAGAGGATGTCCCAGACACACCACCTCACAGATACCCCATCAGGATCAAGACTGTGGTCCCAGCATCTGATCCCAATTCAATCCCAGAACCTGGCCGGATGATTGTCCACGCAGATGATTTCAGTCTACAGTTCAAGATGTCCAGCCTGACATGCCTTTCAGACTTTTCTGAAGATGAGAAGTTGCCAGAATCCTTGCCCATGTCTCTTGATGTCAGGAACTTGTTGCTAGTCCTAGAGGTGACTATTAGGTTTTGACTTTATCAGGGTTTGTCCCATCTGTAGGGAATGTCACAACAAACTGCCACATTTTGCCATCTGTAGGGAAAGTCACAACAAACTGCCACATTGTGCCATCTGTAGGGAAAGTCACAACAAACTGCCACATTTTGCCATCTGTAGGGAAAGTCACAACAAGCTGCCAAATTTTGCCATCTGTAGGGAAAGTCACAACAAGCTGCCAAATTTTGCCATCTGTAGGGAATGTCACAACAAACTGCCAAATTTTGCTACATCACTGAGAAGGGACATTTCTGTTTCCATTACACCTATTCTATGTTACGTTTACATCCAATGTTTAAAGTTCCATAGCTCTTCTGATTTTTAACAATTGTATCCAAATCATCGTGTCATGTTCAGAATAATAAAATATGGGCAGTAAATTCTCACAACTGTAACTGGCTGTACATAGGATGATAAAATATGGGCAGTGAATTCTCACAACTGTAACTAGCTGTACATAGGATGATAAAATATGGGCAGTGAATTCTCACAACTGTAACTGGCTGTGCATAGGATGATAAAATATGAACCCATGAACAGGATTCGGCCATGGTTCAGCTCTAATGATAGACTTTGATGAGACATAAAGGGAGAACATATAGAATAAAACTTGGTCTCAAAAATTGAAATGATATTTCTAAACTCAGATGAATCTAATGATTTGTTTTATTTTGCAATGAATCAAATAATATTCTCAAAATCAGACTCAGATAGTGAGGCAGGTGGTATCCAATGAAGCGATGTGTACAGTTAATATTGACTTTCAGACAGTTACAGGAAGACTTAGTCCACCCTTCGCCTTTGTATGTTTCCATGATTTTCATTTAATTATTTTGTTCGACCACTTCAATGGTTCCTAAAAGTTTTCAATTCCCTGCACTCTTTCCAAATTTAGGTTTTGCCCCAGGTGCTGTAGGTAAAATTTCAACAACTACACTTTGAAATAGTGAATACAACCACATGAGTAGATCAATAAGTACAATCTAGTTACCATTTGTAGGAGCCTCTGCACACATTAATTACTCATGTGAGTTAATGGTTCGTATCAAACCCTAGATGACATTTCCTTTCACATTGGATTGGAAGTCAAAATAAAAATTTTAAAACTATGTAATATTTCCCGGCACCCTAGGGTGAGGCATAGGACATTTTGGGCAATGCCGGACCAGGCCAAACAGACAGGAGAAAACCTGTGAAACATTTTTTACACAGCTTACTGTAATGTCATAATTGTCTATAGAGAAACTGAATTTTTTTTTTTTGTGGGGAAGGTGTTGAAACTTCAGAAAGCTTATTTGTGCATAATGCAAGGGGGGAAGGGTGTCCAAAAAAAGTATGAGTGAAACAGGGGGAGGTGAAATATAATCTTTTTTTTGTGTACGCGTAATATATGGAAGGCCCCCTCCCTACTTGATCTACACCTGGAGTTTTCTCTTTGAACACATTTCTCAGCAGGACTCAGACCCAACGGGTAAAGTCTTAAAATACCATGACCCTGTCGGACCTAAAACTGCTCTATAAATAATCTTAAAATATGACCCTCCTAAAAACTATTAAATTCCTTTGAATGTGCCATCAAAAATTGCAGCCATAAAGTTGATGTCTTTCTCATAGAAAAATCCTGCATAGCAAAGAGATGAAAGATGTAGAAACTTGCTATATTATTTTAATGAATTCTGTGAGAGTGAATTATTTGATTGGTCATTTCAGGAGGACAGACCATCAGTTAATGTGACATCCCCTGGTTCAGTCCCTTTGAATCTCCATATCCAACAGATTTCAATAGAGAGGGGAAGAGATGGCATTTTTTATATCTCAGGTGATTTCATTTCTTCTGAAAATGTTGTCTTTTATTAGATTTTATTATTGTTCATAAACTAAGGCAGTTAGGTACCGGTACTTGTGGTCAGTTCCATAGAGTTGTAGATGCTTTACTTATGCAGTAGCCGGTACATCTAAATTGTACAATAATTTTGTTGGGCTTTGACAAAATCAACAGGCCAGCTCAAATTAGAGTGAAATATTTACAACTTATACTTAAGGCATTTGATGACGTGTATATTGTTTTCGTGTATAGTTGTACTGTTAATAAAGTGTTAATGCAGTTGCTGACACATCTCAGATGTTGTGTTGTCAGTTGCACTAACCCTGAACTCTAACATCATACTCACATGACCAATTAACCTACCAGCTTAAACTGAGGGAACAAAATAAAATATTTACACTAAAATTAAATTAATTTTTTAAAATTAATTTTTATCCAATATGCAGGCAGCCCAAACAGCACCCCATTTGTGCACACCCCTTCTCCCACCCCAGCAGTGCCAAAACCTGTGCTCATCAATGCTGTTACCTCCCCTATTCTGAGCCCCGATGGCACCATGGCTCTACTCATGGCCAGCCAGAATGAATCTGTCTTGCTGCGCCGCCAACTTGAGGAGGTCCGCCGAGCTAACCGCTTGTACGAGCACCAACTTTTACAATGTAAGAACATTCAAGACCAGGCAGCCGGCGGCAGACACGGAATGGGTCGGGGTGGATTCACTGGGATGCTGCGCAAGCGTCAAAGCTTCAATGCGGACTCCCTGTCCAGCAGCCCGTCCAGTTCCTACATGGACCACATCGCTGGTCAATCCATAAATCCAAGAGAGGAGGTGGACCCAGCCAGAGATGAACTGGAGAGAGAAAATCTCAAATTACAGCAAGAGGTGATGAGGCTGGAGGACGAACTGCTGACTGTTTCCAAAGAAAAGGAATCGTTGCTACAGACTTTACAGCTCCTGCAAGATGAACTTTTAGCATCTGAAAGAAAACAGAGAGCGAGATCTAAAGTTGTCTAGTAA